ACCGAGACCATGGGAGTGTCGGCGTGATAGCGTTTTTGATTTTACCGTATCAAAGCCACGGCGTGTGTGGAAACCCCTCTCATATTTCACTAATGAGATTTGGGAGAATATGTAAATGAAGCTAATGGTCTTGGAATAATAAATGTGATGTTATTTGTTACATCTCAACAGCAAATCTACTCACAGTGATCTGTCTGATGTTCAGCCGTGTTGAGGATCACAGGATCACAGGATCACAGGATCACAGGATCACAGGATCACAGGATCACAGGATCAGAGGCTCACAGGATCAGAGGATCACAGGATCACAGGATCAGAGGATCACAGGATCACAGGATCACAGGCTCACAGAATCACAGGATCAGAGGATCACAGGATCAGAGGATCACAGGATCAGAGGATCACAGGATCACAGGATCAGAGGATCACAGGATCACAGGATCACAGGATCAGAGGATCACAGGATCACAGGATCAGAGGATCAGAGGATCACAGGATCACAGGATCAGAGGATCACAGGACCAGAGGATCACAGGATCACAGGGTAGTAACCAGGAGATCATGGTCCAACCCCAACAATGACATTATGAACGTTTATGGACCAAGGGCTCCTGTGGGTTTGTAGTTAGTGTTTGATTCTCTGATCTGTTGTTGGTGAATCGCTAACTTTGTAAAGTTCCTGCTGCAGACTGTTGTTGTGAAATAGGACTGTACACAAATACATTTAATAGAATTGATTTTAAGAAGCATTAATGAGGTTTAGAAGGTTGTATTTCTTTATCACCTTTTCATACAGATTTTGTATTAGTTAGTTATTAGTACTAATACCTTAGTTACCCAAGTACCTTACAGCACCTTATACCGCAAGTACCTTATAGCACCTTATATCAAAAGTACTTAATACCACCTTATAGCACAAGTACTTTATAGCACCTCATAGTACAAGTACTTTATAGCAACTTATAGTACAAGTACTTTATAGCACCCTTTAGTACAAGTACTTTATAGCAACTTATAGTACAAGTACTTTATAGCAACTTATAGTACAAGTACCTTATAAAGTACCTTTTAGCACCTTGTCCCTGTAAAAATAAAAATCATACCATACCATATTATTCTATACTTTTGCTTTTGCACTCCTGGTTAACAGCATTCTGTTGCATTGTTCTGATGTTGTAGCAACAATAAAGTTGAATCTAATCTAATCTATTTTAGGGAAGTTAAAAATTCAAACTCAGAGATAAATTATCCATAAATTATTATTGTTAAAACTTCACAATCATGTTTGAAAAGAGGCCTTTATCAGGATCTGCCTCGACAAAGACCCAAGACTCGATGGTTGGTCTGTTCCATTATTAATGAATGGACTTTTATAAATAGTCGGCGAGCGTCAGATCCTCTCCCTCTTTCTGAGTGTGTTCTCTCTCTCTCTCTCTCTCTCTCGTTCCACCCGTTTAGCTTTGCCTCCATCCACGCTTTGACTTATTGAGCTGCCCTGAAATACCCCCATCATTCAACATGGTTCAATCCGCTTGTGTCGTTTATTAACTGAAGAGAGAGCGAGATATATTTTAGCACTGGTTAGACCCGCCCATTCTCAGCCCTGCAGCCTCCTGATTGGTCGAAATGTATTCAAAACCTTGTGGCTCCTTGTCATTGGTTAAACTGTTTTACTCAAGCAAATGTTAAGGGGATGGACTGTTTTAAAAAGAATTGGTGTTGAAAAAAATACTTACTCAATTCAATTAAATGTATTCTTGTATAGCCCTAAATCACAACAACATGTTTTTTAATTGTTCGTATGAATCACTTTGAATTGTTCACAAATTCTGCTATTCAAACACATATTGATTGATGGATTGACATGGTTCACTTCTTGTGCAGCCTTAAAGTCATATACCCCAACTTTAATATCATGATTGATTCACACAGAGGAGCTTGTTTCTGCCTGGTTCCCATCAGCACATGACAAACTTCAGAGCAGCAGTTTGTGTTGTGACATAAACACGACTTTCCTCCTATTCCCCACGCGCCTCCCTCCCGTCGGCCAATCACAGTCCGTGTTTACTTTCCTCATGACACTGCGGCCGAGGCGTGGGCAGGGCTGGAGTGTTTCCTTGAGGCCATAGTAAACAAAGTAGTGGCAAAACCCGCACGACGACCACAGAGCTCGTGGAATCCCCGGTGTTACATTTCTCCAGAGATCACATTGTCACATATCTAACCATGTTCTTGCATCGAGTTTGGTAAAAATATAATCTTACTGCAGCCACAATAGGTTGTTTTATCCCACAATCAGGGACGTTCAAGATCAGTAGGACATTTAAAGATTGGTTATGTGATTAAAAAAAGAAGCTACACTGTAAAAACTGATGAACAAGTCAAGAATCGCTCAAAAATCTTGATTTGAGCACATTCTGAAGGTCTTAAACAAGATTTGCCAATGGGACAAGCAAACCTTTCTTGTTTTAGAAAGACACAAGAAATGTCTCCCATGGAATGAGAAAATAAAGCAACAGTTCTTGAAACAAAACTAATTGGCAAATTTAGTTTTAAAAAAGTCAGAATGAACTCAAATTAAGGTAAAAAAAAAAAAATACCCACTTGAAATAGGCTTTTATTACCTCATATTTTATCAATATTTTGCAGTGTATGTAATAAAAATCAATGTAATGATTGTGTCTCGCTCTCAAAGCAGTTTGGTTCTATCACTTTTTCAATTGTTGCTCGGGAGAAAGCCACTGAGATGATTTGTGTTTGATTCTCTGATCTCCTGTTGGCAAATCTGCAATTTTGTAAACTCCTCCGAGATTAATACTGTTGTGATTTAAGGTTATACAAAAATACATTGAATTGGATTGAATTTGCAGATCAGGACGATGGGAACATGCTTCAAGAAACCGTCCGAAAGTGCTGTTTTTTTTCTATCCTCTTTTTTTTGCCTGGATACATGACAAGTCCTTATTATCATGGCGTCTTCAGAAGTCTGAGGTGTGGGAGGAAGACACACAATCACGTGCTTGTACCCTGTTATCAAGAGCTCTTTGGATGCGCATCTCACACACAACTGTCATTTAACGTGTGCAGAGCTGACAACAAAGGAGTGGCAGTGGGATTACCTAAACTATGGCTTATTATCACTATGAAGGCAGAGGAGGAGCCATTTCTGTCTTCTTTGATGGTAGCTAGTGTTAGGGTTAGCTTCCAAATGTCCTACTGTGGGATAGATGTAAAGTCGCTTCTCAAACCGTGGTCCTCGAGCTCCTTCAATGGCTACATACAGGTGGTTAATAATGTTGGTTTCACATTTTATACAGAAATGAATTGTGTTTTGAACAATACTGTAATTTTTCCGAGTTCCAGCTGTAGACACCTCTGTATGGTAGAAGTAAAACTCAATCAACTCTACTTAAAAAAGAAGGTAGAACGACATCAATGCTGTGTTTAGGTCAAATTTAAGTTTCACAAAACATCTGATGAAGGCCATAAAACCTGGAACATCATCCAATAACTAACATTTTGAGTCTTGCTTTTTAAAATGGTTTCTTTTAGCATTTTCAAGATTCTAAGTGTGCAATACCCACTGTTTTAAGCACTCGTTTAGACCCAGAATATTTGTGTTTAGCCCATGGCACTAATAAGACTGTTTTGTTCCATTTCTTGTTGATATATCCCCTTCCTCTTTGACTAGCTTGACTGCTATAGATTATTCTTGTGTGCCAGAGTTTGTAATGTATGTGAGACAGACAATAAATGGAGCCCAGAAACTTGATAAAAGATAAAGGACTAAAATCTATAATTTAAAACTGTTGGGAGATGTTTAAGAGAAGCCAGAATCCAATTACACTGTACTACTGTTCATTGTGCACCGTCCTTAGATCTTATCAGGGTTTTGAGAACTAACTCTGTAATTTCCTGTGAGGAGCAGATCTGTTCTGATATAGAGCTGCACTTCTGGCTGAACCCAAGGCCGGTGCCACTTCCTGGTCCATGTCCTGGTCCTGGTCACTGTCCAGTCTGAGAATCTCTGCCGCCTTGTATGGAAGTCAAAACACTTACAGAATAGAAGAGCATGAACTGAAACAAAAGTAACATTTCCGTCCACTACATAAACAATGGTGATAAACTGCTACTGTAGCCACAAATGCCCTGCTGCTGGCTGACTTAAGTGTGGCAACCAGTTTGTCCCATTTGCCCCTCAGACCACCACCAGCCATTCACACACACACACACACACACACACACACACACACACACACACACACACACACACACACACACACACACACACACACACACACACACACACACACACACACACACACACACACACACCAGACTCATACTAACTTTATAAAGAGCACCATACACATACTTTACAGCCGCCCCACTGTGGCACCTGGTGTTCCCAGAGGTCTCCCATCACAGCACTGACCATGCCCTGCTCTGCTTAGATCTGGCTTTCACTCTCAGTTTAATAACCCATAATGGTTCGCTCGCCCCGTCCTCTCTCTCTGTAATCTCTCTGTTGCTTCATCCTTTTACAGTTTAAGTAGATGCACGGCTGCTTTTTACTTTATTAAACCGTGGCATTTAACACATTTCCATATTTTTGTTTTACTTTATTTCAGGCACCGGTCAAATATGTGTATAATAAAATGTTTTTTATGCTCAAGGCACAGGTGTTGTAATCACCCAGTCACGTGGGTAGCCGGGGTGTTTAGGGTGGTGCAAGCTATTAAACCATTTGAAAAACACAAAATATGCATAAAGGTCTAAAAGCACACAAAACATTTAAAGCCCACTGCCCCCTTTTGCCCCCATTGACAAACATACATAATATATATTGCACTAGAATACATAGAATTTTACACTTGCTTCTTTATTATGCTAAAGTTGTTGTGTATACAGTTATGGTTCACTTCTTTTCTCTATCTCTTAATCTTAATTTAATCCAAAATGGTTGTTGTAAAAAGATTATTGTTGTTGTTCTCTTCCAGGTGAGCCAAGGGAATGTGCCCGGTGTGGAGAGTGCGTCTTTGGCCATGGACACGGAGGAAGGCGTGGAGGTGGTGTGGAACGAGGTGCTCTTCTCCGATAAGAAGGTCTTCAAGGCTCAGGAGGTACGGCTCGGACTCTTACACAAGCACGGCGTGGGGGGTTTCCTCCGGAGACCGCGTGGACGTGGTGGACGTGTTGTTGTTGTTGCATCAGACTCTGTCCCAAATGTGAATCTCAAAATGATTTCAACATCCCCTGAAAAATTTTGCAATGTTGTCATTCACTCTCCAGGTCAATAAGAGACTTAACGTTTGCTGTGGAGAGAGAGACCAGAGAGAGACCAGAGAGAGACCAGAGAGAGACCAGAGAGAGACCAGAGAGAGAGACCAGAGAGAGAGACCAGAGAGAGAGACCAGAGAGAGAGACCAGAGAGAGACCAGAGAGAGAGACCAGAGAGAGAGACCAGAGAGAGAGACCAGAGAGAGAGACCAGAGAGAGAGACCAGAGAGAGAGACCAGAGAGAGACCGGAGAGAGACCAGAGAGAGAGAACACAGAGAGAGACCAGAGAGAGAGCATGGAGAGAGAGAGACCATAGACTAGAGAAAGAGACCAGAGAGAGACTAGCGAGAGATACCAGAGAGAGAGAGACCAAAGAGTTACTATAGAGAGACCATGAGAGTGAGAGACCAGAGAGAGACCAGAGAAAGGGGCGGAGAGAGAGACCAGAGAGGGACCAGAGAGAGAGACTTGAGCCTGAGAGAGACCAGAGAGAGAAACCAGAGAGAGAGAGACTCAAGAGAGACCTGAGAGAGACCAAAGAGAGAGAGACCATAGAGAGACCAGAGAGGGACCTGAGAGAGACCAAAGAGAGAGAGATCTGAGAGAGAGATCTGATATAGACAAGCGGGAGGGACCATTAGTGCCATGGTCTAAACACAAATATTCTGAGTCTAAATGAGTGCTTAAAACAGAAATATTTGTGTGTAGGATAAAATCAAAGAGATGTTTGAGAACCTGATGCAAGTGGAGCACCCCAACATCGTGAAGTTCCATAAATACTGGCTGGACATGAAGGAAAGCCAGGCCAGGGTAAAACTAAACTTCTCAACATCATGTTAATTGTTATGTTATTATTTATTTTATCTTCCTTTTCATTCAAACCTCACAACCTCGCTCCTTTTGCAGGTCATTTTCATCACCGAGTACATGTCCTCAGGCAGCCTCAAGCAGTTCCTCAAGAAGACCAAGAAGAACCACAAGACCATGAATGTGAAGGTGAGCGCGCTGACCCCTGCTGGTGGCACACAGCACTGCAGCACGTGCACACACCATCGTCCATATTCTAGGATTATGGGATTATGTCGGGAACTGCCCCATGCCACACTGCAGACATCTTGTGGGATTGGGCTCCTTCGGCACGTAATACTCACTGTCTTTAAGAGAGGAGAAGCAATACGCCACACAATGTCGTCAGAACAGTTATTACATTGGTTAAACTAAATTTGATTAAACAAATCTGGGGCGAGGCAAGGTTATTTGTATATATCTAAATAGATGGATACAGATATAGGGCAACTCAAAGTGCTTAACAAAACAAGATGGAAAAAAGTCAAATATTTTTAATCCAAAGAATATATTCTCACTAAATGTACGATTAGTAGTAGATTTAACTATATGCAAAAATACCTAAAATTTAAGATGGCGTACCTTTTTTGTTTCATAAATACATGTCGTTTGTCCCAATAGAAATATATTTGTTTAAGTAATATTAATGGGCGACAGTAGCTCAGTTGGTAGAGCATTGGCCTTTGGCCCTGAAGGTCGTGGGTTCGAGCCCACCGTAAGACCTACTTCACGACTCCCACTGATGACTGCTGTCGTTGTGTCCTTGGGCAAGACACTTAACCCTACTTTGCCCAAAGCCCCCACTGAAAGATCTCAGCTCCTGTGGACTCACCACCTGCAGGAGGATTAGTGAGGGGCTGGTGCTCTGTGGACTGGGTGCAGCTCTGACTGCCACCCCCCCGACCCAGAAATGGATTAAGGGGAAGAAAATGGATGGATGGAAGTAATATTAAGTGAACAGATCAGACCACAGCATCCAGTCTTCCTCTTATTTATTAAAAAATATTGCACCTTTTTACACATTCGGCTGAGAGAGGGCTGGAACTCTTTTTCACTGAAGAAAGTTATATTTGCACAAAATGAAGTATTAATAGTATGGAGTTAAGAGTAATATCTACAGTGAGGCTACGACAGAGTCTGTAATAGCAGTTGAGAATACAGACAGAATTTAGCCGGTAAAGTTAGCATGGGTCAGTGGATATTGTCATTGAGTTTTGATATTTACCATTTTAAAACCTCGAAAACCTTTGAAATGAACAAAATAGCCTCACAGTGCTTTTAACCCAGTTTGAATACTTGTTATTTAAATTGTTTTTCAGGCTTGGAAACGATGGTGCACGCAGATTCTCTCAGCACTAAAGTACTAAACGCAACTTTTTATTCAAAACTGTCTTTAAATATGTCTGGCTGACTCTTCTGTGATTGATTACAGTTACCTGCACTCATGTGACCCACCGATCATCCACGGAAACTTGACTTGCGACACCATTTTCATCCAACACAACGGCCTCATCAAGATCGGCTCAGGTCTGCCTCCTACAGATGTGTTTGTGTAACTGCAGCTCATTTTGCACGCTTGCACTGACTTTAGCTGCAATTAATGGCATTTTGCTTCTATTAAATCTAAGTCTCTCTCCGCAGTGTGGCATCGGCTATTTGTCAACGGTAAGGAACGGCTTTTTGCAGTCGCTCTACTTGGTTTTTTTCTGTGTGGTTTGTTGGACGCGTCGGTAAATATTCAAGTTATGATTATTTAAATAGTTGTGCAATTGACAGTGTTCCCAGATGCTAGCGTCCACAGTAAAGGACGGCAACACCGCGACGAGCAAAGGAACCAACACTTCTTTGCTCCGGAATACGGCGGTGAGTTTATATTCAGATGATAAAACTTTTTTTTTTCATTTTCATTTTCACACTGGTTTGCATGCTTCACACTTTACTTTTTGTCCAATTTTGGTTTTGGGTGAAAATGGATGGGTTAAATGACATCATTTTGATTATGACTTTTTCACTGATTTCCAGCTTGTGCAGACGATTACGCCATAGACATTTTCTCCTTTGGCATCTGTGCTCTGGAGGTGAGAACACAACCTTTACATTTTTCTCTGGTGTAACGTGTTCCTAAGAACCCGTGCATGTTTTACCCAGATGGCAGTTCTAGAGATTCAGGCCAACGGAGACTCGGCGGTGTCCAAAGAGGCCATTATCAATGCGGGACAATCTCTGGAAGATCCTCTGATGAGAGTAAGGCTCAATAATTTCTTGTATGTCTTCAGCCTGGTGGTTGAGTGGTTAGCATGCACGCCACACAGTAAGAAGATCCACCTGTGACACTAAACCACACCTGCACATACACCCACCACCGAAATTTGAAAGAACATAAGGCTGCACTTGAATATATGTTGTAATGTTACAGTTATCCATATATTATCTATATATTGGGTGTAGGTATAATGCGGTCCTCTACATCTATTTTTGAGTGTGCAATTCTTTTTTTTGGTAACGTAACCAACGGCTGATGGAGCAAATCTAAGCCGATAACTCGACACTTTACAAGATTTTATGAAAAGCTGTTTAACACATGTAACTTTGACTGTTGCCTCATGATGATCAGAGGGTTCTAGTTAAAGGTGCAGTAAGCGACGTTGTTAGCTTAGCCGTAGCACCAACTGGAAACCACTCGCCTCTCCACCAAACCAAACATCCGGCATTTTCTTTTCTTTGTCACAACAGGGAGAGTGGGCAGCAAACGTGAAATTGGCATTTTCTGTTCAGGCATTTTAGGTTTTAGAAAATCCGATAACTCCGGTGCGCACACTCACAAGAAACAGGAAGTGGCTGAAGGGGGAAAACGCATCCCATTGGTTTATTTACTATTACTATTTGAAAACACATGATAACTTGACTACTTTTAGGGTTTAGGGACGTTTTCCCACAATATGGAAAATAAATGCGTCTGGAAAAAATCACTGACTGCATCTTTAATCCAATCTATTCAGTAAAGGTGCTTCCCATTTCTACGAGTGCACTACCAGTACTTGTCAAAATAATGAAACAAGATTAAGACAATGATGAATACGTTGGCTGCAGGGTGATTTATAGGGTCCAAAGAACTGGTTTATATTCCAGTAAGTACTGTCCTCACCACACTCTGACCTGTCCCCTGCAGGAGTTCACCCAGTCCTGTCTGCGGCACGAGTCCAAGCTCCGGCCCACGGCTCACGACCTGCTGTTCCACCGGGTTCTGTTTGAAGTCCACTCCCTCAAACTCCTCGCTGCTCACTGCCTCATCAACAACCAGTGTGAGTGCTCCACCTCCACCACGCTCAACTCTCCTCACTATAGTTAGGCTTGTTCCCAGTTGGACTTTTATCAACTCAATAAACTCAACTTAGATAAACGCAATCAATCACAAAATTAGATTCGGACTTTAATTGTCATTTAACATGATCAGAACTTTCCTGTCACTACTGTTCTCACATTCAGATTAATTGCACCAGACAAATATATACTGTATATAAAAAAAAAAAAACAGTACAAGAAGCAATTGACTTGAATTGTTAAGACTGATAACAGCTTGTGGAAAGAAGCTGGTAAAATACTCAGCAAACGATATCTTCTGCCCGAGGGAAGAAGCTGGAACATAACTTTTCCAGGGGCCAGAAGAGTCATTGATTATTTGAAGAGTTTGATTGAGGCAGCTCAATGGCCTTTGTATTGATTTGTCTTTTTTCTTGCATGTTGGACAGATCTGCTTCCAGAAAACTGTGTGGAAGAGAAAACCAAGTCCTTTGACCCCAACGCGGTGATGGCTGAGATCAGGCACGACAACAGACCAGGAGTGCAGCTAAAGTAAGCTCAATGAACTTACTCTGTATTTCACCTTCTCACATTTACAGATGATTTTAAACATGTGTGTGCGTGTGTGTGTGTGCGTGTGTGTGTGCGTGTCTTTCACAGATATTCTCATGTTTCTCCATTAGAACTGGACAAGTTTTTAGAAGATGTAAAGTAAGTTGAACTCACTCTGCCATGATTGAAGTCATGAATAAATGAATTATGAATGTTGTTTTCAGGAATGGCATCTATCCCTTAATGAACTTTGCATCTTCTCGACCACACCCTGTCCCACGAGCCCTGTCCTTATCCCAGGAGCAGGTGGAGACAGTCAAGACCCCCACCCCAGAACCTCAGGAGACGGAGACTCGGAAGGTCCGGAGAAATAACAGCCCTCATACAATATTCTCTTTACGTTCACACGATTTTTCCTCAAATAAATGTATCATATTTGAGAATAACTGTGTCCTCTTTGCAGGTTGTGCAGATGCACTGTAATTTGGAATCAAATGAAGAAGGGACCAAAACTCATGTGAGTAAGATACAGTGCCAGGCTAAAGTACTCAGACATGAACTGCTACCACCACAAACCTGATGATTGCATTTTAGTGCCATCAGAATCAGAGTTTTCTTTATTGCCACAAGAGGCCACAAAGCAGTGAAGTAGTAGCCATGCATAAGAAAATATTCATAAAACGTCTTCAAATTACAGCTATATAAAAGTACACACTAAGTACACACAATAGACATTTAACAGTGCAGTTAAAGTGCCAGCAGCATAAAGTGACAGTAGCATAAAGTGACAGTAGCATAAAGTGACAGTAGCATAAAGTGACAGTAGCATAAAGTGACAGTAGCATAAAGTGACAGTAGCAGCATAAAGTGACAGTAGCATAAAGTGACAGTAGCATAAAGTGACAGTAGCATAAAGTGACAGTAGCAGCATAAAGTGACAGTAGCATAAAGTGACAGTAGCATAAAGTGGCGTCAAGAGCAGGGGTCAGTGATGATTAGTGTTATTGGTCTTTGACATACAATGCCAATAAAAAGAATCTCATGTTTGTGGTCGTAACATGACAAATATCTATGTTTTTATCTTGTCCAGCTATCTCTATTTTTGAAGATGGACGACAAACTTCACCGGCAGCTAAGCTGTGACATTCTTCCGAGTACGTGTGCATTATTGTAATTGTATAGACGTCGTTCATATCTTTTTTTTTTCATCTTTTAGCCGACACCTCCAAAGACCTTGCAAGTGAACTTGTTCATTTTGCCTTCATAAACGAGGTACTTGTCCAAATTGTTGTTCTTATTTTATACTATTTGTGACTCACGTTTTTCGATGTTTTTGCAGGAGGACAGTGACAAAGTAGCAGGCTTCCTGGAGGATGCCATCAGTAGGCACCGGGTACGAGGGCTTGGCTCTGCAGTGGCTCAGTGAGCAGAGGACTTTAGACACTCAAGATGAGACTGAGACACATGGACTGAGCTGAGGACATTCAGCCGGGACAGTGACAGCGCCCCCTGTGGTGGACATGTGCAGAGCCACAGTGCGACAGTCTGTGGAGACCTCACACGACGAACAGGAAGCACGGCTCTGGCGGCTGTTATTCCCAGTGGAACATTTGCCTAAAGGACAGTCATGCCTTACTCCACCATCCTACTCTTCAGAATGGGTCTAGTTTTACTTAAGAGACAGTAGATATGTTTCTAAATATATTTTATTGGTGATGAAAAGCATTATTTGCACTTCACCGTCTAGTTGAACATATTTTAAAGGAATATACTGTATAAGTATCCACCCAAACATTCATTTCCATTACGCTCATGTTTGATTAGATTTGTGTCTGTGGAACTATTCCATACTGTTCCATGACCATTTTCATTGTCTTAATGTCTGTCAAAGTTTTACATTACATTACTACGTTATCTTTCACCCTGTTTTATAGCCAGAGAGAGAAAGGATAGAGAGAGATGATGCCTCTTTAGCCCAGAGTGCTCTTAAGGGCTCAGCCCGGAAGTTTAGAAGCCAAAGACAAAAGTGCCCTCATTACACAATTAAACTATTGGCATCTTTCTCAGCATACAGTCTGTGGAGCAGGAGCATTCCAAATGTGTATCAAAGAATATTTCTTTAAACAACAATTAATATTGATGAATCTAATATAATTCATATACGGGAAAAGAGGCGGCAACATGTTGGGGTCCATCATTTACTCAAACCAAACATAAAATTACCATATTGTTGGATTAATATGGCAATATTTCATTGTTTTATGATGTACTTCATTTACATACTTGTCTTAATGTCTGTTTACTATTTTTGTCAACATACTGTACTGTACAGCAGGATTACATCATCTTTTAAAGAGGCCATTTTACATACTACATTTATTTTGCTTTTTGTGTGACACAAACATTTCAGAATGTTCTTTAAAATGTAGATCTTTACATTTGTTCTCAGAGTTGTGTCAGTCAGATGCAACTTTTGGAATGTCATTTCTAAAACAATTAACATATAATGTCCAACTTTGTTCTCTTTGATTGTTTGCTTAAATTTACTCTGTTTGGCTGTAGTTATTGCATTTCTTGAATAATTATTATTCCATGTGAAGCGATTCATTAGTCTACAGTCGAAGTCCAGAGAAAGTGTGGGAGACTTTCCCTGACGCTCACCTGTGTTCAAGCTGCTATACCTTTGTTTGTGATGGGGGGGAGCATTCTTGGCAGCTGGATTGTCCCTGCAAACCAGTAAGATCATTTGATCTTATAGCATGTCTTAATATCCTGCACTGTGTGGCTGTGCCTATTGGCCTAAAACTGCATCTTGCCTTGTCAGTCACAGTAACTTACTCAGACTCTTCAAGAATCTGGGATCTGACCAGATGGGTCTGACAAAGATTATGAATGTTTTCACTGAGCAAATAAATGATGTCCATTTAGTTTTACAACATGTTTTGAATCTGTGGAATGAAATTGGCTTCAGAATTCAGATGTTAGACACATCGATATTTGTCAAATGTTATAGACAATGCAATTACACAACAATAAACAAAGTGAGATGTGAGTAGACTGGGTTTTTAGCGCACCTTTCTCTGAACAGTTGATAGTTGCAGGTCTACTTTTGTTTCTGTCACACACACTTTTTTAGTAAATAGAATGTAAAAGCACATCCACTTTCAGTCCGATGAGAGGAAAATAAAACAATCACAAAACATTAAAAGCGTGAGTGTATATAAAACGCGTGAGTGTATGAATATATATAATGTCCAGAGTAATTGGGAGAAGGCACAGATTGTGTTTGTCTGCTCCAGGGCAGCTGTATCTCCAGCAGTAGTTTTCCACTGTCGTGAATGGTGTGAATAAATAATGCAGAGTGGAGTTTCAATTTGGGTGTCATGAAAAGCGCTATTTAAGTATTATTGAGTTGATAACGGGATAGGCGCATGGATCTAGGATAGGGGCGATATTATTATAGATCCACCATCGATGGGCAACGTAGCGAGGCAGGCCTGGGTAGGTTCTCTCCGTGTCTGCGCAGTTTACTACTACTTTATAATAATATATGAAGGTAATCCATGGTGCTACAGCTGCCACACCAGTCCATTGAAGTTTGGAGATAATACAAATGTTTGTGGTGTTCTTACAAAAGATTGAGTTTCAAAAAAATTGTTATAATAAAATGATAAAACAGGGTTCCCTTTTGCCGCGATTCCAAATCTCGCGATAGTTTTAATTGAAACAAGAGCGGTCTCGCGAGGTTTGTTGACACTGGAGGCCTGGAGACGTGGGTGTGCGTATGGCGGTCACGGAGCCTGGGGTAAAACTATTTTACTGTTACTATTGTTTTCTAGCATCTCAGTGGCGTCATCCATAGTAAAACCTGACTGCGCTAACATTAAGATACACGAATGGTTTCGATAAAGCCAAGATATCGGGTTTGTTTTGAAGAACGCGGAGGCGCTAGTTAGCTTGGCACAAATGTTAGCATGGACGTCGTAGTGCGTGGTCCGCAGACAAGGCCTCACTGCAGAAAATGTTCATTCGTGTGTTTTCCGCGCGGTTCATCTCCTGCACACTTACACTTTGTGCATTTGTACTATTTTGTGTGTGTCCAGATCTTGCGTGTGTGCCCTGTTCAGTTGTTCTCGATGTTTCCACACGAGCAGGGTCACGTAAGCTTTGTCTGACGCTAGAATACGACACGCACAGTCTGCGCAGACCACGGCATGGCGCACTGCTTCATTGTGTCTTCGGTTTCCTGGTGTTTGCATTGCTAGTCTGAAGACGTTTTCTTTCCCCCAGAAATAATTTGATTCGTTAAAGCCTCTGACCACCCTGCTCCCTTTGGGGTTGTCCTGCTCACTGTGGACCCGGGGAGAGCGGGTAGAAGAGGTAAGGAGTATGGCTCCTGCCTCGTCTCGCTCTGGTGCATGTCACAGCCTCATTACGTTATTTTCTCAGGAACTTTCCATAATAATCTGTGCCTAACGCGAAATACTATTTGTTGTTGTTACACCGCTGATCATTTCAATGCTTAAAATGGTTTGATTACGCCTTTGGTTCGCAGGGAGGTCAAACGCAGAAGATGGAGAATGGACAAGGCACAGGCGCAAAGCTTGGCCTTCCGCCGCTCACCTCAGAGCAGCAAGAAGCGCTGCAGAGGGTAAGCTATACGTGCACTGAGAACGTATAACCCTAACCCATAGCTTTTAAGTCTTAAAAAAGCTGACAATCCTGCATTCTACTTTGTAGGCCAAGAAATATGCCATGGAACAAAGCATTAAGAGTGTTTTGGTGAAGCAGACCATAGCCCATCAACAACAACAGCTCACCAACTTGCAGGTGAGATGTGCCTAAATGTCGCTCACATCTATTTCACGTGTGGGCAGTGCCAGAGTAGAGTCTAACCGAATCGTAGTGCGGGTGCCTTTCTCTTTGCCTCGTTGAGAGAGCCGCAGTAGACTGCACTTGCTTTCACTTCCTTTTTCAGATGGTGCTGCTCTTCAGCAAAGGCTTTGGTTTTGATTGAAATAAAGGCAATAAATGGTTCTTGTTTTGTTTACTTACTGTTTGTTGGTTTGTTTTAACGTTGAGGGACTTGTTTTAAGACTGGCGTTCTTATCTTTACTTCGATCTAGCAAAGAAAATACCGTTTTATCAGCTAAGGGATATTTAACCTACTTTTCAGCACTTTTTCATCTTTACTGTCTTTCAGATGGCAGCAGTGACAATGGGCTTTGGAGATCCTCTCTCACCTTTACAATCGGTCAATAGATTATTAAATTACTTTTTGTGCGCATTCCAATTGAAAATGGACTGTTACCCTTCTTTTACCAGTTGCTTTTGCAACAATCCATGCCCTTTGTCAAGAATGCATATTTTATAAGAGGACGTAGTTTTGTACTTTTTCTACTGTTTCTTCATTTCTCTGGGTAATTGGTAAAACTGCTGTTGCTTTCTTGAATAACCAAATCGCTTCTGTAGATTTCAATCAAGATAGTTGACAGTCTTTTGGCCGTTATTTTTTGTTGTATTTTTTCAAATAGGTTTAACAATGGTCATTTTAAAAAATATGCATTTGCGCAGTTAAGAGCAGTAATAGGCATGGGATGAAAGAGGGATATCAATCACTTTGGACCAAAATGAGAGAACTACTTGACAGGTCTTTTTGGCCATCTCAAAGTCAACTTCTTTCTTTGTTAAATGAAATGATCATCATCCCATTGTGTCATCAATTTAGCTGCTAATGTTCATTATGACTGAATCAGAAACCAAAATCCTTGAACGCTCTTTATTTTCTGAAAGAGCACTCTACTTGAAACAGATTTCATTTTCTTTTTCTTACTTGCATCCATGGACTAAAGGTTAGTTGATTATGACGCCACAAAAGGCTGTATGTGCATGAATAAGTGTTTGCCCCTTTGACTTGTTCATTACAACGAGGGAAGAGGCAATATGGTGAAAACTGCGAGGACTTCACCATTTACAACTTAAACTGCAGAGTTGTACTGAATGCTTTATTATAATTGGCTTTGGTTGGTTAGTTTGAGGAAAAAGAAAGCTTAATGGGAGAAACCATAAGCAAGTGTGTGTGTGGTTCCTTTTTAATATAATCTTTGCACTTATCGTTTGCTTTCCCCCTCGTCGATAGGTGGCTGCGCAGCGACAACGTGCACTAGCCATCATGTGTCGGGTCTATGTGGGGTCCATTTACTACGAGCTTGGGGAGGACACAATCAGACAGGCTTTTGCTCCCTTTGGTCCAATTAAGAGCATTGACATGTCTTGGGATTCTGTTACTATGAAACACAAGGTTGGTACATAACAGTTGTTTTTGAGATGATTTTTCCATTATCATTGTCATTAATTGTTCAAATTTGCAGGGTTTTGCATTTGTGGAATATGATGTTCCAGAAGCTGCACAGTTGGCTCTGGATCAAATGAACTCAGTCATGTTGGGGGGAAGGAACATAAAGGTGAGATCCCTGGTTTAAAAACTGGTTTCCTATTTACAATCCTAATTTGATTGTCATTTGTTCCAATATTTTAATTTTGAATTGTTTTTAACCATAAGTTTTAACTTCTGTACAAATGTCTTGACCCACTAATTTATGTCTTCTCGTCTGTTGCTTTTCAGGTACGTGTATTTGAATGTGATTGTGGTGTGTGTATGCTGTGTTTGCTTCCATGATGTTGCCAAGGCTGCGAAGGCTCCAGTTTGACGCCCTGCGGTGTCACGTGCCTCTATGTCCATGTTGTGTTGATGATGGGCTGCGCCTGGTTGGTGTTGCTTGGCCGCCCCATCTGTAGTACAGATCTTGGCCCAAACGACGTAAGAATTAGGGCGTTTACAAAGTGATGCAGGCAGCCTAAACTTCAGGGTCTCGCTTTAGCTGTAACTTGACTTCCGGGTATGCCACCTGCTCACCTAACTGAGCTCCAAGTGCCTAACCTGCGTTTATGCCAGGCCATTGCAGATTAAAAGGTGGCTTGTTTTTAATGATTAAACAGTTGGAAAAAAATAGTTTTTTTATTTTCTATTTTATTTTTCTATAAGTTTTTAATTTTTTTATGAACAACAGATTTCTAGATCTTAAAAGTATTCAGTCTGCTACACTCTCGTTCTACTTGTAGGCCCCACGGAAAACTTAAATTTCTTTTTCTTGGCTGACAATGATGGCTTTTCTTAAGTTATCCCAGCAGCCTTGGAGTGCGCGCCTAGTTCCAAAATAAATCCCTTACTTAGTCGCCCTACTCGTATGATCTGTGCTATAGGTTGGGCGCCCAAGTAACATCGGTCAGGCGCAACCCATCATTGACCAGCTGGCAGAGGAGGCACGCGCATATAACCGAATCTACGTGGCGTCGGTTCACCCTGACCTGTCAGACGATGACATCAAGAGTGTATTTGAAGCTTTTGGAAGGATCAAGTCTTGTACATTAGCCAGAGATCCCAACTCTGGGCGGCACAGAGGCTTTGGCTTCATTGGTGAGCTCGTGGCCCCAGTCGCTTGTGCCCTTGTTGATGTTGCTGTCGTATTGATGCACTTACTGTATTTACTTCTAGAGTATGAAAAGCCTCAGTCATCTCTGGATGCTGTATCTTCTATGAATCTCTTTGACCTTGGAGGTCAATACCTCCGAGTAGGCAAAGCAGTGACCCCACCCATGCCATTACTTTCTCCCTTGACTTCAACAACACCCGGTGGTATGCCGCCTGCTGCGGCTGTGGCCGCGGCAGCAGCCACTGCCAAGATTACTGCCCAGGCAAGTATCTTATCAGAAGCCACGCAATGGCCGTTCATCAGTAATAAGTCAATCTTTCATAAGAAAAACAAAAGTTTCTGGATACGGTGTTAACATAGCTCGATTTCGCTAACATCCATGGTGAGTTCCTCTACCGTTTAATATGAGTGTTGACTGTGCTGCCCTGCTGTGTCCCTCTCTGGTGTCTTGGGCAACACCGTTAAGGAGGCTGTAGCTGGTGCGTCTGTTCTGGGGGCGTTAACCGCTCCACAACTTCTGGGGCAACAAATGGGAATCCCTCAAGCTGTTATGGCTGCTCAGGCACCTGGAGTCATCACAGGTAAATAAAACTTTTAAACACAGATGTCAAATGGTGGTAACGTATGTGTCCTTTTATGTGTCTTTGTTTCAATTATTCCACTCACTTTCCAACTCATTATATTTTGTATTTTTTAGATTAAATGATTGGATTGTAAAAGAGTGCATTTGGATGGTTTGTTTTTCAGTGGCATTGGCCTTGCATTTCCTTTTGACAGGTGTAACTCCAGTTCGCCCTCCCATTCCGGTGCTTCCCCAAGTGGGTCTGGTGAACCCTGTGCTAGCATCGCCGCCGGTCCTCGCCGCACAAGCGCTGGCCGCGCAAACACAGGAAAAGAAAGAGAAGGAGGAGACGCTCCAGGATGGAACGGGACAAGAGATGTTGAGTGACCAAGAACACATGAGCATTTCTGGCAGCAGTGCTCGACATATGGTCATGCAAAAACTACTGCGGAAATCCGAGGTAAGTTCTTCCCATTCAGACGGTTTATTTTTCGTAAAAATTGATTATAATTAGTGTTTTGTTTTTGTAGTCTACTGTCATGGTGCTCAGAAATATGGTTGGACCAGAGGATATCGACGATGACCTTGAAGGAGAAGTGACCGAGGAGTGTGGCAAATTCGGGAATGTTAACAGAGTCATCATCTATCAGGAGAAACAAGGAGAGGAAGAGGATGCTGATATTATTGTCAAAATCTTCGTAGAATTTTCCAATGCTTCAGAAATGAACAAAGCGATATCGGCTCTTAACGATCGATGGTTCGGAGGCCGCAAAGTTGTTGCTGAAGTATACGACCAAGACCGTTTTAACAGCAGTGACCTTTCTGCATAAACTCCGGACCACCACATGGGACATGGTTCATAGACTCTCAGTTTGTCCAACGGAAACTTGTATTTTTTTTAAGATTACGGTAATAATCCTGTCGTAGGATTCGACAGAAATTTGTCCCAGATTTGCTCGGTTGTTTGACAAAGCCTCCTTCATTTTTGCGCCAACAAGATTTTTGCTGAACATAGGCTTCATGTCTGCGCCTGTACTGTTTGTAAAAAAATAAATATGTAAACACTGTCTTTCTACAATAAAATTATTTGTCAAAATTATTGAATTTTAAAGATTTGTTTTTAAACTACTGTACTAGTTTTAGCCCAGTTTCCCTCGGCTCTACTTGTTCCTACTTTACTTCATCTGTGTTTCCGGTACCTTTAGTATTTAGTACAGTATCATAGCAACCTACCCACAACAAACGGCATCCTGGGAAATTCCTTGGTAATCATGACTTCCAGTAGCACTCTGGCCTGTCATTGAGCTCTTCAGTGCCTGATACCGGTTAAACCGTGCTGTGGAAGCGGTCCAACTCAGGGTAGAGCTGTGCACCAAGCAAGGCTGGAAACAAATATCTGTAAACATTCTTAAATGAAGCGAGTCCCCACGGATGAACTGGTAATATCCGCTCCAGATTGTGCTGCATTGGCTATTCTCATTGTTCAATGTGACACTTTCTTTGTTAATCGCCGGAAATGTTCTACCTTGTACATTGCAGTTTTAAAATGGATTGTTTAATCAATATTTAACCTGGTAGATCAATAGAGAACATAAGTACCTGGGTATATCGGCATAAAGCAAAAACTGACACAACGTTGTGTTTCGTCAGATCAATGAACATTAAAAGGTTATTTGTGTTTTATGGTTTGAATTGAATCGTATTCAGCCATTCCGTACATGTAGCAGGGTAACATCGGACTGTCGTTTCAACTGTTGCGTCTGAGCGCGGAGGAAAAGGGATCAAATTACATTTAACCTGGTTTATTTTACAGCCTGTGGCTTTATCACGCTTTTTACTGAGCAGCAGCGTTGGATCGAGGACCATGTTCAGACCGACTACAACAACCCAAGAGTGGGCCTTGCATTTGGGTCCACTGTATTTCTATGTTATACTTGTAAGCAGTCCCCAGAGTACAAAGCCATGAATGGATTTGAATAATTCATCAGATCAGACCAATGTGATCATTCTACTTATCGACTTATTTATTTGCAGTGTTTCAAATCAGGCTAAATAAATGAGTTAAATGTGTTACAGCTGCTCATGTAGACATGATGATATTTACACATTAGTCAATAATCAATGTCTGGAAATGACCCATGGAACTATTATTGATATTTATATTATTTTTATTATTACGGACTGTCCACGGTCCCGCCACAGACAGGTCCAGCTCCTGTGCATTGATTGTTGCAGTGAGCCTCCTCGGCCGCTAGGGGGCGCTCCGTGTTAGCGCGTCTTGGGAGCGCCAGAGCGGCTGTAGTGAAGTGTACCAGGCCCAGCCCCCCACACACTAAACCGGCCTGGCCTGCCTCATCCAGGGCCTGCCTCATCCAGGGGTGGGAAGGAAGCGCGACTCCTCCAGCTCCGCGTCTCTGCTGCTTCACCCAGAACCAGGAACCACAGCACGGACTCCACTTGTGGCGTGTGTCGGCCATAATGAGGACATATTGTGGGCAGATGTTGTGTTTCCACTGCCCCGAGGTGAAGACGTGAAGGTAAACCAGAGCTAACGCGCGGCACAAAGACGTCCAGTGAGCTGCTAGCTTCGTTAGCTAAGCACAGCCGATCACCTGTGTCGCTCTGAGGACTGCAGTCGTGTTGGGTGTGATTGTGGGGTGCATCTCTTTCACGTTATTCCCATATGTATGAATGGGACTGTGTGTTTCAGCCTAATCCAGTGACAAACCAGTGCATAGTTTGGCATATTCTGCAAGTGACTGCTCCTGAGCGTCAACGTGAAACCAGGATGTGGTAAAGGCTAAATAAGCTTTGTTTATGTAATGTGTTTGGACGTCTATAGCAGGAAACCACGTCGTGTTTATAAGTGTGTGTGTGTCATTCTTGCTTTTGATTTGATTCCAGTGTGGATACAATGGATCTTCTTCTGCATCTGAACTGAAACCAGGATACAACTCACCAGCTCATCTAAGGGATTATTTTGTACCTAAGTGGATTTCGGCCTCCCTCCCGGGTTTGTTGTGGGAGCACCGCTATAGTTCTGACTGCAGACCTCGTCCCCACTTGGTTCTTTCTCCTGGTGGTCCTGCCCCTGCGTCTCCGATGAGGAGAGTACAGTAGCACCGGCGTCCACGACCCCCAGGCGGCCGGACATGCTCAAGTGTATCCCCCTGTGGCGGTGCAATCGCCACGTAGAGTCTGTGGACAAGCGCCACTGCAACCTGCAGACTGTCCCAGATGAGGTATACCGCTACACCCGGAGCCTGGAGGAGCTGCTCCTTGATGCCAACCAACTCAAAGAACTCCCCAAGGTAACGACAGTGTAATATGCTCAGTCTGATCTGCAAAGCGCTAAAGTATGATACGGACAGGTGTAACAATAAACAAGGGATTTTAGATTCCTTCTGTGTATGTATGACGGTACAAACACTACATCTCACTTGTCCTGTTTGTTTAATAACACTGGAGCTAGTATACAGATCTCTCAAATGCCAGTTCTCATGCAATGTTCCTAAATCCTGCCCCGTGGATGCCACTTGCATTTTGATTGGTCGCAGAGTGGGAAGGCATGTGTGGAATGAGCTGTAATCCTGTCCCCACCCAAAGTTATGCCTTTTGAAATATGACTGAAGTTCACATGCAGGGTCAGTTTATTTTAACAGGTGTACTACCACAGTATTTCCTTTGGACTTGGAGTTACGGCAAATGGTTATTTTGACTTGAGGCTTCCCTTGCTGAGTTGGGCTCTGTCCTTTGTCAGTCTGGTCACTGATTGTCATTGTAATGAAGCACATGGGTTTGTGTGAACGCTCTGGTCAGTAGAAGTCATTCATGGATTGTATTGACTACTTTGGTTAATAATGAAGCCTTATAAACCAGTTATAAACCAGTCCTGTCTACAAGCTCAGTATTGTGTGTCTTGGGACAGAACATTTGTGTCAAGCAAGCTGCATAATCGCAACTTATAGCCAAACTAGCATCGCCAGAGTGACCGATGTGATCTTGGTCGTATCTGTCTGTGTCTGTCTGTGTCAGCAGGAGTCATACGAGGGGCAGTGGCACAACTCTGTCCCATGAGCTCTATGTAAGCCAAGGATTGTCATTACCATAATAAGCACATGCAGTGGTTCTCCAGGCCCCGCAGGTCCATGTGTGTGCTGCTCTTCCTCCCTAATGTCATATGGCGTTGTCAAACAAGGACCGGATAAGCTTATTATTATATTATTATAAGCTTAAGTATATGGGAGGATTTTCTACTTCTGGGTGGATCATCAAAACTATTGGTCCTCCTCCTCCTAATTGTTAATCATTCTGGTGATACATGCTCGTCATATTAAGATTAATTTTCTTTGCCATTTGCAGTAAAACCACATAGGAATACAAATGTCCCCAGGGTGCACAAGACAAGTACATAACAACAACATAGAACAGATAGTGCACACCAGAGCTCTTGCTGTCAATCAAGACCAGAGAATTTTTTCAAGAAGTGGAGAGGGCGGTTCTTTCCTATAAATGTGCGGAACACCCTTCTATGTACTTATAAGTTAATACAGTGGACATTATTTTTATTTAATTATTGAACATTTGGGAAAAAACTCAACATTGGATTTTTAGACAGTGATTAGAAATGAAATGTATGTTTATATGTGTGGTGTTGTGTTGCTTTTGATCGTCCAATTTGTCCATACATTTTCTAGAAGAGGCTGTAGGAGACATGGCGTTGCTTATATATATTATAGGGGCTTTAACTCGGTCAACAGATGGTGCTTGGGGTGCTCTGTTGGTTTCTTAAGTTTTTTCGTCCACTCACCCCAGCAGGATACCCCCTTCAATCCTTAATAAGTTACCTTGTCCTAAAAAGTAATTCAATAATACATCTTTCCTGTGTAATGCTACTATATAAGTTTTCAGAGCAAGCGATAAGGTGTTTTGTTGTTAAAATCTGGGGCTCTTGTGTTGAAGCGGGAGTAAAGGATTGCTAAGTAGCAGCTGGTGAGGAATTCCCCTCTTCAGCTTTTAGCTCTTAATGCTGTGACGGGCGTCTATTTACTTAATGCACTCCTCCACTAATCTCTTATCCATCTTTTATGGGCTGTCTCATGCCAGGCCTCGCTATGGAAATGCATTTTGTTTATCAATTGCAAAGAGTGTTTAATCTTCCATCGAGTTTGCACTATTACCGTGTTAACAAAGTAACCAAAAAACACGATGTAAATTTGTGTCAATGTGCACAATAACAGATACATCACCACTTTTATTAATGACGCCGATGCTTAAGATGTAGATACTGTAGTAACAATGTGGCTCAGACTCAGAACAAAGACGCTCAGTTCTTCAGATAATAATGTTTAGCAATAATACAGATATGACAGAGGCAGAAAAGGGACAGAGAAAGTAATAACAACACTAAATACACGGAAAAATATTGGGTGTCATGGATTCTGAAGCTCATGTAGAAATGTGCTACTTTGACGCCGAAAGAGTTAATACAGTCACAGGATGCGACATGATTTCTGCTTTCTAATTGGATTGCCAACTTGACAACACACAAATATTTACTGAAATGTATTTTTTTGATCTTTTATGTCACCTGGAAAGTCCCACTGAGTCCTGGCCCTTGAGAGAGGGGGCAGAATAAGGTCAGGGGGAGTGCCACGGGGGAATATTGTACATCTTTTTAGCGGTAGGGGAAACTGGAGCACCCGGAGGAAACATACACAGGCATAGGGAGAACATACAAATGTTAACATCCACTCAAAATGTATTTGTTCAGAAAAGGCCTAATAGGAAGTGTATTGTTGACCTTGTGTTTTGAGCACATAAAAGATTCAGATGTAATTTGAAATGAAAATCTCTCAGAACGACGGTACCATTGTTGAGCATCAGAAGGACTGACATTTTTCCATCCATTTCAATCTAAGAGACTTGTTTTACGGAGGAGTGGGGAGTTATCTTTTGGGCATTCTTGTCTCCAGTCCCATGACAACCTACAAAGAGTCCATTCATGTGTGTTGTGGCGCCCCCTTCATATCCGATGTCATGCGTCTGGGTTCTAAGCACTCAGTTCCTGTCCAGATCCAGGCCCACATTAAGACCACTCAAACTGATCCCACCTCCAGGTATGCTTTTCACTGCTGAGGCACCTGCTGAGGCACCTGCTGAGGCACCTGCTGAGGCACCTGCTGAGGCACCTGCTGAGGCACCTGCTGAGGCACCTGCTGAGGCCCCTGCTGAGGGGAGGCAGGTGCGTGCTGGTCAGTCAATGTCAGCTTTAATCGTACAGCACATTTACTACAACACCAGCTGAATAAAGTACTTCACATGTACAGAAATAGCCTGGCCTTATTGAATTCCATCCGACCAATCAGCGAGCGCGGGAGGCAGGTGTTGTAGTTAGATGTGGGTGATGTCAAGAATTTGCGTTGAACGGGCAGGTTGTAGTTTGGCAATGGCGAAGAATGTGATAGTAAAGTAATCCGATCTGGTTCTATCAAGAAATTGATAGAAAATTGTTATCATGAAACTCCTCACACCTGTTAACGGAGATCAATGGAGCACCTCCCGACCTTAGTGCGAAATGTTGTACTATGGTGTGGTACGACCAGGCTAGTACAGAAAGAGAAAAAGTTAAGAAAACAGAATGAGATATACACAAATGAATGATTTTTCATAACTTAACCAGCCCTGGATCATTTAAACTTTAATTTAGGCTATTCTTCTACTATTAGATCACTGCGGCAGATAACTTGGACCCGAGGGTAGCACAAGGGTTTGACACTTCCAATGAAGGAGCTGCTTAAATGTACAGGGATTATTGGGTTCATGTTGCTCAGGTGAGGTATCAGGCTCCATGTCCCCACTGTCCAAGCAAGAGCACATCCCAAATGTAAGTGGCATTTCACTAATAACGTAAATATCATTCATGTGGACCACAGGTACATGTGTGTCATACTGAATTTGGTACAATTCCAGAACAAAACACTGCTCTATTGTATGTATTCTCGATGACTCAACCTTCTACAGTTCAAATGTTTGTCTAATACAGAGTTCATAAGACAGCTCCCAAGTCCTTCCTGGTCAGATACATTTATCCTATCGTTATTCTTTTTTTAATATTAGGCAACCCTCTGCTTAAAATATTGTTCTCATCTGTGATCTTTGTGTTAATTGGAGATATACATATAATGTGTTAATGTGATATGGAACAGGGGCCTGCATCTGATCTGACAGAGACCACAAAACTTAGCTGCCTCCCCATGTTTAGTCTTGACTCTGGGCTCCAGCACGTGGCAAAACATCATCTCAATGGACCCCACTAGGAAATGTATGTAATGCCTCTTCAATTCTCTCTAAAACGGTGTCTCTGGGATGTCCTTTTTCTACGCTTTCAAGCAGATAATGCACAGATAAAAATCTCTTATCTGCCGTTCTTTGTATACACTCTTGTTTGGGTGAAGTGAAGCTCAATCTAGATTAGTCTTCCAAAGTGCAGCACTGTTTATTTTTCCTTCTTTAAACTGTGTAATAGGACCCAAAGTGAGTCAGTGAGGATGTTGCTTAGGTGCTTACAGTGAGGCAAGAGGAGGATTCAAGCTTTATGCAGGACTTGGTGGCCAGTATATGTCCGTTAAAATCTAGCGTTTTAATTCTCTAGATTTTTATACAAGCCGGACGCAGCATAAGTATCACAGCAGTTGCTAGTTTCAATGGTGAAATCCAGCTTGGGTGGCCATTGCCTCAACCCCAGCAGGTGAACCACATTGAAGTGAGCAGTTGACAAGCACAGACACTGGCAGAAAATGTTTGGAATTGTAATTTTAATGAAAAACCAGTAAAAGCTCAAAGTACTATCTCCTCTTTCGATGTTCGGCCTAGTATTTATTAATCATTGCCCAGAATGAATGCAAAACACTAACATTAGCACAACTGTAGCCTTCCACACAGACCCATAAACTAAGAATCATTAAATAGCCATTTGTACACAGCTGAGATCCTTATGTAAAATTAGTTTAAAGCAATCCTCAGAAAACCTGTGTTGTTTTGCTAATGTTAGGTGCTTATGCTACGAACCTTTGGTGTCTATTATGATTGGGACAAAGAAGAACTAGTGAATCTATTTATGGATCAAGCACAGCAGTATCTCAGTAATGATATTATGTCATTCGCTACTTGCATATTACTCATAATGCTTGATTTCCTTGGGGGGTAGCGAACAATTTACCGCTTTATATATGCCAACAGTGAAGTTTTCCGAATGTTTAGTTTGTGTCACTCTTTGGCCGTAGATTTACTCACAGCTATAATCAAAGAAAAGCTACAGAACAGTTGTGAAATATGATATTAGTTGTGGCTGTTTTTAGTGCTGCCTCAAAGTTTGGCCCTGTCCGCTGAAGCCCTGGAAGCTACATTTTATACATGAGCAGATTCAGCAGGTTTCTTTGTCTGAGCCAATGGCCAGCTGGTCCGACATCCTGCCCCCCTCCCCCTCCTACCCACCGGGACACGGGGGTAAGAGACAGAAGAGAGGTGCCCAGCAGTGCGGGGGCCTGGCATCTCCACTAAGAGCTCTGAGCGGAGCCTCCAACCACTGCCCCATGGGAGTCTGTCCTTTAATGCCTCTTACTTATCCATCCGCCACCAGCAGCAGACAGCAGCTGACATGGAGCGTCAGGTGGACCAGGCCGAGCCCATTCCCTCCAAGACTTCACAAGCACCAGTTAAATCTGCACCCAACCCCCTTAACACGCTTTTGCTCAGACCAAGAGTATAGGTCGAAGTTCTTTAGGCCTTTATTTTTAAGCACAAAATAAATGCAAGCGATTGGTTTGACATGTTGTTGCTATTACTGCATTAGTAAGTTATTGGATTTTATTAAGGCCATAAATAAACATACATTTTTGAGAATATATCTATAACTCCATTAGGGCTGGGCGATTAATCGATTTTAATCATTAATTCGAGTTTTACGTTTAGGGCGATTTCTTTTTTTAAAAATTCGATTTTTATTTTCTCCAGCGCAGAACTACAGCGCTAACGCGCTAACCGCGGGTCTATGGTGTTGAGCAGTCATTTTGAAGCTAACCTAATGCTAACAGTCTCCCTCTGGCCTGAGGCTCGCTCTCACAGTTGGTGCTGTTGCAATAACACTTCAAACATTCAAGAATCAGACTTTATTTAATCGCCAAAACACACACACACACACACACGCACGCAAGCCCCGGTCGCTATGTTCGTACGCCACATCTTTCACGCTCTCTCACGCTCGTTATTCCAAAGCGCACTCCCGTGTCCGTGGCGCGCACACACTCGTGTCCCACTGAGCCGCTGCACTTTGGGGAAAGACACGTCTCACACATTGTTCTCATTGCTCTGATACAAACAACGTGTTCCCCGCTGTCTGCTAGCTACAGTAGCTGCTAGCTACAGTAGCTGTTAGCTACAGTAGCTGCTAGCTACAGTAGCTGTTAGCTACAGTAGCTGCTACAGTAGCTGTTAGCTACAGTAGCTGCTACAGTAGCTGTTAGCTACAGTAGCTGCTACAGTAGCTGTTAGCTACAGTAGCTGCTACAGTAGCTGTTAGCTACAGCATCAGAATGTAAACAGGAAGCTCGCACAATGCGGGAGTCACTGAAGTTAGTATTAGCGCCACCAGCTGGACCGAGCGTTGTACTACAGCACAGTTACTCAGGCACAGTTGAAAGAACAAGCATGAAAACCCGAGGAGGCTTTTGGAAAAGACTGTCTGTTACAACATTTCTACTTTGAGTAATCAGTTTTAAAAATGTGATATTTCATGTAAATAATGCATGTGTTTAATAGGATTGATATATTTGCGATGGGCCTTGTTTGTGTGATTTAAGTTATTTTGAAGGTGCATAGTGTCATTGTAAGTGAAGTTATTATAAAACTGTTAAGCTACATTTTCACTGTTTACAATGGCAGAGCCATCTCGTTTACAAGCATGTTTTAAGGCTTAATTCCTGTTACACTTATGCTCCATGGGGATTTAGATTAAACTGCATAAAGGAAAATCTATTTCTTTGTCAGTTGTAGTTTGTTTTTAAATAGAAAAAAATAAATCGATTTAAAATCGAAAATCGGATTTGGTGTGAAAAAATTGGAGATTTTTTTTTTTTGCCATATCGCCCAGCCCTAAACTCCATACTTCTTGGGAGATCTTTCTCTTTCCCTTGCTTCACTGTTTTCAATGGTGATTCTGATTCTTTTTTTAACTAATTATCTCTTTTTAAACCCCCATTTTAGACGTTAATATATTGATGTGTCTTAATGCCTTTTAGTTTATTTTATGCAGAATTGAAATTGCTCTTGTGAAGCACTTTGAATTGCCATGTAAAAGAACTGTGCTATACAAATAAATGTTGATGGATTGAGAGGAGTTTGCGTGTTCTCCTGCGTTGGGTTCCTCCATGTGCTCCACCACTCAAAAAACATGTCAAACAGCTCTCCGCTCTCTGGGGCCAGTCGTTGAAACGTCATAACATAATAATAATAGAAACTTTGACCATGTATGCCCAAAAAACTGAAACACCTTCTCATTGTAATGTAGGGATGCATGTTACAATGTTTTTTTCCAATGTGTTTTTTGTGTTGCTCGATAAGGGTTAGTAAGTCAAGCAGTGGCGCTGCGGTGAATAATGCATGTGTGCGGTGGCGGCAGCTGCCTCTGTGTCCCGGACAGTGGCTCCTTTTGCCTTATGTAAACATCAGTGTGCGCCGTCGACAGGTCAAGGCCACTCCTCTCTCTTTTGTGTGCGCTCCACTTCTGAACAAGTGCTCAGTCTGAGGGCGAAAAGTCTCGTAAGCATTATGGCAGAGCGAGGAAGCAAACTCGTTAATGAAAGAACGGCCACATCTGCACTTGTTCTGGGAGCCGTCCCGATCAATCAGCTGTTGTTTTGTTTTAACCAGTCTCTGCAGAGAGCGCCAGGGTCATCGCGTACCATATGTTTACTCTGCTTAAGTAAACTACTGTTCCTACCCATCTGTATTCTCCAGTGTATTCTGTATACAGAGGACAGATGCAGTGTATTCTGTATACAGATGCAGCAGGAGTGGAAGAAGAGCTCTAAACCGTGGGAAGGCATCTAAACTATTGACACAATCTTGTTTTAATCAGTAAAAAATGAAATGCCTTATCTGGAGCAGGGCATCAATCATGAGGTTTTTGGTTTTATTGTTGTTGAAATTTGATACTTGTGCACAACAAATGGTGACAATTTGGGATATTAGCATTATAAAAGGGAAATGAAGAGACGGCAAAAACAGTTGTTGTTTATTTATTCATTTCAGCCATTAAACATTGGGCACAAGTCAACTCTAGTCCATCAGTTTCCAACAAAAATACAGTATTTATAACATGCATAAGAGGGGAAAAAAATACCAAAATAGTTGCCTTAAAGGGAGTAGGAAGAAAACATATGCTACCCCCATAATACAAAAATCAGCTTCACTGTAGTGCAGGGCTATCAACAACTTTCGACTAATTTCATATAAAGTTGTGCACTTATAATAACAGTGAATTTAGAAGACTTATTATTCACAAAATGAGTGGTGACTGAGCACTCCTCAGCATGAAAGGCCTGGGTTCGAAGCCTGTTCTGGGGTCTTTCTGAGTGGAGTTTACATGTTGTTTTCTCCAGGTGCTCCGGTTTCCCCTACCACTATAACATGTACAGCTCTTGCCCTGACTGAAGAGCATCAATATCTGGAGACTGGTCCACTGCTGTAACTACAGCAACCGCCTTATAGCAACAACGAAGGATGGGTCAAAAACAGAGAGCAATTTCACTACAGGGTAATAATGTATAACTTGGAGTTTGCATGTTCTCCTCATGCCAGTGCTGTACTACGATGTCCACTACGCCTGATAGATGGCTCAGGATGGGTCAAATGCATAGGATGAAGTGCCCTACGGGGATAAATATTGTGCACCTTTACCTTAAGTTATAACTTACTGGAGATGGCAATTTCTCAATATTTCATTTTTTTGGCACAGCTCCAGTAAGAACAGTTCTGTTGTTCTGCTAATAGAAAATAATGTGTACAGTCTTGACCTGAATACAGCCCTGGATTTGTCTGAGTGTGTCTTTGAGGCTGAGTTGCCTGGTGCGGCCGTCCCTGTGGGTGTGTAGGTCATCCCACATTAAACCTGACCACAAACAAGTGCTTCCTTTTATCTGCTGGCCCCACACAGTCATGCGGCCCCTGTATGAAACCCAAGCTCTCATTCAGCCTCTGCACGCTGCACCGGGGAGTTCAAGGTGCTGCCGTCACATCCGTCTTATCCAATGTTCCCAATGTGTCCAGTGGCTCGCGTGTGTGTTTAGTTTACGTGTCATTTGTTGATGTTTTCCTGATCTAGTTTCCATGGGAGCGTCCAGATTCTAGGAAATGCCAATCATCACGTCAAAGGAAATGTCTGAATTATAATGCTACTGTCACTACATTTTGACCTGATTTCTAATGTGAATGAGAAAGTGATCTAAAAGCACACTTGTTTATGCTCAAGATAATCCATGAGAAAAGCTGTATTTTTTGCATAATGAAGCGATTATGATATTACTAAAATACTACTGAAATTAGCAAATGAACACACATTGAAGTCACATTTTTTCTTGTTTTATGTATATGTGATAGGGACAGAACAAGAATTATTGTTATAATACCAATGCCATGTTCATAGGCCATAAATCTAACCGCTATGAATACGCAGACATAAAAATCACATTTACAGATTATTATAAAAACACAGATTACACACTACAAAATATTTACTATAGAATATTAGTTTTGCATTGTCCCTGCAAGTTTGGTTCCTTTTCAGCCATTGTTTAACAGACCTGAATGAGTTACACACAATGGTTAACTTTATTGTGTGTGTGTGTGTGTGTGTGTGTGAGAGAATTTTCCGGGGTCACAACACAAGAGCCGCCTCTGACCACTCATGTTTGACCACTAAATGAGCGAGCCGTTATTACCGCCGCATTGTGTATAAAAGGTCGGATCTTTAATGTTGGAGCTGCTGTCGTTTATCATACTTTCTTTTGTCGTTTGGAATGTGTCCCTCCTGGAAACTTTCTATTTATGTTTGTGTTGAACCCTTGTCCTCCCTAGAATGCAGCTCAATCGGTTGGTTGTTTTTGAAGGCTGCTCTAAGTTGTGTTACTTGATCGGGATCTATCTTTCGTTTCAGTTCAGACTTCGTTTCAGCAAATGCACTCAGTATAATTTGGGGGAAATCGGTTAATGACAGTGATGCGGAGTCCTGATATTACAAACTGGATTACATGTTGTGAGTGATCAAAAGAAGGTTAAACGTTTGCTACTTTGTGACGAGAAATGAAGACAAGGCAGCAGCGATACTGATATAATTCAATTCAATGTATTCTTGTATAGCCCTAAATCACACTTAACGAAACCATTGAATTTGTCAACACAGATCAGAGAATCAGTTCAAACACAAGAAATGCAGAGATAGAAAACACATAGAGCCATTGGTCCGTAAGGGGCAGATGACCAATGTCCATAAAGGTTGAGAAATGTTAATATATAGGTTAATGTAACAGCTCTACAGTACAAAAATATGGAGGTCAGATTCCACATTTGCTTGGCCATTCCTACGACCTCTTTCTTTACCAAGTGTTGTGGAATGCCTTTGACGTTAGCGACTAATGAAGTCCACACAGCTGATTTGTCGTGAGGAAACGTCGGTATGTGTGCGACCCTGTGGAGTGGGCCCTGCCCCGGTCCGGCACAGACTGCTCCTGTTTACTGCACACTTGAACTCTGCTGCTGGACATTCCTGCTGCTGCCGGCCCCACGCAGCAGTGGCCTCAGAGGCAGCACTTCTGTGGATACACCCTTCTCTCTGGACCGGCCCGCTGAGGAGTTTCTTTGTTAAATACCAGCCGCTCTCTCCCTAAGCTTGGCGGTTTTTAGTTAAGAGTGTGGTGTGTGGGGATAGACAGGAGTGCAGTTGTGATTATGAAGGACCTGCTGAATGAATTGACTTGAAATGATAAAGATTTCAAGGTTTTTTGGTAAATATTCGTACCAATTCAAAATGTGAATAGTGCAACAATAATTGACCGACTTCACCGTCAATCATTCACCATCGCACTGTTGATCACCAAATCTGTTCATGTAGCCGGTGGTTTCAGCTTAACTCTTGTACTTTGTCTGCTCTAGAGAGTAGTAAGTAAGTAAGTACTTTGTCTGCTCTAGAGAGTAGCTTCAGTGACAGACTCTGTGTGAAGAGGGTGTCATTCCTGCTGCTGTCAGACTGTACAAGGAGAACTGCTGAGCCTGTTCATGTCATTAATCTGTAATGTGTGTCCACTGAATCTCACTTTTCTGTACTTATTATCCTGCCCTTGCATATAACTTTGCACTATAAGCATACATGTACATATAGATAGACATATCCATTGATTGATATTGAAGCATTTACAGCTAGCTAAAAAACATAGCAACTACTAATATTGTATATTTGCTGTGCTCCCTGTGTGCTCTTACTGTCCTTTATGTGTGCTGCAACCATGAAAATTCCCCACCCTGGGACAAGTAATGGGTCTCCTATCTTATCCACAGATGATTTAAAAGTAGAAGAAATGAGGGTCTAAATAACCCAGGGCTGGTCATGTTGGAAATAGACATCAATAATCCTCTCAAATTTTTTATTTAGTGTATTTTTTAATCATTGTGGCTTGTTCATGTTATGCTATGTTAGCCGGACGTTAGCTTTATGCACACTTTAAGCCATGTTTGTAGGGGATTTAAACCATAACTTCATGAGCTCGCTGATAAAGATGTTCGAAAATGAGTCTGTCAGCTGAGGTCACAGACAAGTGCACGTCACGGACTAGTGCACGTTACGAGACGAGTTGAAAGGAACAATTGCTGCTCCTCATGCTTCATTACGAGCTGAGGCTGGAGGCGGCTGCGGTGGTGGTTTCTGGAGGAGATCCTGCTGCAGTCAGGTGGAAGGCTGTAATTAGACTGTCTCTGTGACTTATTAGTGAGCTTTGTGCGGCCGTGCAAAGAGCCCGTATCCTTTTATGTGGAGGATAAATCATTGTTGGAGATGATGAGCTCTCCAACATAATATTTAGATAGACATTAGAAACATGACATGGAAATGGAGACATGGTCATACATCAGTAGTTGCTGTTCTCACAGCGGTGCGAGGTTATTCTTTTACAACCTATAGCTTGCCACCCCTTTGCAATAAGTCCCCAAAGGATTTAGAAATGACATAAATTATGGAATATTTATAGCATATTTAAAATCCATTTGCACACACCTATTGTTAATGCAAACAAAAGCTGTAATAAATGATATAGAATGGCAATTATTAGTAATGTTACCCTATTTTAGGCTAGCTCCCATCCTTTAAGTAGACTATTTCCCCCCCCGATGATTAAAAAGTAGCTCGCTGTCATTTTTGGTCCTGAGAAAGTAGCTCTCTGGGTGAAAAAGGCGAGGGACCCCTTTTCTATTCTAAAGTCAGAACGGTGTCCAGCTTGTACCGTTTTCTTCTATAAAACCAGAAACACCCTCATCATTTATTATAATCCTCTGGTCTTCACGGTGATCCCAGGGCCAGTCGTTCCCCTGACCACAACCACCGTGCTAATCTTAAATGCGGCTGGAGAAATGGCCCTGGACTCCGAGGAGCAGCCTTGGCCTCTGCCCAAAACCAAACCGGTCATGGAGCAGAGCTGGAGTGAGGCCGTTTTCAAAGACTTTCTCTGTCCTTGGGCTTTGTACATGTTTCAGCAGCGGAGCAAAGACACTTAATAGCCACACACTGAAAATGGAGCAGTATTCCCACAGGGAGCCGACGAGATGGACGACTTTATCCCGCCGCAGAACACACAGTGCATTTTACTGCCTTTGTTTTGCCATTGTTGCTTAAAGCTATTTACGTCCTCAATCAGGAGTGCGTTGCCTTGTATCTGGTAATACCATCTCTACGATACAATGCGATATATCCTGATGACTTTGGAAAAACTGATAAGTACAAATCAGATTTTGTGAAATGTTTCTGTTTCCCACCTCTACACCTTCTCCACCGACTCCCACTGATGACTGCTGTCGTTGTGTCCTTGGGCAAGACACTTAACCCCACTTTGCCCAAAGCCCCCACTGAAAGATCAAGGCTATGCTCACACTCAGAGAGCAGCCGTCCTCCTGTGGACTCACCACCTGCAGAGGGTCAGTGAGGGGCTGGTGCTATGAGACTTGGGTGGCATCTCTGACTGCCACCCCCCTGACCCAGAAATGGATTTAAGGGTAGAAAATGGATGGATGGATGGATGGTTTCTGTTTGTCTCTAGTGTCTCTGAGCTGCAGGTAAGTCTGCATTAAAATTGAAATTAAAACTCATTGACTGCCAGCCGTTTGTGATGATTTCACAAGAACCACAGAATATCGTGTGCTATGGCTATGTGAAATACGAAACCAGATTCTGAAAGAAGGGCGACACTAGCTCAGTTGGTAGAGCATTGGCCTTTAGGCCTGAAGGTTGTGGGTTCAATTCCCACCTTGACACCTTCTCCACCGACTCCCACTGATGTCTGCTGTCGTTGTGTCCTTGGGCAAGACACTTTACCCGACTTTGCCCAAAAGCCCCCGCTGAGAGATCACGGCTATGCTCACATTGACAGAGCAGCCATCCTCCTGTGGACTCACCACCTGCAGAGGGTCAGTGAGGGGCTGGTGCTATGAGACCTGGGTGGCATCTCTGATTGCCACCCCCCTGACCCAGAAATGGATTAAGGGGTAGAAAATGGATGGAGGGATAGATTCTGAAAGACTGGACTGTCTACTTTCATCAGCAAAAATAAGTTTGTTTGTAGCTAGTTGTTTTCTCCTGTAATCTCCAGTCGAATAGAGGAAAGTTCGACAGAAATCACCGGTCTCAGACAAATACGTCAATGGGTTAAGAGATCCTTTATCTTTCCCACAGCGGAGAAATTTCAGTGTTGCATCACAAGTTACAGACAGTAGGAAGCACACAGCACAAGAAATGAATAATAACTCTACTAAAATAAAATTAAATCTCTAACTCTAGCATAAAAAGCAGTGTAAAATCTAAATCTCAAGGAAAGGGGTCTAAAATCTCCAACTTTAGCATTAAGAAGAAGCAAGACAAAAAACCCCAACTTTAGCATAACCCCCATGTGTGGGGTTATAAGATCACGATATATCTGCAAAACATTATTTTCTAACTCTCATATCTGCCATGTAATTTCCCTAAACTAAAGTCAGATGCTATTGTCAGGTCTTTTGCGTTTGTGTTGGTCTCGAGTTACTTTCTCATTGTGTAGCAAACCCTCCTACAATGTCTTGTTGTTGTGTGTTTCCGGATTACTCTAAGAAATGTTCGGGGAATGGAGATAAAGCTGAGAGTTTGAATGCTGAGAATTGATAAATGCCAGTCACATGATCTTTGTCGGGACGGCACTAGCTCAGTACAATGATTCGATTGTAGAGTGACCTGCAGGACTTTATCTGCGGAATGTCGTTATATTGCTGTGAGATGAGGTGGGAATGAGCGGGCACTGTTTTACTAGTGGCATCATATAGAAATGATACAGGCAGACTGGGTTGATACTGGGACACTGGTCATGTTCAATTCAATGTAGTAGTTATCTTGGAGGACTTAGCAAAACCGTTGCGTTTACCAACACAGAACAGAGAATCAAACCGTTGAAACACAAGAAATGCAATGATAAAAAACACATAGAGCCATTCGTTCATAAGGGGCATAGACCAATGTCCATAAATCGTGATAAATGTTGTTGAATCTGTGTTGTGTATTAAGCTTTAGTTGTGGTGTTTGTTGCAGAATAGTCTTGAGCTTATAGCACCAGAGCAGAGGGTGTTTTCTCGGTCCCCCGGCCTCAGTGTGGGAGCTCTGCCAGTGGGGCAGCACATACCGGAACCAGCTCATCCAGGAAAGAGCCAGTGTCCCATGCGCACTATACACAAATGCCTTTGGTTGGGCTCATTGTAGGAACAGAGAGGCTTGTTCCTCCTGTGTGACTGCACCACTGGAGAATGTAGAGAAGTGCTCAGTCTGGATGTGAGCGAGACACGTCCACAGTTGGACTGGATAAACCGTGTGTCAGCAGTCACTGTGTGTTTGCCTGTTTCTTTACCATCAGGGTGTATTCAGGTTTACACGTATTCATGTATTTTTAGTCTCAGCCCAGTCATGCTTTCCTCTCATCTATTTTGTATAATTTCTAGTGCTGTTTTTAAATGCTTTTTAACCCTCAAAGCACTCAAAATGACGGCTTTTAGTTTTGGAAGTGTCATTACTTGGCTCATGTACGAACTTTGTTACTTTTTCTGTATCTGAATGTATTTTATTTTTTGTTGTTTTTTATTTTTAGGAAATTATCTTTTACTTTTGATATGACAGTATGGTGGTGTTTAACTGAATGCCATTTTTGAGTGCTCGGTAACTAACCAAAATTCACTACTTTAACTTGTTTGCAAGTTTGCAAGGGGCGACAGTAGCTCAGTTGGTAGAGCATTGGCTTTTGAGCCTGAAGGTTGTGGGTTCGAGCCCACCGTAAGACCTACTTCACGACACTTAACCCCACTTTGCCTGAAGCTCCCACTGAAAGATCTCAGCTCCTGTGGACTCACCACCTGCAGGAGGATCAGTGAGGGGCTGGTGCTCTGTGTACTGGGTGGCATCTCTGGCCACCCCCCCGACCCAGAAATGGATCAAAGGGAAGAAAATGGATGGATGGAACTTGTTTGCACCAAGAGCCAAAGCATTTTCTTAATGTGTGCCTTCTTGTTACTCAACACGGTGATAAAATAATTTTGATTCTATGGAATTTAAAGCCCCTCTTTCCAAGGTGCTGGTTCTGGGCGGGTTCTTGAGTGAGAGTCGTTTTACACCAGAGAAGTGACCATAGGTACCACAGCGGCACATTGTTTACTAGCAGCGGTTAGCTTTAATCTGTTTTTGCTGTGTTTCAGTTATATTAATCAGTTTTAGCACATCGTGAACGTGATTAAAGGTAAATAACTTATAAAAGACTTTTGATAAAAAACTGGAGACTTTTTCAGAATTACATTGGTTTGAATGGGGAAAAATGCTACATGCTAAAGATAGCGATTTTATACTTGTTTCTTCTTCATGCTAGATTTTTATTTTATTTAGAATGGAGTTATTGTTCATTCGTCTTGTGCTGTGTGCTCCTCATTCCTACTGTTTTGTAACTGGGAATGCAAGGCTGAAATATCCCCACTGTGGGACGAATAAAGGATCTCTTTAATCTTAATCTTAAAATTAATTCTGGTATTCCTAGTGTTAAGTAGTGAAAATTGATGGTGGTAAGAGTCATTTCAATCCCTGCAGTTTGTTGCCATTGCCACTGCTTAGTTTGATTACATTTTTCATATTCAAAAGCACTCGGCCATGTACCATTTACAGTCTGTAGAAAACACCTTTTGGCCTTTTAGAGGTGTGTGTGTGTGTGTTAAGTAAGCTGTGACCACTATTTCACCATTGCGGCACCCATTGTGTACGACTTCTGTCTATTTTTATAATGCCCACAGGAAGTGGCTTTACAGCAATAAGGGATCATGCCTCATATATATATTTATACATTTACAGCTGGTTGGATGTCGAGTGTGTGCCGTTTTAACCAGGCGAATAAACATTGGGTTTGCATTCCTGACTTTGTGAAAGAAACAGTTATTCAGAGTCTGTCAAAGTACTACGGCCTAGGCCCTAATCTCTTGGACACTCCATGTGTAAGAGCCTTCACCTCACACCGCCACACACACCTGTCTGCTCTCAATCTTCTGCAGCCATCTGCAGCGTAAACACCACACACCAGCCACACATTGTCCTGTTCGAGGTTCAAAGAGCCGTTATGCCGGATTCAGGGGCTTCCCGATGAGTCAGAAGTAGAACTAACTTGGTTGATTATTAACCGGATTTTATCTTTGAACTTGCCTCATGAAAACAACAGGTTATATTCTATACAAATATACATAGTGAATAGAGAAGGACCATAGATATTACCTCACTTGATTTATTATGTTTATACTTTCCTGTAATGGATCATTTGACATAGTTATGGACATCTTTTAACATTTATGGACATTGGTCATCCGCCCCTTATGGACCAATGGCTCTGTGATTTTCCTTACATTTAGTAAGAGATGGAGTAGTAGATGGATTGGAGATGGAGTAGGAGATGGAGCAGGAGATGGAGCAGGAGATGGAGCAGGAGATGGAGCAGGAGATGGAGCAGGAGATGGAGCAGGAGATGGAGCAGGAGATGGAGCAGGAGATGGAGTAGGAGATGGAGTAGGAGATGGAGCAGGAGATGGAGTAGGAGATGGAGTAGGAGATGGAGTAGGAGATGGAGCAGGAGATGGAGCAGGAGATGGAGCAGGAGATGGAGCAGGAGATGGAGCAGGAGATGGAGCAGGAGATGGAGCAGAGATGAGGAGATGGAGCAGGAGATGGAGCAGGAGATGGAGCAGGAGATGGAGCAGGAGATGGAGCAGGAGATGGAGCAGGAGATGGAGTAGGAGATGGAGCAGGAGATGGAGCAGGAGATGGAGCAGGAGATGGAGCAGGAGATGGAGCAGGAGATGGAGCAGGAGATGGAGCAGGAGATGGAGCAGGAGATGGAGCAGGAGATGGAGCAGGAGATGGAGCAGGAGATGGAGTAGGAGATGGAGTAGGAGATGGAGTAGGAGATGGAGTAGGAGATGGAGTAGGAGATGGAGTAGGAGATGGAGTAGGAGATGGAGTAGGAGATGTAATCAGTGATGGGGTCCTAGATGGAGCCAGAGATGGAGCAGATAAGGGATAAGATAAGTTGGACTTTAGTGATCTCACACTGGAGAATTTTAGCATTTGGCATAGATAGAATCACTCAGATTGTGCAAAAGACAGAAGTGTTGTCATGCATCAGTAGTAGTAGTAGGAGTAGTAGTAGTCATTCACTCCATACACGATCCAAGATGATTACTGTTGTGACTTAGGGCTGGACAAAAAAAAAAAAATTGAACCAGAACAAACAAACAGTTGTAAGTGACTTGGTGCATGCAGTATAGTCCCCCGCTCTCTCTCCTGCACCAGTCTGCTCCTCGTGCCTCTAATCCGACCTTCTGTCTGGTCTGCGTGGTTGTTGTGTAGTTAAGAGCACTAATGCTGGTGCTTGGCTGCTCGGCGCTGGTCTGTTTGCAGCGAGCACAGATCAAAGTGCGTGTGGCAGGTGGGCTGTCCGTCAGACGCTCTGTGTGGCCCCCAGACGCCGTCATCACACGCAGCACTACACGCTGCACATTAAAGCTGACAGCCGTAGCAACGTAATTACAGCGTCTTGTCCTTGAACCGCACCATAAAATGTACGTGTAATATGTTACTTACTTATAATGTATAACTAGGCCTAAACACAAGAGGAGTGAGTGCAAATGGGGATCAAAACATATTTGAGAGAAGTGAGAAGTCATGTGGTCTTTCAGGAGCTGTGGGAAAATAATGTGTACATATATAACTAGGCCTGTCGCAATGACTTTGGACTAGCAACATTTTAATATAAATATTATATACAATTTTTACAATATCACAAACGATATACGCAATATTGAAACTATTTCCCACTGGGGTTTTGAGGGGTTTCTTGCCGAGGAAGGGGCAAGGACAGTTATGATCCGGGACCATTTTTAACATGAACTTAGGGTTAGGGTTATTACTCCGTTTGAACCAATGGCTTCTAAGTGTTTGTTATTATTGCATTTCTTGTGTTAAAACTGTTAATTTTTTGATCCGTTTGTTGAGTAATCAATCCTTTGAGATGACAGTGGTTGTGATTTAGGGCTATACACAAATATATTAGATTGAATTGAAACTACCTCAACAACTATTACTACTATTCCACAATTTTTACTTGTGTCCATTTCATAAAAAACATTTGTCAATACATGAGTAATATTTATGGGTTAGGGTTAGGGTATTCATGTTGAACCATCTACAGCTAAAACACCATTTATTAAAAAAGAAAATTACAATAATCTGCATTAATGCAACAAACATCTACAGACCATAAGTATAGAATCCCTAAATATATAGTTTCATCCATCATTTATCTGTCAGTAATGTTAATATTGTGACGGGTCGACTTATAACTTACATCTATCTGCTTTTTACTTATGAACAGGCCAGGGTTAGGGTTAGGGTTAGTCATGTGAGAACTTCCAGAATCAGTCATGCATGTATTATAGTTACTATCTTTGTTTGAGAATACAGAACTTGAAAACAACTTTTATTCCAGTTCCTTTAACTCTGCAGCCTACGCGACAATGTGACCAATGTATTTTTATTTCTTAACCCTCCATCCTCTATCAGCGGATCTCCGGAGCCAATGATGAAGCACACATTCCTGCCTCCTGGTTGTTTATGTGAACAGCATAAACACTGTAGGAAGCGCGGGAAATACACAGGACTTGTTTCATATGATGACTAATTTATGGCTTTATTATTATGACGTTTTAGTAGAAATGTTATTGTTAAAACTCAAATTCCCAGATTGCTTTGATCCCTCTTCATAATCCAGTTAAAACAGTTGTCTTTCTGATTTTTTTTACTTCATCAGCTGCTGTTAAGTCTTAATTACATGAAAACCTGTGGCTTATATTATTATATAAGTGTGGCTAATATGTGGACAATGTTTAGTACTGTATATTTTGAAATGTAATTCTTTTATCTCTCACTCCTTGATGTGGCTACAGTCTGTTGTGCTGGAATGGGATTTACTGGTCAGTTAAACATGACCACAGCCCGCGCCCTCATTCCTCACATGTCCCTCCCTGCCCGCCGTGGGGGTCCTTTTGTCCTATTGATCCTTAATTAATAATTCGCCACTGGACCTTTTCTCCCCGAGTGTCTTCTCTTTTGGAAGTGCTCTGATCCCAATCCTTTTCGGTTGTTCCTGCCTTTTGTTGTCCGTGGCTATTGTGCTGCTCATCCTTCTATTTGGCAACCCAGCTCTGACTCTGTCTTCTCGGAGGAATCACAAAAGGAGAAGTCCCCCCCCTTCCCTTTGCTAAGGCCACAGCGAGGGAGGGGTGCAGCCTGGGATTGACAGCCCAGTGTGAGGCTGCCGGCTCGGCCTTTGTCCCGCTACCAAAAAAAGGAGGGAAGCTAAAGATGGAGGAGGAGTGCACGAAGACCGTTATACACAAGATTTAACATCCAAGAATGTATTTGGCCATTTGCAGTAAAACCATATTGGAATAACTGTGCAAGTCTACCCCAGTGTGCACACCAGAGCTCCTGCCAGCAACTTCTGCAAACGTTTATTTATTTCCTACATGCACAAAGAGATACAATCATATTGTTTTATCAAAATTATAACTAACCCTTAAAACTTGTGCATGGTTTGCAAACAGGTTGATCGAATCAATATATTTGTTTAAATTTTTCTTCCAGTTCTGTCCCTCTGTTTATAGATAGTGTTATTGTCTGAGCTTCCCCTTTTTCATCTATGTCACTTTTATAGAAGTTTATAGTATCTTCAACTACTGCAGCCGGAATTGGCCTGATTTAGCGATTAATTTAAAGCGGTACTAAACTTTATTCTCATGTTGCTTGTTCCAATAGAAACTGTTGATTTGTTGACAGCGTATTAGAATTGTTTTTTTCCTACATGACTATTTGAGTTGATTGGTTGAGTTTGGTCCTCCCTTTTCACATCTGTCTGAAAAAGATGAACAAAAATGCATGAAAAACTAGTATTGGAAGAAAACCGGTTTGAGTGCGAGGAACTAGTTTGATACATTTTATGACATCGTAAAGTTTTCCTGGATTGAAAATTGGGTACCCAAGCTTTAAGTGCATTTAAGTTTATCCTGCTAAAGAAATACAACAATTGTGTGTGCGTAGAATTCAGAAATTAGAATTCATATTGTTGCCACAGGCTTTAATTATTTGCAATATGTGTGCTTTGGCAGAGCCTTAAAAACTTTTATTTGGATAAGAAGAAAAATGGCAATGTATTTAACGACACAATTAAAAATGTCCCAGAGCACGTTGTGTGGGAAGTAGGAATACAGGTTCTCCATTTGTTTTTAAAGTACATAGATCAGTGTCTCCCAAAGTGGGGTCCGCGGCCCCCTGGTGGGCCGCGAGGGTACTGCAGGGGGGGCCGCGGGAGGTCATAAAAAAAAATATTTATATATATATATAATTATTTAATGTTAAATGTATAATGTTTTGTTTGTAATATTAAAATATTTGTGTTCATTATTTGACTTGAATAATCCACTGTAATAATTTTTGTATTACAATGTTTGTAGCAGAGGCTATTTCCCCAAAATAAAATAACCAGAAGAGCCTATTCTTAATGTTGTCTTCTTGGTTATTATTTTGGGGGGCCACGCAGACCCGTCAGATTTTTAAGGGGGCCTCGGTGTTACTGAGTTTGGGAATGGCTGACATAGATAATCAAAAGTTACACAACCTTTTTTAATACATCAAAATTGCCTCTCAATGTTTACGCAATGATTTTAATTACTAAGAATCCTCTTGAGGGGTTTTTGTCTAATTGAGGTCACAGACAAAGCGTTTCTGTGACTGCCCAAGTTACTCACTCAACCTTTTTATCATTTCTTTTATTTCCCGGACATCAACAGAAGTGGAGCTGGCACCAAAACATGTCCCCTCCCCTCTCATTCAGCCCCTGGTCCCCAGAGCGGCCCATCTCAGTGTGGAGTTGGCCCATTGTGAGAGAAGGGGATATTGGGAAGAGTGGGGACCCGGGGGTAGATTTGGCGTAAGATTAGCCGACTTGGGAATGTGCGAATACAAATTGAACTTCCATAAGAGAGGAAGTGAGTACGGGGAGGAAAAAAAAGACATTTGTGCTTTGTGCGTGCGTTTTTTTTTTATAGCAGTGTGTAATTTGACTTGGAGCATCGATTAAACTTCACGGTGGGCGAGCCAGGACACGTTGATTCTGCGCTTTGTGGGTGTTCAATTAATGCTGTACACTGAGCTGCATGTGTCTTTAAAGCTGGGGTACCTGACTTTGAAAACGCACAAAACAACCCTGACCTATAAAGTCCGTGCAATGAGTTGATCACCAGTTTTCTTGTTTGGTTTTTTCACCTCTTTTAGATCAGTTTTTTTCAATGAAATGGAGTCCCAGAATTTGAGAGAAGGGGAAAGAAGTCTAAAGAATTATAGACTCAGAATTTGACTAAATGTCCATGAGAGGTGGAGGACTGAACATCTCAATGCGCCATCTTGAAATACAGTGGTTGACAAGGGATACAATTAGAAAATTAGAATAATGGGAGTTGGGGACCACTATCAAAGACGACATATTGTCCTGCGAAACTACCGTAGTACCGTAAATTACAATATATGATCTCATTACATTACCTATTACCAATATTTGTGTCATCTTGCATTTCGCTTTTCTCTCCCTGTTACTATACCAATGTACCCTTGAGAAAACCCCCCCAAAAAAAGATATGATCTTAACGCTAGATGGGAGTAAAAACTACACAGTGTACTTTTAAGAGTTGTAAAACCTTAATTAATCAATGTTAACCCGGGTTTGTCTCCACATTTATATTCAATAGGGCTGTAGCAACGCAATGCAGATTCAGCATTGTACATTTCTTTGTGATTATGACGGAGGCAGGTCACCATCTCAGCCGTGACTCCATGTGAGAGACTGAATGAAGGATCTTGGCGTGGGCCCGAACCCTCTGATGACATCTTGGAGGGCGTCCATAAGCTAAACTGAAGTCACTTGACTGGAACAGTGCGGTCTCTGTACATCCTTGGCCCGCGGCGCCTTCAGGGCCTTTCCGTGTAAACTTTAGTTGCTTTTTAATTGGCCCCGCTTTAATCATTGGGGGGGAGCGCACAAACATTAGCATTCCAGTGTAAATTTACAGTTTTCCCAAGGACATAAACACTCTTTTAAAACCGCGGGGACTGGTACGAGCCGCACATAGCTCCGCTCTCAATGTAAACAGAGACTTGTGCGAGTCGTGTGCTGGTCTTGGATCTACAGCGCTGGTCCTTCTGGGTCTCACTTGTAGAGTCAGTAAATCTTTGAACCCTCGGGAAGTTCACGTGCACATTACTGCTGTGACGGTGTAAGAGTTGTAACGACGCCTCCTTGTAATGTCAAGGAGTGTGGCCACATTTTTCAGTACAGGACCATAGTAAGAGCACACAAGGAGCACGCAACATATAGAGCAGAGATAAGTGTCTGTGTCTGTATATATGTGACCGTCATATACACAAATACCCATTCTGCTGATTTGGAAATACAGTGTTTTAGCCTGAGCAATAACATTAATTTCACAATGTTGGTTTTATCTAGCTACATCCATGTTGTAAGAACATTTGTTTTTTATTTCAACAAGGCACCATCAAAGCTGGGGTATCTAACTTTGTCATAACTAATTGATTTACACTGTTAACAAAAGAATTTAGTTTGAAGAAAAATACAGGAGATAGTTTGTGGGAAGTTCGCCCTGAACTTCCCACAAACTATATCCTGTATAGAAAGGAGTCAGGAGGAGCTCATAGCAGCTCTGTTACGTCATTAAAAAATATACATATACATTTTTTAAATTTGTTTCCATGAGACAAGATCCAATCCTGTCCTCATTGGGTCTGACTTGACTGCTACCTTTTCACTTTTTACAGCAAAAAGTACTTAAACAGTGTGGATCTACTGTGGTTATATACAACCAAAATTTGGTGTCCCATGGAAGATTTCAGTCAAGGGCGTAGGTTTGCGTGGGGACCATGGGGACATGTCCCCACCAATATTTGGTGAGGACTAAAAAGTCCCCACCAAAATGACATGATGTCCCATGACCCGGACGGTCCGGGACATATGTCTTCCGTTTGTGCACACGTCGCGCCTCCTCCTCGCCTCCAGAGCAACAGCAGCAGCAGCAGCACGTGACCCGTTCCGTTCTCTGCAGTGATTGGCTGTCGTCTTCAGCGCCAAACTGAAGCACTGAGCGACTGTTTAATTTTTTAAAGTTAGCCAGCGTGAAGCAAGTGTTTTTTTCGTTCCCTGAGCGTTGTAGCACGTGAGTAATCAGAGGAAAGTACTGTAGATCTATCACCATTCAAAGTACTTACGTTATTTCTAATCTGTCAGCGCACTGTTTAATGTTCCGAGGAGCTCACACGGCACAGAGACAGAACAGAACTGGCTCCAATAAAGAAACAGGTTGGTTGAAAGGCTGAGAAAATACTTATTGTGCTCTTACTATCCAAAATGTATAAGTGGGTGTGTTGTGTGAATCAGGATAAACTAGTGATGAAAATATTCCACGGATCCACGATTTACAACCTTTATCTGCTGATAATGTAATTTCTGTGAAATGTGTGACAGCGGGCACTTGCTGTTATTTGCTCTAAGCACATTCAAGCGATGCACTCGAATGTGCACGTCCTGGTGCAGCTGCTGCCGCTTTGTAATGACAGCCGCGGCGCTCAGTGAAAGCACAGCTCTAACATGGTACCGAGCTCGGACCATATGCAGACAGAACCATGTTGCAAGTGCGGGTCTCCCTCGTATCTCCCCCGTTTCTCCCCTGTGTCTCTGACATGTCTCTCCCCTGACTCTTCCCAAAGCGCAACCAGCGCTCCCGAAATTAAAGCTCGGATACCTACATTTTCCATTGCGTTAACGATGCATGCTGGTTGTGCGCAAAACACACCACAACAGGTCATTTAAGTTTTTATTTTGCATACTTGAGAGCCCTGTGAGTCATTAGTTGCCTTTTTGGGTTGAGAGTGGAATAAAAAAAAAGAAAATATAGAAAAATCCACACTGTTACTTATTGCCAAACTCTTGTTAACTCATTGTATTGAGAAATACTATGTAACTTTTGACATTGGCCAAGTTATATAAATGATTCTGCAGTTCATGTATATGAATGTCCGTTTTTGATTGTCTATACCTTCTTATATAATTTAGAAAAAATGCCACCTCCACAAAAAAAGATAAAAGATATCAGGAGCTTTTTTAACAGTTGGAAAGTAAGTAAGAGAAAGCACAAGTAATAGCAAATTATGAATTGTGATGATTAATCTTCTGTTAACATACATAGGAAACTCAACCAACAAAAGAGAACAATATAGGGAATGTTGAGGTAGAAGCAACAGGCCCTTCAGTGCATCAGGTGAGGTTGGAATTTTGTAGGTATGCATGGGACTATGAATTGTTTTTAGAGATTGATCGTATATGTCAAACAATGTAGTGAGCTACTCACTGTAGATTCTAATTCAATATTTTCTCCTCTGTTTTTATTTATTATAGGAAAGATCAGAGCATGATTTATTTCAAGTATCGAGAGCAGTTCCTGAACTGTTAGAGCCTCAGGTGAGGGCTATTATGTAGATTTGGATTAGGTTTAAGTCAGTATAGAATGAACGCAACACAAAACTCAGAAGCTCTGATCCAATTGATTTTGTGTTAACTATTAGAAAAAATCCTTAACTGCTTCTCATTCAGTCTACAGCTGAGTTTAGTATAGAAGGCAACACACTATTGCAAATATAGTGTGTGATTACACAACAAATTCTGGGGGAGAAACTCTGGACCCCGTGTCAATGGGTGTAGACTCAGGTCGTAGTGAATGTCCCCACCAAGATTGGAACCAAACCTACACCATTGATTTCAGTGGACATTTGTGATCGAAAGTTTTACTGCAGATTTCTCAAATTGAGTTTAAATAGCTCTTGTGGACGTGGAGTGAGAGTTTGGTGAATGTCTGGCTCTTCCCTCTGCCGTCTACAGCCCTCTGCTGACGCCACAGGCCGAGTCTCCTCCGCTCCCAGTGCTCACACGTCTCCATTAGCAGCTTTACTCCTTCCTTAAGCAAACAGCTTCCCGCCCTCCCGCACCGTGCGCTTGTTCCAGCCGCTGTGAGCAAATGCAGCAGCCTGCTTTGCGATGGAGCTGCCGTCTTCACACCTGCGCGCTGTTGTGAAGACGGAGACGACCAAATGTGCTCTAGTCACTAATGCAGAGACAACGTTGTGAGACTGGGACTGAGCAAACAGTCTATGTAGAATTGTGTAGAAGCCTGTAACTTTATATACTAATTATCCGGCCAGATAAGTATAGAATTTACACTATAGATAGATATTTACTTGCTGTTATGAAGCATTCACTGCTACAGTTTAGCAGCTCCTTGAGTGCTCTTTCTGCTGTCCTATATGTGCGCTGAAACTTTAAAATTTCACCACTGTGGGATGAATAAGGTTTTTTTTATTTTATCAATTTCAGAAGCAACACCAGTATGTATCTGCTTTTGTTTCATTCATATTTTAAAACCTGTTGAAGATGATATATTTATTAATGACTTTGTAGCACATTTTTTCTGCATATATATGAACTCATCTTCTTCCTCTAACAAAAGGTTTCCTGCCATTATCCGTCTGTAACTGAAGCTGTAGCTGTATCTTCTGACTAGAGACAGACTATCTTTGCTGTATGCCCCAGTGAAGGGGGTGAAACAATGCTTTAATGTCACTAACACTCGTTGCTATGTGGTTTGCGTCTCTAAGCACATGTGTCACCTGTTGTGCCAGCTCGGCCCCTCCCGTCCTGGGGGCTGATTCCCATATGGGCTGGTCCCGGTCATGTGATCGTTCAATGAGCTCCTTTTTCCTGTTTGGCCACCTGATACCTGGCACCTGTTCCTTTCCTTTGTTTCCCAATGACCTCTTCATTCTCCGCTTCCCTGTCCCAACTTATTCAAAAAAAAATGTTTTTTTCAAGAGGCACAAATGTGTGAAGTCTTTGGAGAGTCCAGGCCTCGCTGCAGCACAAAACAGCCCTGTTGATAATAAACACAGCACACAGTGTGTGTCCATATTGATGTAAAGTGTGAGTTGTGTAGAGTGTAGTTTTCCTGCTGAAGCCGCTCTGTAAATGTCTTTGTTCTTGCTTCATCAACACGAGCCGTTAAGAGCAGGAAGTGTCTGTCGCCGAGGAGCTGCAGCATTCTTCCGAGTAAAAGGCTTTTGTTGTTTTGACTGGAGATTGTGTACGTGCACATTTCTCCTGCAAGTTTTGTCAATAATGTATTTTTAAATGAGTTTAGAAATATAATACAGCTGCAATTTTGACAAATTGTAATGGTAATAAATGTTGTTTAGGATTGAATGATTGCACTTACCCTGGTTTATGGACGTTAAGCATCGTTATTAGTGAGTGTGGAGTCAGCGTCTGGAGGCTCCTGACCAGACTCTGGCTCTTCTCTGGACACTGCTCTGAATGGAAAAATTAAATCATTTTTAAGAACAGATATTCATGACATTTATGTTCTTTTCTTTCACGCAGCCTTTCTTCAGACTTCTTAACCTCCGGAAGCTCGGCCTGAGTGACAATGTCATCCAGAGACTTCCACCAGAGGTGGCCAACTTCATGCAGCTCGTGGAACTGGACATTTCTAGAAATGGTAAACTCCCTTTACACGTATGTGAAATTATGCTACATACATGACATCACCTACATGAAAATGTATTCTATAATGGTCATAACTAAGATGTATTTTGTCATAGACTGACCAAACTACTACAAATGAGTTTGGATAATAATAATAATAGTTAGGGCTGTCAAAATTATCGCGTTGACTCAAGTTAATTACATTTTTGATTAACGCGTAAAAAAATAATAACGCATATCTGAATGACCCGCCCATTTATCCATAATATCACTCAGAATGCTGCGTGTGAGATGCATCAGAGCAGGTAGGCCTTCTGGGAATTAAAGTTTTAAAAGAATACACGTGTGACCGCGGGGCTGATGTTTGCTGTGAACTGAAGTCCGCCTCCTCCGCAGCTGCTCTGGTTGTTGTTAACGGCTGCAGCTGACAACAACACGGCTGTGAGCGGCTGTGAGCGAATGCCGCTGCGGTAACATGGTCATATAAGACCAAACACGCCACTGGACTATTCTCTGCATGTTGTGTTCGTTTCTTTGCAACCTGTGCGTAACTTGTGCACGCAAATACAGCGCTAAAGTGTCCCTGTCTTTTCCTGAAACTAAACTTAAATAAACTCGCTGAATTAAAGCTTTGGTACGTAAATTTCCCCCTTTCATTAACAGCTCATTTTGGTTGTGCCCAAAAGCAAAATGTTGTGAGCAAGTCTAACAGATTTAAGTACATTTGGTCTGAATGACAATGTGTAATTAATTACATTTGATAATCTCATTTTACTTCAAATGAAGTGGATTTGAAATAGAATGTTAAAAATGCGATTAATCGTGAGTTAACTCACCATTTCTGTGCAATTAATCAACTAAAAAAAATGAATCGTTTGACAGCCCTAATAATAATAATACATGTTGTTGATAGTGTCTTAATCTCCTTCTGCCGCAGACATCCCTGAGATCCCGGAGAGCATCAAGTTCTGCAGAGCTCTGGAGATCGCAGACTTCAGTGGAAACCCTCTCTCCAGGTAGCTGCATAGAACCTGCACTAGTGATAACGTTTGTCTTAAATCTATTCTAAATGTAAAATGTTAAACTATTAAACACACGGTTCCCTTCATTGCCCACATTATTATTATTATTATTATTTGAACTGTGTTTGTTTCTGATGCAGATTACCAGATGGCTTCACGCAGCTCCGTACACTGGCTCACTTAGCGCTGAATGACGTGTCTTTGCAGACGCTGCCCAACGACATCGGAAAGTACGTCCCTGAATCTTTTCTCTGGTCTTTTCCCCTCTGACTTTGAAATCGACTCGGTTCAATGTTCTTGATTTACCTTATATTTCACATGTGATTGAATGAAACTATGGATACTGTTATTGTGAGCCCTGGCACCAGCTGCATGCTCCCAGATGGAGGCGCTCCTCGTCATGCCAGGCCGCTCAGATTTACCAGACAGGCCATCTGACAATCCAACCTGCTCCCTCTGTTCTCCTGCTACATGTGGGCATCGGCCAACTAAAAACTTCTACCCTTTCTACCCATTCTACCCATTCTACCCATTCTACCCATTCTACCCATGCTACCCATTCTAAATCACTTACTCAGCCTCTGTTTCTGTCTCCAGCTTGGCCAACCTCGTAACATTAGAACTCAGAGAGAACCTGCTCAAGTCACTCCCCACGTAAGTCTCCCATGTTTTATATTTTCTCATAATCTTTATTGGAAGCAAGGACGGTGACAAATTGAAGTGAAATTTGAACAAATTGCATTATACAGAAACGATCAATATTTAAATGAAATTCATACAAATAAGAAATAAAAGGATGTAGGGAGAGGGAGGAGGGGGCTCGAATCAAATGTATGTATTTTGGGGTGTGTGTCTGTGTGTGTGTGCGTCTGTGTCTGCGTGTGTCACTGTTATTGCTAGATATATCATCACAAAAGTGTGGAGATGTAGTTATTGTTGTTTGTAAAAGTGTGTGAACGGTGTTTTGTTGTGATTTTACCCTAAACATATGTAACGTTTCCTAAATGAACCCATGCCTTGTCTTCAGGTCACTTTCCTTCCTGGTGAAACTGGAACAGCTCGACCTCGGCAGTAATCAACTGGAAGTATTGGTACGGTGGCAGCTTTTCCTCTTTTACATCATTCCTTTCCACCTCCTGTGGATTCCTCACGTGCCCAGACTGTACGTGCTGTTATAGAATTATATACCCCATGAAGGAGGAAACTCAAAGGTCCTTTGTCTGGTCAAAAGCGTAAGTTTATTGTTAACGCACAGTGCGGAGAGCCAGCACATACACTCCAAAAGCAGCATGTCCCAGCTCTGGGGGCCAGAGCCCCGAGCTTCCTGTATACAAGACACACACCAAAGATAGTCACGCCCACAACGGAACGGAGGGAGCCACCGGTGAGGAGGCGCACAGGAAGCGCCGGCGCTATCCCCTGTGGTGGCAGTGGCATGGGGTGTGAACAGACAGACAATGGTGGAAATGCAGGTCATACAGATGCAAGACGGAAAGACACAAGGGTGTGACAGACAGCAGGGACCTTCACAAAGCTCAGCATGGCGTCAGAAGGTCGTCTGCATTGATAAAAGGCCTTTGACGTCCGTGTATTTGCTGCGGCTGGTTTTAATGTAATTACTCCAAAAACTGTCACCACACTCCCCTCTTTTGATAATTCAAAACCATTTTTGCATTAATCAGTTAAATACCAGAGGCATCGTAATCACACCACCTTCAAGCTTGAAACACTTAAATTATTGCTGTCCAAAGTGGACAAGAAAAGACACATGCTTGTCAATAAAAGAAAGAGCACATTATAATAACACAATGGATCCGGACAGCGATAAGAGAAGGCAATATTAACATAATAAACACGGTCAGCACGGAAAGTAGTGTCAGTGTGGCCAGCATAACAGTCCAAGGGCCCATTCCGGTCTTAGCCGGGCTACGTTCGGTAGTCTTTTCCGCGGGAATACTCACGAGCAGTGCCGTCTCGCAGTCAGTGGCACCGCTCCCTATGAGCGTGTGTGGAGCGTTAGTGGTCATGGCGATGTTTGGTCTTGGAGCGGCAAGACTCTAATTGCGTTGAAGCCTTGGCCTCAGCACTCGGTTGGGCAGAGTGCTCGGGGTTTGGGGTGTGGAGACCATGGCTTGAGCACGCTCCAGATCGGCCAGGCCCAAAGCTCATTTGATGGGAGACCTCATGACAGCACGCTTCACCATGTGCCTCATCAGGAACTGTAGAGCAGCCCTCATCTCCACCTCCTCCGGACACACGGGAGACGAGACACCAGGGGGGCACTCCAGCAGAGCTCAAATCTGCATTATGGCCAGAGGGAACAAGCTCTGGAGAAATCTTTGGAATGGGCAGCAGCTCTGCATACTTGCTGCAGCTGAGCAGAGCGCTCAGGGCCTTCATGGCTCCCAAGCCTTGGGATCCGGGGGCTGGGGAGTTGGGCAAAAGGGGGGTCGCCTCGGGAACGCTGGGATTCTCTGGGTGTTGTTGTTGGCCTGCTTCACCGACGGTGGCCGCACGCCGGCCGACTTCTTCATCGTAGGGAGCCGCAGATGGGCCTGGTCCGTCCGCGCCCTCGGTGTCCTCGTCTATGGCCCTCAGTGGCAGCACCGCACGACAGTGGTTGGCGTGGATCCAAGTTGTCCTCTCCGCGACCTTAACGGCAGTGTCCGTCACCAGGAGGGCGAGGAATGGGCCGAGCCAGCGCTTGGACCGCCAGTGCTTTCGTCTCGTTTCCTTCACCAGGACCCAGTCGCCTGCGCAGCCTGTGGCAGGGCGCTCCTGACCTGGGCAGAAATAGAGGACAAAAGTGCATTAATTTCCTTACAATAGGACAGCATGTTGTCATCACACAAAGAGGTGCTTGGCAGATCTCTGTTCGGGGGTCCCTCGCCCAAGTTGGGTGGTCTGGCACAGAGGATTTCGAATGGGACTCTCATGCGCATGTACATGAGGGCTAGCGGCAGAGCTTTGAGTGCCATTCTCTCGCTCGCACGCGCCTCCGGGCCAGGGGGCGTAACTGCAGTGTTTACGTATATCAATGCCCAGAAATTCACCCACTTCCTCAATGACTTTTGCTACAAAGTGACTGCCAGTGTCACTAGAGATTTTTTCTCGGGGCACAATTTTTGTGAGCAGAGCTTTCACCACCGCGTTGCTTGTGGCGTGTATGCCTGCAAATACTTCAGTCCATTTGGACCAGAGATCCGCCAGAACCAGACAGTATTACTTACCTTGGCATGGTGTGAGTTCAACAAAGTCCCTTTGGACATGTTGAAATGGGCGCAGGGGCGGAGGATGAGCAGCCTGTTGGATACTTTTGAGACTTACCTGGGTTGTGCGCGGGGCATATAGCGCATGTTTGGCTGAATCTCTGTGCAAATGCCGTAAACCCCTTTGTATACCAATTTTGTGTGATTAAATCACACATCATCCCTCCTTTTGAGGCATGGTCTCGACCATGTGCTAAAATTGCAAACTGTCTGAAGAAATGCCGTGGTAGGCACGGTTTGCTGTCTGGTCCCAGCCACACACACCATGCCGTCGTTGAGCCCCATTCCCCTCCCACAGCAGCGTCTCTGCTGGAGTAGAAAATATCAACGTCTTGAGTGAGGTAGTGTGTGTGTGTGTGTGTAGAGGTGCGTATGCCGCTGCCTTGTCCGCGCGCCGATTCCCTGCAGAGATGGGATCAGTGGCATTAGTGTGGGCCTGGCATTTGCATACAGCGATCTCTAAGGGCAACATTACAGCTTTCAGCAGACGTTCAACCTGTGTGGAATTAAGAATTGGTTTACCATCAGATTTCATAAAATTGCGGTGTTTCCACAGTGCTTTCCAGTCGTGCACCACAGAGAAACCATAGCGCGTATCACAGAATAGGTTAACAGTTTTGCCCGCTGCCAGCTCACAAGCCCCGGTGGGCGCGACCAGCTCAGCGGTTTGTGCTGAGTGGTAGTGGGGCAAACTACCAGAGTCTATAGTATCAAAATCAGAACACACAGCATAGCCGACTCGGTTCTTCCCAGTGTTGTCACGTGACGCGGCTCCGTCTGTATATAAAAAAAATCAAGTCAGGATTAGTCAGAGGCACCTCTTTCAGGTCTGGCCTGGGAGTGCATATCTGTTCTATTGTGGCGATACAGCAGTGTTCCTCCCCTTCCTCTGGCGTGGGCAGCAGCGAGGAGGAGTTCAGCTGTGTGCATTCCTTCACCGTAGTTCAAAGAGCACCGTGTTGTACCCCAGCCAACGAGCCGCAGAAAGGCGAGAGGCCCTCTGCTCTAACAGGATCAGGGAAACAGCATGGGGCACAAGCAAAGTTAGTTCAGTGTATCCCACAAGGTCACGTGATGCTAGGGCCGCTTTCTCAGCGGCAGCCACAGCCCGCAGGCAGCGAGGCAACCCTGCTGCCACGGGATCGAGTTTTGCTGAGAAGTAAGCAGTGGGTCTCAGTGGCCCTCAGTGAGGCTGCAAAAGTACCGACTGTTCCGTATCTCCAGTTGCTTTTCTCCCGGATCGTCCTCAATTCATATTGTGGGCTTTTGTGCCAAAGTGGAGGCTCATTTCCTCCTGATCCATACTACTGTCATCCCTGGAGCAGGGGTAGTTTATCTCTCATCTGAAAAAGAAATATCAGAACACAAAAAAAAAAAACACAAAAAAATGCCCACTTTCGCTTGTCAATCTTTTTCCAATTGGGCAAAACATAACTGCATTGACAGACGGTGTTTGACATCAGGGCAGAGGCTGTAGCAAAATACAGACTTAACAAAATGTATGTTTCTAATTTTATACTTCCCTAAATGTGAGTTTACAACCAAAGTTGTCCTTCACCCAACGACAGCTCACTGCGGTTGGACTGTGTCGCTGTCAGGACAAACAGCAGAGGGAGGAACTCCCAATATCTTCAGCGAGGTATTTCATCTCCGAGTACTTTCCGCAGAGTACTTTTCTCCGAGTACTCATCCCAGAGTACTCTCACTTTTACACCTGTTCAATAAAGCTTGTTATCTTTGAATCTCTAGTACTTACACCGTATGCTGTTGACAAAAAAATAATTATTCCATGATCACATTAAAACATTACAGACACATTTGTTATTCCATGATTCCGTTCAGCATTCCTCAGTTCACTCCTTATTTCACACATCACACTCATATCACAGTCACATCACAGTCACATCACAGGCCGATTCCCCCACGTTAGTATTTTGGTCCAGTTTGTTAAGGTCGACGTAGTGTACTTTGACATGACACACAAACATATAACATACACAAAACATATAACACACAAACATGTAACACACAGAAGGCCTGTACTTTTAACTTTGTTATATTTTTCCATGTCCAATTCCAATTGTCTCATGAGCTATTTCTTATTGTTGCAACTTTCAGAGCCTGCAGAGCTTTAAAAGAGTTTTCCTAAAAGGATCCATTTCCAACTTTAGTGTTTACCACGTGGTCTGTATTTCGGGCTTATCACAGATGGTGTCCCCTATATCTCTAATGAGCTCTTGTCACCTAAAAAATGTTTATTTTCCTTTTTTTTTTTTTTTTTTTCTTTTTCAATAAAGCCAGGTCGGATTCATTAAAAATGTAAATTAGTCTCAAACTTTAATACTTCACCTTTGTTTCACGATAAAAATGTTTTTGTTGCTCATTAAGTAGCACAGATAGTGGTGCCTATCTCAATAAACGTACTCCGTTAGCCTATCTTCCCTACACTGCATGAATTTTCAAACTCCAAGTTATTGTCTGGGAACGACCGGAGAGAGCAGCTTAGGTCGTTCGCGTGGTTGACCTCCAAATTTTGTGCGGGCGTCACTATCCACTTGTTGTGGCTAATAACTTAGCAATCTCAGGGTTTGGTGTCAATTTCCAGTGGTAGTTAACTTTTGGGACCGGTGCCTCCTTTTATTTATCTATTTTTAATTGAGTCTGCACATAAGGTCTCGGCCTAGTAGGTTAACCGGGCACAATGGGGAATATAGAAAAGAATGTTTAAGCTGGTTGCCCTGAGAATCAAAACACGTTAGCGGTGACGTAAATTGCTCTTTAGTCGTCTCTCCGACGCTGCTAATTAGAAATATGAAGCGGCCGCTCATTTTAGGGGAGACAGAAAGGCTGTCACTTTTAGCACAGAATTTGTTGCCCCGGAGTCATCCAGAATTTTAACTTGTACACCACAGGTTGTTAGCGTATATTACGGGCATGAATTATCTCTAAAAAGTGCCAATTGCAATTTGTTGTTGTTCAACTTACATGAGCGGTCGCTTTGGTGACGAATGTGAACCCAGGTTTGGTCAGTCGCTCGTGTTTCCTCCGTGCCCGCCTCTGCCGTCCTCTGGCCCCGTGTTAGCTTGAGCGTTCCTCTGCCTTTAACGCCTCCTCCGGTAACAGTCCTTCGACCCATGTCGAGCACACAGTCTTTCCGCCGGGCTGTGGAAGTTTTTCAAAGTCCGCAGGAGGCCCAGGTAGCCCAGAGCGTTAGCATGTGGTCCATGAGGGTTGGTGAATAACCCAAACGTGCCGGTCACAATGGCTTCTTCTGTTTGCGGTGCGGGAACAACTTTCAAGCGGGTTTCCGCGGGTGCGTTTGGTATATCACGCTGCCCCCTCCGTGGAGAACAGTCACGGGATTTGGAGCAGTTTCTCTCTGTGCTCCAAAGCAGTTGTCGGTGTCTCACATATTTGTTTCCCTCGCTTCTTCTTCTGTGGTTTCCTGAGCGTGTGTCTGTTTCCGCCTCTTCTTCTTCTGCGGTTTGGGCCCACTTCTCGCGGGGTCTCAGCTGGTGCGAGCGCCGCCTGTGGTTGGGGCGTGGGGCTGGTGCTTTGAGGCAGAGGACAGAGCGCGGAGGAAAGGCGCCGACAGACCTGGATAAGGGAGAGGGAAAAGAGACAACAGTAGTCTGCTTCATTTTTTAAAAACCCAACGCCTCGTTTGGGCGCGTACTTAGCATGGAGTTCTGCTCCTAGTGTGAAAGGGTTAGTAGGTGAGAGAGGGCGTGTGTGTGCGCCTGTGTGTTCTCCGCTTCGGTGAAAAGCGGAGGAGCTATTGTTTTTACATATTTCTTTCTCTAACCTCTTTTGCCGTGATATTCTTAAAACCAAGTATATATTTTTTTTTTTCTTCCCTTCTTCTAAATTATCACGCAGATGACCTGCACCATAGGCAAGCACTTCATAGCTTGCATCTTCTAGATTGTTTTTTACCCATTTTCTCGTACGAACAATGGGCCTAACCCGCTTAGTCTCTCCCTGCTCCTACCCACTTTGGGGCGCTCCGTTCCCCCCCCCGCTGGTTCAACCAGCGAGCGCGCGTTCTTGAAAACGGAGCGGTTCTGGCTGAAGACACTCGGAGATTCCAGGGTCGCTTACAATGCGATACTAACGCGCAGCCGCTAGTTTCAATCTAGAACAAAAAGCCCCCCAAAAAATCCCGCACACAGACTATGCTGTGGCAATGAATGAAATACCCCAAAAATACATAAATAAACAAATCCCCGTGTACACTTAAGTGCTGCCCTGGGCTCGTTACGCAGATGAAAAGACAAGACTCACCAGATTAGGTTCTTTTTGGTCTTGTGTGGCAAAAGGATTCCTTCCGTGCGCGGGACAAGCGCGCCCTCCTTTGTCTCCAAAAAGGAACAGAGGCTGGTGATCCAGGTCGGCCAAACAAAGCCGCTCGTCCCCGCCGAAAGTATCCATGCCAAGACATGTCAGCAACGCCAAATTGTTATAGAATTATATACCCCATGAAGGAGGAAACTCAAAGGTCCTTTGTCTGATCAAAAGCGTAAGTTTATTGTTAACGCACAGTGCGGAGAGCCAGCACATACACTCCAAAAGCAGCATGTCCCAGCTCTGGGGGCCAGAGCCCCGAGCTTCCTGTATACAAGACACACACCAAAGATAGTCACGCCCACAACGGAGCGGAGGGGGCCACCGGTGAGGAGGCGCACAGGAAGCGCCGGCGCTATCCCCTGTGGTGGCAGTGGCATGGGGTGTGAACAGACAGACAATGGTGGAAATGCAGGTCATACAGATGCAAGACGGAAAGACACAAGGGTGTGACAGACAGCAGGACTTCCAAGGCTGTAATAAATAAACAAATCCCCGTGTACACTTAAGTGCTGCCCTGGGCTCGTTACGCAGATGAAAAGACAAGACTCACCAGATTAGGTTCTTTTTGGTCTTGTGTGGCAAAAGGATTCCTTCCGTGCGCGGGACAAGCGCGCCCTCCTTTGTCTCCAAAAAGGAACAGAGGCTGGTGATCCAGGTCGGCCAAACAAAGCCGCTCGTCCCCGCCGAAAGTATCCATGCCAAGACATGTCAGCAACGCCAAATTGTTATAGAATTATATACCCCATGAAGGAGGAAACTCAAAGGTCCTTTGTCTGGTCAAAAGCGTAAGTTTATTGTTAACGCACAGTGCGGAGAGCCAGCACATACACTCCAAAAGCAGCATGTCCCAGCTCTGGGGGCCAGAGCCCCGAGCTTCCTGTATACAAGACACACACCAAAGATAGTCACGCCCACAACGGAGCGGAGGGGGCCACCGGTGAGGAGGCGCACAGGAAGCGCCGGCGCTATCCCCTGTGGTGGCAGTGGCATGGGGTGTGAACAGACAGACAATGGTGGAAATGCAGGTCATACAGATGCAAGACGGAAAGACACAAGGGTGTGACAGACAGCAGGGACCTTCACAAAGCTCAGCATGGCGTCAGAAGGTCGTCTGCATTGATAAAAGGCCTTTGACGTCCGTGTATTTGCTGCGGCTGGTTTTAATGTAATTACTCCAAAAACTGTCACCACAGTGCGCTAATCTGTAGGCAGAGAGCCGTGCACAGTGCTCTAGACCAGTGCGGTTTTGTGTCGAGGGAACGCCCACTCTCCTCAAAAGAAGAGACCAAACAATGCCTCTGACCTGACGAGGGTGGAGGCCGAACAAACAGCTGACGACATGTGGAAGCCCGGCCTCTGTCACGAGACACACTGCTATAAGATCTTGTTTTCAATTGCATTTCAAGTAATTTTTGTGTAGCCCTAAATCACAACAGAGGTTTTCTCATAGGACGTTGCAAAGCTGTGGATTCGCCGACACAGATCACACAGGAAATACAATAATTAAAACACATACAGGGCAGATGTCCCAATGTCCATAAATGTCATGTTTTAAGAATATATAATTGCAAACATGAATGAAGTTTATTTCGGTCACAATTCTACACATTGTTCCATTTTTAACAGAGTAGGCTAAAGCTAATGCTAATTTTGCCTATGCTTTTTTACAAGTGCGATTAGTACTGAATGTATAAAATTATTATTATTATAAACAGCATTTCATTACATTAGTTCTACATATTTGCTTTGTGAACACGTCTACGTTGACTAAAAACATGCTGATGTAAAAGAGAAATGTCTGTATCCCACCACTCACAATAATCCTCAGTAATTTAATGTTGTTGATGTGTTTAGCCTGACACTCTTGGAGCTTTGCCGAACCTGAGAGAGCTATGGCTGGACCGCAACCAGCTGTCTGCATTACCTCCAGTGAGTGCAATCCAACTATATCATTACAATTTACTTTAGCGCTAAAATTCTTAGTTTTTTTTTTTTTTTTCTTTATCGTAAAATGTATTTGATCTTTGGATACATGTGACCTAAGTTTGAATGTAAAAAATGACCCAAGAATTAATAAAACTACTATTAAGTGACTAAAACATTGCTTGAATAGACTCAGTTGTCCATAGTCAGCTATTTAGTGTAAAAATATGTGACATTGTGTTCTGCAGGTTTGAAATAAATTAAAATTGTAATTGTGCCTGGTGTGTTTGCAGGAGCTCGGGAATCTCCGGAGGCTGGTGTGTTTGGACGTGTCGGAGAACCATGTGGAGGAGCTGCCCACAGAGCTCAGCGGCCTTATCGCTCTGACAGACCTGCTGCTCACACAGAACCTTCTGGATGTGGTCCCAGACAGCATAGGTGAGCCAGGGGGCACTGAGGCGGAGGTGGTCTCTGTTCTAGTCTAGGTGAAGTCGGTGCATTTGACAGCACAGGGGTTGACGAGACACTGAGAAGGCTGGGTTTGGTGACCAGAACAACGTCGCCCTCTTGTGGATCGTCACAAACAGTGAGACTTGACGGCGCAACAATCAAATGCAAAAAGAATCAGTCAAAACTCGAATGAATGCTTGTGATTTCATGGCTCTGTGAACGAGAGCTTTATGCAAATGTGCAATAGGAGGTGCAATATGGAACCACGTGTGTCCACTCAGGGGCGCAACAACCCACTTTCTGGGGGGTATGCAGACACACAGCCCCCCCCCCCCCCCCCCCCCCCATTGTCATAACTTTGCCCTCTACAATTAGCCAGCTCCAAACCCAGACTATCTAGTACCCCGGTCAGTGAATCTGTGAGGCCTTTCCCAGTTGTGTCCTTCACAGCAGTGAACCCCACAAATGACTCGGTTATAGTCACATTCCTCTTCTCATCTGTATGCACATACCTTATGATAACTGAGGCCTGCTCCTGCTTTGAAATATCAGGTGTGCATTCCAATTCCACTGCAAAGTACTTGGAAGCTTTGATCTGGGCACCAATTTTACGTAAAATACATTCATATATTGAATTTAAAAATTCATTTTGAGTGCACCAGGACAGATATCCTGTGGTTTTCTTAGAGGCAGTCTTTCTAAGATGCTCTGCTAGTGTAACATCATACCGTGCTATGAGCTCAAGGATACCCAGAAAATTTCCATTTTTAGGATTTCCTAACTGTTCATTCTTCCCCCTCAGTGGCAGGTTCCTTTCAGCAAGGAAGAGTATGCAGTCGATCACTCGAGTCAACACACTTCTCCAGTGTGCTTTTTCAGCGGCCATGGCTCTCTGCAAATCACTATCTATAGTTTTACCTAGGCGTAAGCGGGATGCCAATTCTTTCCACTTCATATAAGCATTTATGTGATCAGTAGTGGTTTCATGGCGCTTTAGTGTTTTTGAAAGACACTGCCAGTTATTATACCCCACCAGAAGGCGCCTGTCAACAACTCTAGCTTCACCAAACAGCTTACATGCAAAACAATAGACTCTGTTAGAACTTTTGGAGTACATTAACCAATCCCGCTCCACTTTCTCTCCATTTGACAGTAAACAAAAACAGTATGCTTTGGAAAAACACCTTACTCTTTTCTGATCTTGGATATGGCCCATCAGGACATTTCTGTGGGCCATTCTCAACCAAGCACTGCCTAAATGAATCCCTCATTTCATGTGGTGAAGGCCATTCAGAGGGATCTCCTAAGTAAGGCCTTGCCCCAGCCCTCTCCACTTCGCTTCTCTGTTCCTCGCTCTCCTCTTCACCTCTTAGATCTTCATCATCATCTTCACTTCTCAGATTGTCTTCAACATCTTGTTCACCTCTTTGTCTCTCCCTCTCCTCTTCACCTCTCTGCCCCTCTCTCTTCTCTTCACCTCTCTGTTCTGCATTCTCCTCTGTGGGGATTGACTGGTCATTTCTGCCTGCACTAATTTTCCAAAAAGGACGTAGTGAATAGGTTGGTCAACAGAAATCGAAACCATACTGGGCATTTAGTTTTTAGTTCCTCACTAGTTTAATTATTCCTACCTGGTGCCATGACTGGTCTTCTCTATAGCAGATGCCATCGCTGACCTCATGTCTGTCTCCTTTGCCCCCTGCCTGTGTTCTTCTCCACTAAGTTATATTGTCAAACAAGTCATATTGTCAAACAAGCATTAGCGTACTCGTTATTAACTTTGAATAATTTAATTACAATATAAATTTTCAATATAATATTTAGAAAGTAATCTCTTGGTATCAAGTGGTTGTTCCTACACTTCCATCTAATATAATTCGACCAACCTGTTGCCTTCCTCTGCCTGTTCTGATTCTTTCTCTCTGTTCTTGTCTTTATCTCCATCCTCCTTCCTGAATGACATGAAATCTGTGTTAAGGAGGCTTACAATACAGCAATCAAGCCAATTTAAAAAAAAAAAACATTTTATGAAATGCTATCCTTGTTGTACAGGCCTACATTTATCATCATGTTGGACCCAAAACATCACAGGAAATTAATTAATTATTAATAAAAAGGAGTAATGCTGCATTTTATTTGGGTTTAGTTTGGCTTTCCCCCCCCATACATTTAAATGCACTTGTAACTCAAGTTATATTTCTGTATTTTCTCAAAGTAATATTATTCCTTAGTTACTGAAAAAAGAAACTAAGGTAGAGTATTTTCGTAACTCTACTTTTATAATACGTTATGTTACCCCCTACACTGATAGTCTACAGTTGCAGCAGCAAGCCAACAAACCTGTGGTTTTACTAGTAGTTTAAGCTGACCCGAAGATTTACAAGTTGGCTCCTTGTGATGGCCAACACCTAACACTAAACACAGACATTACTTACCCACTGTTTTTCAGCCACTTCGAAAAGCTTTTTTTCATCCCTGCGCAATCTTTCTTCTCCTCAATCTTCCGTTTTCTGTTTTGCGCCCCCGAGGGCTTTTTTTTCTGCCTCTCCATCACTAGGTCCTTGTTAGCATGGCGCCACGAGTGAATAAAGATTTTGCTGTTGTTGGTGTAATGGGGCGCTGTTGACGCTAGGAGGCGCCAATGTCAAGTGCTATGAGGAAATGGCCAATGGTGCTCTGCTGTCCGACTAAATATTTTTTTCTCTCTCGCCCCGTCCTTTCGGCGCCCCCCGTCCTTTCGGCGCCCATATGCAAGGCATACCTTGCATATGTATGCAAGGTATATGCCCTTTTTGCGCCACTGTGTCCACTGTCACTTTATGGATGCTGCTTAACCTCATAATGCTAACATGTACTGTATTAGCATCACAGGGACATTTAAACCCTGAGATTTATCCACAGATGTATTCATAAAAGTAAATATTACCTGCACTAGAGTCTTCTTTATTAAGCTAAAGATAGACATTTTATTTTATATTGAAGGTTATTTTTCACTTTTCTTCAGGATCATTTTACCTCATTTTCCATTCATGACTCTAGCAACACAACAAGCTTTATCTTTGGCAATTTTGTATCTTTTACAATTGTTTAGACGTGTCTAGTAACAGATTCCAGGTTTTTGAAATTTGCTTTGACCTCAGAGTCAAACCTAGAACCAATTCATAAAATACAACCATACAATCTGGAAATGGCAATGATCAAAATGGAGGTAAGGGAGTTTTCAGAGGCCAAAACTACAGACCCGAGCTTTACAAAGGCTCTACTCAAAAGGGGCTTAAAATAGATTCAATTTGATTAGGAAGATTATAGGAAGGATTTTGAGGGGGTTAATTGTGTATTTTACTTGTAGCTCCATCGTCTTCATTGTTACCAGTATTTCCATCTTAACGTTCACATTCTGTTGTGTTTCAGGCTCCATGAAGCAACTGTCCATCCTGAAGGTGGACCAGAACAGACTGACCCATCTGACCGACTGCATAGGGGAGTGTGAAAACCTCACGGAGCTGGTCCTGACAGAAAACCTCTTACAAGTAGGTTTAAAGAGTGTTCCTTTTGAAAGTCTGCTGTGGATACTGAAAAGGCATGTTTTACTAACTGTGTGTACTGTGTACTCTCTGAAAGTCACTTCCTCGCTCACTGGGCAAGCTAAAGAAGCTGACCAACCTGAATGTAGACCGCAACAGACTAAGTGGTATTCCCAAAGAACTAGGGGGTTGTGCCAGCCTTAATGTCCTCTCACTCAGAGATAACCGCTTGGCCAAACTGCCTGCTGAGCTTGCAGATGCCACTGAGCTGCATGTCCTGGATGTGGCTGGGAACAGGTACAAATACAACACAGGATTAAACAGTCTATGAAGTTAACATATCAATATTTATTTTATACTTTCCCTTCTTTATTTCCAGATTACAAAACTTGCCTTTTTCTCTAACTAACCTCAACCTCAAGGCCATGTGGCTGGCAGAGAATCAGTCACAGCCGATGCTCAAGTTCCAGACGGAAGACGATGATAAAACCGGAGAGAAGGTGTTGACCTGTTACTTGTTGCCGCAGCAGCCGTCTCCGAGCCTCGGTAACTCCACATCTGCAGCGATCGTGTCTGATTGAACCTGAATGAGCCTGAACTGATCCCTCTTTACTGTCGCACAGAGAACCTGCTGCAGAACAGTGTGGACGACAGCTGGACCGACAGTAACCTCAACAGAGTGTCGGTCATCCAGTTTCAGGAGGAGACCAAAGCCGAGCCGGAGGACGACGATGACGCAGCGAGAAAAGCAAGCAGCTTTCATTAAATATGTTTAATCCATATTCAATGATTTATTTATTTGTGACCTACTAGATGGATAGATGGTGAATTTAATGCCATGTTTTCCCAATTAATTTATATGTGTATATAATGTTTCTCTGTAGGGCCTTCAGCGCAGAGCCACACCACATCCCAGTGAGTTAAAGGTGATGAAGAAGGTCATTGAAGAGAGGAGGCATGAGGCGTACACGTCCAAAGCAGACGGAGAAGACGACGACCCAGACTCTTATGTATGTACTGCATTTGTATTTTTCTCCCTCACTATAATGAGGTTCACCTTTCGGAGCCTCGCTGCTTCACAGTTTGTGCTTTTTTACAACATGCTTCTCCTGCCTTACGTGTGTGTATAACATCATATAAAACACCATATAACCGCTAGTAAAACAGGAGAGTTGCCTTTATTTATAGTCAGAGAAAAACCTTTGTGGCCTGAGTAATTAGTTCAGAGGATTACCACGGTGTCTCTCTGGTTTCGTTTTGGTCTCTCTGTTGTTGTGGTCTCTCTCTGTTCTCTTTGGTCTCTCTCTCTCTTTGGTCTGTTGTTGTTGTGGTCTCTCTCTGTTCTCTTTGGTCTTTCTCTCTCGCTCTCCGGTCTGTTGTTGTGGTCTCTCTCTGTTCTCTTTGGTCTTTCTCTCTCGCTCTCTGGTCTGTTGTTGTGGTCTCTCTCTGTTCTCTTTGGTCTCTCTCTCTGGTCTGTTGTTGTGGTCTCTCTCTGGTCTCTCTCTGGTCTTCCTGTAGCCCTCAGTCCTTCTATTGTCCCGCAGCACGGTGTCCTCTGCAGCTGTATTTTACAGTGTTTGCACGGCTTTTGACAGCTGCAGCAGCGCTCAGACCTACAATCAACCAGTTTGATCAGCTGTGGTGAGTTCAGGTGGTTAGAAAAGTGTATGAAGGATGTGGTGAGGGTTTTACAGCCTTAAAACATACAGCTGCTACTTCACAGATTTCACTCATTGCGGTTATTTTTGGAACGCAACTCAAGTAAACTTACCCTGAGCACAAATCTACTATACTATAATCTTGTGTTGCCTCCAGGAGAAGCGGCTGAGCGACGTCTCCAACCAGAGCCACGACTCCCAGGTGTCCAACAGCACCGCGTCCGCCACGTCCCACGAGGAGAGGGCCGCGGTCCCCACTGCGCCCCACAGGGACCTGGTGGACGGGCACCGGGAGGAGCTGGACGAGATGGAGGTGGAGTACATCGAGGTAATTTCAATACAAAGTTAGGCCACTATAGAGAAAGTAAATGTCTGTTTACTCAATTTACTGTCCTGTTTACGGTAACGCTGTTGTGATTTAGGGTTATACAAAAGTTAGGGTATGTAACTTTAAAACCACAAAAGTAAAATCCTCAGTAATGCAATCCATCTAACCAGGCCTTGTTTTGGCGTCTGTCACATCTTGATCAGCTTTTTCAGACAGAAAAGAGAAAGAGAGAGGACCACTATTGCTCTTTTTTTTAAAGTGTGCAAAAGAAAACAAGTTTATTTTAGTCCTTTTTTAGTTTCTTTGTTCACAACATTTTACTTTTACAAGATTCTTCCACTACATTATTGTTATAATGTGTAACAAAACAAAACAGCAATGTACTCCAGGTTTTAGTAAATATTTCATTCATCACTGATAGTATGAATTGAATGAATGTATTTGTGCCCAGACTAACACAGAGCCATGGTGGTTTTTGTCTCTATGTGGTTTTGGTGACTAAGGAGGAAGAGTTTTTAAAGTCAAAATAATAACACATTTTATTTATATTGCACCTTAAATTTCCAGAAAACCTTAAACAAAATTAAAGTGCCTATTTTTTGCCACACTCTTATGATTCCTTTCAGCCGACGGTGCATTTTGCAGAAGAGCCCATGATCCGGGCCGTGGAAGCCGATGAGGAGGACGGCGAGGTGGGCAGCAACGAGGAAGACGAGCGGCCCATGTTCCCCGCCGAGAAACAGCGGCTCATCAGGAAGGACACGCCGCACTACAAGAAGCACTTCAAAATCAACAAACTGCCCAAACCGGAGACCGTGGCCGCTCTGCTCCAGGGCTTCAGTCCGGACGGCCTCAACGCCGCAAACCAGACTCTGGACAATAACCGGGATGAGGATGAGGAAGAGGAGGAGGATGAGGACAGGGAAGAGGAGGAGGAGCCATGTTTTATCACCCCGCAAAAGAATCAAAGGATAGACAAGGAAGACTGTAGGAACTATGTGAACTCCAGTCAAGTGAAGGTAAAGGGGCCGTGCTGAGTCGGGAAGGATAGAAGTCAGAAACACATTTGGCATCAGTAAAAACTAACGCACACATCTCTCTTGGTCTTTACAACAACACACTACATGAGTTATTTCTTCTGATACTGCCTCACAATATGTCACCTTTAATTCTCTAATCGAGGGAGCCCAAATGTAGTTGTGCTTAAAAATGTACACCCCCAAGCAGAAATGGCTATTTTTAATTTTTTATCCGTTATTAAATAATTTCAAAATAGATTTTGTGTTTAGCAAGGTTCATCTTGTCTTCTTAGTAGAATAAAGTTTGGTTCTTCCATAGCCAGGAAATGTAAGCTAGCGATGTTTTTACCTACATTTATCGCTGGCACAGTGGGAGGGTGGTTAGCACTCACAAGAAGGTCCCGGGTTCGATTCCCGGTCGGAACATTACTTTTTGCACATTCTCCCCATGTCTGCTGCAGTTTCTCCTACCACTAAAACCTTTACAATGGATAAAACCCATCTCTTTGAAATCTAGTGGCTTTGACAGATGGGTCAAATGCAGAGGACAAATCTACCTACGGGGACAATAAAGTTTAGTTCAACTTAACTAACAATGAGTGGACAAAGTTTTATTTAACCAAGAATATTCTCCTAAAAATAGCCAAAACAATGGCATTTCTGCCTGGATGTGTTCACATTTAAGCCCAACTGTATGTAATTTAGCTTCATTAACGATTGTGCCAGCAGCTACAAAGCAAAATCTATACAAAGCGATACATTTCACCCGATATGCTTTTGCTTCAATAACAATGATCACGAATGAATGGGATCGTTCCCGATGCTAACTGACCGCACATTGATTCTAGACGTTTTGGTTAAATTGATTAATCTTAAATCGTTTGACTGTGCGAGCGCCTGAGGTTGTGAATGACCCGTCACCAGAGCAGATAGTGGCAGAGCTGGAAAACCAGACCCAACTGACCCATGGTGGAGTGGGCTGTAATCCCATACATGCTGACGTCCATTCATAAATAAGCTGTTGTTGCGTGGTTGGGTCTGCTGGGACTCGGGAGCTTCACCTTCTCATGCACTTTCTCTTGCACTAAACGCAGTTCCTAGTCTCCCGTTTTCCTCTCTGCCTCTGCTTCTGGTGGCTGGGGCGTGTGTGAATCCGCTCTGCTTCAAAGAGCGAAGGCAAACGACACATGCCTTCCCTTTTCAGCAGATCGTTTTATAAGTGAATGTTGGTTTGAGCGATGGGAGTGAGTGTGAAAGAGCACATTAATGTGGCCTGACTAATCCGCATGCTTCTTGCTGGTTCCTGTCCTAACAGGGGGTGTCATTTGATCAAGTCAATAATCTGCTGATTGAACCTGCTCGAATTGAGGAGGAAGAGGTCTGTACCTACTCTGTCCACCAGGTTTTCCTTCACTCACTTGTGCTCTACCACGTGGACAACATGCCGACTAAATAACCAGTTAGTTTAAACAAGTTTGGACGAAAGATTATTCATTTTAAAACACTCAATTATGCATCAGATCAGAGAAATGTCTTCATGACTGCATCCATGTTATCATCAATGTTTTAGTGGCTGTAGATTTACGTTAGTCTGGCCAACATCAGACTCAATACCACAAGGGAACATAGTTCTGCGTTTGTTATTGGTCCCAAATCCATGCAAAAGTTTCGCCCTGGGTTTCCATTCTGCAATTTCAGATGATTCAAGAGCTCACAGCAGCCAATATTGCCAGGCGAGGTTTACATATAAAACTCTTCTCAAGCACTTTGAGGTTTCCTTGAAATGAAAAGTCCAATATAATAATAATAACTCTACCTCATACCTATGTACCGATCCTTTACAAGATTACAGGCATTTTTTTCATTGTGAGATCATTAAAGTCAATAACCATAATAATACATTTAGTTGATGTCAGAATTATATTTCTGTTCAGTCTTTTAGCCTTTTTTAAAATTAAACATTGGACACAATTAAGGTCAACAATAAATGAAAGCACTATTAATTGTGAAACATACGGTAACAGAACATTCCAGACCCTCTGCTGACGTCTAACCAAGCCACTCCACACGTGCACCCGTCTACTGCCTCTGCTGCTTTGCTCTTCCCTTATTACTCAATACTCACACAATCATCTTACCATCATTGACAAAATTAGCAGAGAATCTTTTGTTGAGTAAATACTACTTTCGAAACATGGTAGAGAAGAGAGTATGCATGGAGATACTCAGATGTGGTATTGTCTGCATGCCTCATTCTTGTAAATACGTTATTTGAAAGGGCTTAGTATCAGGGCTGTCAAACTAATCTTCAAATGGCCAGTGTTGCTGCGGGTTTTCATTCCAACCAAGCAGGAGCACACCAGACTCTACCCATTTCCCCCAAGTGAGTCCATATTTAACCTGCAGATTTGAGGCAATGGGTGGAGTCTGGTCTGGTCCAATCGCAATCTGTTGCTACACCGGCTCTTTCTGGAACCGGTCTGACTTCCCAGGACTTTAGATATTCTTTGACAATGTCTGTGTTCACTTTGTCCTATAGGGGTTTCTTGCTGCATGTTTTTCGTACCCTGACTTTTCCATTGAGCCGTGTGCATGTTCCAGCGGTTCCAATAGTCTCTTAGTGTTTTTTTGTTGTCTTGGCTTTGTCTTGACACAGTCTTTCCAATGTGTAGCACAACCTGACCATCCTGCGGCAGACGGGAGGCTTAGGGATCAGCATCGCCGGGGGAAAAGGGTCCACGCCTTACAAAGGAGACGATGAGGTGGGACTCGAGGAGACCAGTTTGACGAACATATTTCTCTTTCTTTCGTTCAATGTGTTGTTTGATTGTAGGGAATCTTTATATCTCGAGTATCCGAAGAAGGGCCTGCTGCTAAAGCCGGTGTTAAAGTGGGAGACAAGCTGCTAGAGGTAATGGTTTGTTTATCTTCTTCTGCTATTGTGATGGCATTATTACATACTCCATTCATCTGTTATTGTCACGTGGTGGAAATACAGGGAGGACTCAAAATGCAGGAATGCCAAAAATTATTATTTAATGATAATAAAATAAAATTCCAGGTAAAACTCAAAATCCAAAGGCTCAAAAAGAATCAAGGAAACAGGAACAGACAAAGACAAGACGTTGACAATACAATGGACTAGCAACAAGAGGAGAAAAGCACAGGGTACATATAGACACAGGTGAAACACATCAGGGCGGGGCAGACAATCAAGACAGGGGCAAACAGGACAGGAAGTACAACTAAAACCAAACCACAGAGACCGATGTCAAAATAAAACAAAAATACAAAAATAAAACCCACACCATGACAGTACCCCCCCTCCAAGGGACAGCTCCCAGATGTCCCAAAAAACCAAACAAACCAGGGAGGGTGGAGGGGGCGCGGCAGAGGGACCAAAGGCAGTTCAGAGGCTGAAAACCTCAGGTCCGAAGCAATGTCCAAACCAATCTGGGACCGGAGCTGAAGCCCAGTGATGACCTTCCATACGGAACTGGCTCACCCCGGGCGGAGACAAATGCCCAGCAGTGGCACAGACGGGAACAAAACCACCCCAGACGGAGAACAATGTCTGGCGGTGGAAACAGGTAAAGGGAAGGAGAGGTCATCAAAGGGGAGCAGGCAGACACTAGTGGGGAATCCAGGCAGACGGGAACATCCAGACGAGAGCTTCACTGTTGACCCCACAACAAGCCAAGGGGAAGGGAACAGAAGACCACCCCGGACGGACGATAATGCCCGGCGGTGGTGCAGGACAAATAACCACTCCAGTTCCTTGCCTGGCGGTGGCTCAAGGTAGCAGGTCGAGAGGTAGCAGTGAAGGGAAGGATATCCGCAAAAAATAAATAAAAACCTGGTGACAAACGGGGAGCCGGTGTGGTGAAAAAATAAAAAAGGCATTCCGCTGAGTCCGTGTGATGGCTAGTCCATTCTGTCACGTGGTGGAAATGCAGGAAGGACCCAAAATGCAGGAATGCCAAAAATTATTATTTAATGATAATAAAATAAAATTCCAGGTAAAACTCAAAATCCAAAGGCTCAAAAAGAATCAAGGGAACAGACAAAGACAAGACGTTGACAATACAATGGACTAGCAACAAGGGGAGAGAAGCACAGGGTACATATAGACACAGGTGAAACACATCAGGGCGGGGCAGACAATCAAGACAGGGGCAAACAGGACAGGAAGTACAACTAAAACCAAACCACAGAGACCAATGTCAAAATAAAACAAAAATACAAAAATAAAACCCACACCATGACAGTTATGATAATTCACTAGCCACCATTACCTGCTGCTATTGTTACTATTGTTTATCTGCATATCTCATTCTCTTCTGCTAAAGTACAATACCAACCATCTGTAAATGTGAAACCTCTTGACTGCTGCTGACTACATTGTATTCTCCACAAATGACTTATCCTTGACCCAAACTTATCTCCAGAGTATTGTGCGCAATCATAGCTAGGAGTGGGAGGAAACATCGATTTTGTTTAGTAAAGCAAAGAAGGTTTTTGCACTACCCTCCTAAGTTTCTGCACTTCAATGACTGTGCAGACCATAATAAATGTGACATTTTTGTTGAGCAGTCTGACTTTCCTCAATTTTTGTAATCTCTTTGAATAATATGAGGGGCATGAATCGCAATTTATTGTGTTGTCAAAAAAGATTTGACTGACGTGTTCAAAGTTTGGTACAGAAATCAGACGAAGATATCCAAGTTTAACATCTGTATTTAATTTATCTTTACAATCAGATACAGAAATTCAAACAAAAGAGCTCCTAAACTATGCTATGCTGTCCCTCGCTGGCCCTGTGCTGACTGAGGCCAAGCCAAAGCATATCAGAAGATGTGCAGGAAGTCGTATCAGGCAGCTTCCGGTCCAGGGTCCGGCCTTTCCTCCGTCTCGCCAGACCTAAAACAGAAATCATTCACACACACTACCCCTCCCTAATTCTATAGAAATATTACTTCCTTGAGATAAGACAGGAGGCTCTTCAAGGCTGTCCCTCCAGATTCTGGGTCCATCTCCTTCTTCAAACAACGAAAGGATTAGCAGAATCCAGGAACGCAGATCTTGCCCCCCCCCAGATTAACTATCATTAACTCATATTCTGCACTTTGGACTAACAAAGGAAGAAGGGGAGACCAGGTCTTTTTGCTTAGGAAAAAGACAGAGTTCAAATCAGGGTCAGCCAAATTCACATCTGCTTTTAGTCTATATTTAATACAACAATTGCAGAATCAAATCGTGATAGTTAAGAATCGGAATAATTGTGAATAATTATGCCCAAATATCGTAATACTGTGGAATCATCACATATGACATTGAATTCACCACTGAGGGTCAAATAAAGTAATCTTATCTGTAACTTATCTTCTGCAGGTGAACGGGGTGGACCTCCACGAAGCCGAACACCACACAGCGGTGGAAGCTCTGCGCAGTTCAGGGACTTCTGTTTCCATGACGGTGATCCGGGAGCACATGGTGGAGCCGGAGAACGCCATCACCACCACTCCGCTCAGGCCGGAGGACGACTACTTCCCCCGGGAGAGGCGGAGCAGCGGCCTGGGCTTCAACCTGGACAGCACCCTCAGCGGCCCCCGGCAGCGCCTCAACACATGCCTCATCCGCAACGACAAGGGCCTGGGCTTCAGTATCGCAGGAGGGAAGGGCTCCACGGCATACAAACAAGGAGACACCGTAAGACAAGGATACATGCCTGAACTATTGTACTATGTAGTATGAGGGAGCGGCTGATTTAAACTGGCCGCTTTTGAAGTTGTGTGAGAAAGTGGAAATCGGAACAAGATTTCAGATTTCTTACACCAAATTTTCTTAAGTTTCAAAACCATTAGATGTTATAGTCACCAATTAATTATCTCAAACCTCACCAAATATATAGATAGATACTTTATTGATCCCTGTAAGAGAAATTCAAGTGTCCAGTAGCAGCAAAAATAAAAAACTAAAATGGATCATTCTAAAATGCTAACAATGGTAATAATCAGCAACAGCCCTTCAGGTATAGATATATAGAATATAGACACGTTGGACTGTGACTGAACAAAGAATAGATTTTTCTTTAATTTTTCTGAAGAAATGACTAGCATGTCGGTACTTGGCTGAGCGTAACAGAGAAACATGAATCTGCATTGGTTTTGGTTCCATTCGATTTCAAATGGACGTTCCGTATATAATTTCCATACAGCATCTCCAGTGTGTAGTGGTCAAAGTCGTAAGCTACCGCAGCGGCCTTCGTTAGCCTTGTAGTAGCAGGTCGCTGCTGGGCGTGAGAAGGGAGAGATATGAATAGCCTGGACACACGATCCGTGAGGTGTAGTTCAGGCGGCGGTCGAGCTCTGGATTTGGGACAGTGCTCAGGTCTGCTGTAAAGTGGGAGCAACATGGAGAAGACACAAAAACATATCATTTACACGGGTCTGACTGTAAGTCCAAAGAACTTTGCAGATCTATGCAGTGACGTGGTTGTTCTGGAGGAGCTAACTTTGTAATGATGTATGTTTTTATGGTATGTACAGTTTTCTCTGGTAGAACCATACGTACAAATATATCTACAAAAAATATATAGAATAATGGATAAATTGTCTCACATTGCTGTTGAAGAAACGTGCCACTAGTACATGCATGGTTTTGTTGTAGATCCCCTGGGTTAAAAAGAGGAAGGATATGATTCAATTCTTGTTGGGCTATTTAACGGACTTGTATATAAACTGCACCAGCAACATTTTAAAATAAATTAAATGATGTCCACTTTATGCGCCGCACTTGAATTGGAGCTTCTACTAATCACTGGCCTATTTTTACAATAAACAAGTGTCCTGTAGCTACGAAAACTTAATTGAATCAAAAGAGTTTATAATCACATACAAAAACAAGTTATTATTCCCTACCTTTTCTCATGTTTGCTCTCTACGCTGTTCACATAAACACATCAGGAAGCAGGAACGTGAGATGTCAGCTTCTGTTCATGTTTCTTATCAAATAAAAAATGCATTCATTGCCCGCATTTCTGTATAAGCCACGGTTAAAACAAAGTGCTGTACTTTGTCTTCATCCATTTGAAGTTCCACTGTTCATAACAGACTTTACTTTTTCTTGTTCCAGGGGATTTACATTTCTCGTATTGCAGAAGGCGGAGCAGCACACAGAGACAGCACTTTGAAAGTCGGTGACCGGGTCCTCTCTGTGAGTTCCAAGCTTTGAATGATGTTTTTGCCTAAATGCTTTCTGTGTGTCACATGACCAAAGCCGGCGCTCTGGACTCACCCGTGGCTTGTTTAGTGGTGCTTTTCTTCCATGTGCTTCTGTTTTTTTCCTCCTCACGCTCTCTTTTGCATGTCTACTAATGTGTTAAGTGCATCCTCCGGCTCGCTGGTGGGTCTGGTGTGAAGGTTGGAGGCGGTTCTCTCTGCTCTGGTCACGCATCAGGGCAGAGGCTGAACCAGCGCTCGAGCCACTAGTAAGAGCTGCTACTGTCGAGCCAGTTCTGACCTGCAGTCATACCTGGACTGAGCCATGAAGGAGTAACCAGGCCTTAAGCTGCTCTCAGTCTCAGCCATGCCAGTCAAACACGCTTTTGCCTTTGTTTTCTTAAGAGCAGACATTTGGAAAAACAGCCACATGTTTTTAAGGCGACAAAGGCAAAAATCTGCGAAGTTTAATGAATGTGAAAACTAACTCTGGATTTCTTAAGCCTCTTGTCACTTTTCCCAAAACATTCATTTGGAATTGGAAAATGTGCGATACGTTAATTATATAAAGTAGTTTCTTTTATTTTCAAGTTCACCACAATGTAAAGCTGGGGTACCTAACTTTCACTATGTAATAAAATCCATCTGACGAGTTCCTGGCTCTTGAAGAATTGAAAACTGAGATAAACATTGATGCCGCCCATGCCCACCCGCACATCCAAATTGGTTTAACAATTTTCCTTCAGCAAGTATTATCGGTGGTAGTTATGCCAAAGGGAGACACTTTTTTTAATAAACCAATTTGGTTATGTCGCTAGTTTTCACATACATGTATTTTTAACCTCCGTCACCTGTTTTCAAACTGAAAAGCAAAAAAAGAGAGGACTGCCCTCACTAGAGCCAATCAGCTCTCAGCCCATCCATCCATCCATCCATTTTCTACCCTTTTAATCCATTTCTGGGTCAGGGGGGTGGCAATCAGAGATGCCACCCAAGTCTCATAGCACCAGCCCCTCACTGACCCTCTGCAGGTGGTGAGTCCACAGGAGGACCGCTGCTCTGAGTGTGAGTATAGCTTTGATCTTTCAGTGGGGGCTTTGGGCAAAGTGGGGTTAAGTGTCTTGCTCTCAGCCCTAAGCGCCAAATAGTGACTCACTGGGCTCTTTCTTGCAAGTAATACGTGCAAAATATAACTAATTCTAATACGATGGATGCAGCATGTTGTGGGCTTATTTGATCAACTTTTACTTGCACTGGACTCTTTCTGTTGGGACAAACACCATGTATTATTTATGAGACAAAAGTTGGGTACCCCAGCTTTAAACAGCAATGATAAAATAGTAAATATGGCTAACATGGAGCTATCATCGTAGCTCTGGTCCTGCTCTTTTCCTAACTAATCTTCTGTTCTGCTTACGGCCGCTTTTCAAATTTGGGTTTCCTTCTTCTCATTAATCGTCTCACTCTAAAACCCAATCTAAAGTCTTACACATGCCTTTCCTGTAACCACGGGCACTGTGACGAACCCTCCACGATCTGCTGTTTAGATCAATGGTGTAGACATGACAGAGGCCAGGCATGACCAGGCAGTAGCGCTCCTTACCGGTACCTCTCCCACCATCGCTCTGGTGGTGGAGCGAGACCTCAGCCCGCCCTCTCCAGGACAGAACCGAGCCCGCGCCCACTCCCCTCCGCCGCCAGAGCCCTCGGACTCTCCCGACCAGGACGAGCAGGGCACACACCTGGGCCGCCTGGAGGACGAGTACCCGATCGAGGTATATACTAGCACTGTACTGTAAGCATTGGTCCGCAACACTGAACTCACTCCTTATAATGGCTTACTCTTTGTCAATAATATCTGGCCTTCGACGTCCAGCTCCAGAGAAAATGGTGCATAGTACGACAAGAAAACCTTTTTTGAGAACAGAACCTTGCGTAGGAAATGGAAACTGTTGTGTATTTAAATGTAGTTGGACCGTTATTAGTAATATGCACTTAACTACATTGACATCCAAAGCTGTTTGGTGTAAGGTTCGTGTGTCTTTGTACTAGAACTAGATGAAAGCCCCTTTTTAGATCTGAAAATGTGTTTACAGAATGTTGTTTTATCTATTTCTCATAGCGTATTGAATCTTCTGTCTTTCTAGGAAGTGATTTTGGTCAAATCCGGGGGCCCCCTGGGTCTGAGCATTGTGGGAGGCAGTGACCACGCCAGCCACCCATTCGGCATCAATGAACCTGGAGTCTTTATCTCGAAGGTATGGTTTTGGTAAACACTAACTTTTCCTGTGCATCCATCCATTTGCTTCCGCTTTATCCATTGCCGGGGTTGCATGGGCAGCAGTCTCACCCAACTTCCCTCTCCACACATACCACACACAATCCTGAGGCGTTTCCAAGGCCAGTTGAGAAAAATAGTTCTTCCAACATGTCCTGGGTCTTCCCCTGGTCCCCTCCTGGTGGAACATACCTGAAAAAACCTTCCCAGAGAGCCATCCAGGAGGCATCCCAAACAGATGGCTCGAATGACTCCTCTCAATGTGGAAAAGCAGCAGGTCTACTCCGAGCTCCTTCCGTGTGACTGAGCTCCATCTCTAAACTACACAGCAGAGGAAACTCATGTGGACCGCTTGTATCCGTGATCTCGTCCTTTCAGTCATTACCCAAAGCTCATGACCTTATGTGAGGGTGGGAACATAGATTGATGGGTAAAGAGAGCTTTGAATGCAGACGCTGCTCTCTCTTCCCCACAATAGTCCAATACAGAGACTGCTTCCGATCAGTCTTGTCCGTCTCCATCCTTCCCTCACTCCTGAACAAGACCTAGAGATTATGATCCGGTGCATATCACACAAAAACATCATCTGTGTGTTCTCTCCAAACAGGTGATCCCTCATGGCTTGGCTTGTCAGAGTGGGCTCCGTGTCGGGGACAGGATTCTGGAAGTCAACACCATTGACCTGCGCCACGCTACGCACCAGGAGGCAGTGCGCTCCCTGCTGGCCAACAAACAGCAGATCCGGATGTTGGTGCGGCGGGATCCTTCTCCACCAGGAATGCAGGTGCGGCCGCTTTAACCATTCCGAAAACGTTCCCCTTCCAAATTAGGTTAAAAAGCCCCTGAATGAGACCTGCTCTGTGATTCAAATGCGCTTTTTTTTCTCTGCCAACTTTCAGGAGGTTGTTATTCATAAACAGCCTGGAGAAAAGCTGGGTATAAGTATTCGTGGAGGAGCTAAAGGCCATGCTGGGAATCCCTTTGACCCAACAGATGAAGGAATCTTCATCTCCAAGGTGATAGAGGTTAACATTATCAGAACTTCCTGTCACTACTGTTCTCAAATCCATTGTGCAAAAGTCCCCAGTCTTCACCAGACAAGTACATAAATAAAACAGACTAAAAAGTACAAGAAACATTTGTCACTGTGAAACAATCAACAGAAATAGTTTCAATAATAAGTGTAAGATCATTTTAGTGCTTTGTTCAAACTATTTACATCTTGTGGGAAGAAACAGTTGGCATATTGAGATGAGTCTTGTATCTTCTGCCAGAGGGAAGAAGCTGGAACATGGCTTTTTCCAGGGGCCATAAGAGTCATTGATTATTTTCAGAGTTCTGTTTTTAAGTGTCTGGATTTATAAAGAACCTCTAGAACAGGCAGCTCACAGGCCTCTCAGAGCAGAGCACCTCTCTCTGGTAATTCTGGCCTCTCTCTCTGGTCTCTCTCTCTCTCTGGTATCTCTCTCTCTCTCTCTGGTCTCTCTTTCTAGTCTCTTGTCTCTCTCTCTCTCTCTCTCTGGTCTCTCTCTCTGGTCTTTCTTTCTGGTCTCTTTATGGTCCCTCTCTCTCTGGCATCTCTCTCTAGTCTCTCTGGTCTCTCTCTCTCTCTGGTCTCACAGTTCAGTCCTCTTTCAGAGCAGCGGACTTGGTTTACAGCTCTCCTTTCTTTGAACCACACAGTCACAGAACCAACAATCAAACTTTAAATGGTGCAGAGATAATAAGTTTAGCCAAATCTTAATTTCAACGTGTCTGACCGCTGCTGTGGCGCTTCTCTCCGCTCTCAGGTGAGCTCCACCGGTGCCGCGGCTCGAGACGGCCGCCTGGACGTGGGGATGAGGATTCTGGAGGTGAACAACCACAGTCTGCTGGGAATGTCCCACACGGAGGCTGTGCGAGTTCTCCGCTCGGTGGGGGACTCCCTGGTGATGCTGGTATGCGACGGCTTTGACCCAGGGAAGGTGGCGGCTGTGGAGGTGAGATAAGAAGGAAGATCAAAAATGCTATTCTAGATTTGGTTTTTCTGATCATTTTAAAATATATTTTTCCTAGGCCTCTCCTGGAATCATTGCAAACCCATTTGCTGGAGGGATCGTCCGGAAGAACAGTCTCGAAAGCATTTCCTCCATAGACCGAGACCTGAGTCCTGAGGAGATCGACATCATGCAGAAGGTAGAACAATCACAAACTTGTATCTCTTGGAAATGACTCGCCAAATATAAACTATACAGAGTGTACAGACTTTCTATGCACCTTTCCTTATTTCCTTTGTTCTTTTCATTCGTCCCAGTGTTTGCTGACTCTTGAGCTTCTCTTTTTTATGCCTGTTGATTCAGAGTTTTTTTCCTTTTATCCACTGAATCCCTGTTTGAAATCTTATATACAAAGTGGTGTAACTCTATACACCATCGATTCTCACACGTTTATGTTTAATTATTTAGATCAGTTGTGTGACTATTTGTATTCAGATTTGATGCCTTCCCCTCACACAAAAATAACCTTTTCAATAATGCCAAGCCTCCCATCCACCAGAATGCTTTCCTTTGGGTCTCATTTGGGTTTAGCTCAGCTGAAGACGGGATCCAAATTTCCATCATTTAAAGAACATTTTGGGAGGATTGCAGTTCATAAAATGGCAGCACCGGTGGATAATGGATTTTAAATGGCTTCCTGCTTGATTGTATTAAATTTCTCTGGCAGTCACTTTTAAATATGCAGCAGAATAAATTTTAGTCATGTTTGTTTTTATGAATGTCCATCTTGAAGAAAAGATTTGCCTATTGGAAAAGCCAAAATATCTTGTTTTTGAAGATCCATTATATATCATATATTCAATGCATTCTTGTATATCCCTAAATCACAACAGTAATTATCTCGTAGGACTTTACAAAACCGTCAAATTCACCAACACAGATTAGAGAATCAAACACAAGGAAGGTCCTGGATCATAATTTTTTTAGATACTGTACCTAGTTATTTTACCATAATTCCCCACCTATAAAAAGCTTCTCTTATCTTATCTTTCATCGTCCTTTTAAGACAGCTGACATGTACTTGAGCTCTGCACCTCATATTTCCTTTGCAGTGAAGTCTGTACACTCTGTATAAGTCGGCCTCTGATATCTGCACCTCACGGATCATAATCTGAATAATACAATGTGCACCGGAACGATCAGAGGTCACAGTCACCAGGATTCACTCGCTCCAAACCTTTTGACCCTCGTTGCTCCCCGCTGTTTCCACGGAGACCAGTGCTTTATGGCTATACACATATGTTATTATGTCTATTCCGTTTAGGAGGTTGAGATGGTGAGGGAGACTTCGCAGTGGGAGCGAGAGGAGATGGAAAAAGTGGTGAGTAGATGCGATATAGTTAGCGCTACAGATGGATAGAATACATAGCAATGCTTCGTAGTCCGTGGGGCAGAGGTAGAATCCGATGAGTGAATGGTGCTTTTCTCCTCTGCTGCTGTGTGCACATTGTATTTAAAACTCCTGGTAAAGTAGATGTCAGTGGCTTTTCAAATTGTGAAGAGAGAGACAGAGAGAGAGATGCCTTTTCAAAGTCTGACACTGGTTAGACCCGCCCACATCACCCCTGCAGCCTCCTGATTGGTCGAAATGAATTCAAATCCTTGAGGCTCCTCGTCATTGGGTTAACTATTTTCCTCCAGCTAATCTTACTGGTATTTATTTATTTGTTTGATAGGGACAATGCACCTTAATGAACATCAGTATAAAAAAAATGTAAATATGCCGGATTATAGCTACCAAGCTAGTTTTCATCCGTAGTCCCTCGGCAGGAAAATACATCGGAAATGACAAAATACAATACCATAAAATACAAAATAACACAATACAATCCAGACAGCACAGGGAAAAGTTAAGAGTCTAGTGGTCACATGACTGGTTTCTTTTTGATTTGAGTTTTAAAGGTGACCGGTGTAGGGCTCTCTCGTAAGTGCCTTGGGACTCTTATGGCAACAGTAGAGACTATTTTGAATATATTGTTGTTGAAAGATACATAACAATACTATATCCCATGATCAGAAATGTACTATCTTGAAAAAAATGAGACACAATTTAAGTTGCTGACATCCCCTTTAAGTCCCACCTTGCATGGTGTCTGTTCCTTAGTCATAGTGAACCTGTTTAATAAGTGTGGATTCTTCCCTTTCTCCTGTGTCTCCCTTTTCCTCTGGGTGCGTTTGGTTTGGTGTGATATTCCTCCATCTATTCCCTGGTCTGCTCCTCCTCCTCTTCCTCCTCCTCCTCACTCCTCTCGTTGCTTGATGCGTGGCTCTCTGGGTGGCTGTCTTCCTTCCACACTTCCGCTCTGGGTGAAGGAGCGCATGCGTTTGGAGCGAGAGGAGGCAACTCGCCTGCTTGAAGAGGAGACGGAGGTGAGGGAGACTTCTCATCTCAACAGAAGAGCACAGGATTATAAAGACCAGATACATCCAACTCGCATACCCACTAATTATAATGTCAAATAATAATGCAGTCATAATATTGATAGAGAAAGACGTCAGGGGGTAAAAAAGAGCAAATCCAATTCCAAATTCTTCTTGCATTCTTACATCTTCCAAATGCAAACAATTTTCCGCTTGGTTGGTGAAATGTGCCATATAATTAAAGATGACTTACTTATTTCATTTTTAACAATGTAAAAGATGCAGTCGGAAGAACGTGAACCCAAATAATGACCTTAGAGCACAGGTGTCAAAGTCAAGGCCCGGGGGCCAGATTCGGCCTTCGAGACAATTGACCGTGGCCCCTGAGATGATTTTAAATTATTACATTAAATAGCAGCATTGATGGTAATAGGCGACAATGGCATGTTATCCATTACTAATTTTCTCAAGAAAACAACCATAAAATTTAATTCCGTAAGAAATTTAAGCTGTCATGTAATTAGAAGTGAGTATTATAATGTTATGTTTTTTACAAGTCAACTAATGTGATATATAGATACCTTCATAATATAAAATAAAAAGTATAATAAATGAAACCCACTTATTCTTTCGGCCCCTGACCAGCCCTTTCATTTTTTATTCGGCCCTCAACCAAAATGAGTTTGACACCCCTGCCTTAGAGGATGACTAAAATAGGTCAAGATATCACATCCATATTTGTGTTGTCATTCTAGAGATACATACAAGAAATAATGATAGAAATAGTCATTGGGTTTCGGGGTGTTATTGTTCTATACTTTAAGATTAAGACGTCCTTTTATTTGTCCCACAGTGCGGAAAGGAGGTGGAAAAAACCCAAAATGGAGTGAATTCATACTGTTTTTATTTATGATTTGCCATCCTCCCATTTTCTTCTGTTTCATCCGTTGCCGGGTTGCAGGGGTCCAAGCAGAGATGCCCAGACTTCTCTATCCACCCACACTTCCTCCAGATTTATTTATGATTTGATTTTTGTTTATTTCGCCTCTAATGTAAGGGGAAGATGGTAGGAGGGGAACGGATTTAGAAAAAGTGTCTTACCATTTTGTATTGGCCTGGTCTTACCACACCATTGTACTCATTTCTTTTTGTACATGTAGTGAGCTAATTTGACCAGAGTTTACAAATTGCTAAGGCCAGGCTAACGTTGTATATGTAACATGAAAAGAATAAAACTTCAACTAAAAGTCCCGATTTGAAAATATGTTTGGATTTGTCTTCAGCGATTAACTTTTTCAATATAATTCTTTGCAGCATATTGGACCTGGGCCGCTGAAGCTCGACTACAAAACTCTGGCCGCTCTGCCCACGACCAGCTTGCAAAAGGTCAACAGGGTAAGTCGTCATGCACCGTTTTTAAAATCTTCTGCTGTTAGAAAATATGTGTCTGTTTTGAAATCGGCTTCAGATCTGAGAATAGCTCGACGGCCACAACAGTTGCTACGGAGAAGTTGGCAACGTTGACTTTATGTTCATAGCTTTAAAGGAGTCATGAAAAGTTTTTGAGTTTTGAACCACACTAACAGACCTGGAGTTGTTTTGAGAGCCATCCATGCTGATAGTTATTCCTTGCCGATGCAGGAGGGTCTAAGGACAGTGATGATTTTACAAACATTGGTCATTCTGCTCCCAATGGATCCTAAGTGTTTGATATTATTGCATTTCCTGTGTTTTGACTGTTTGATTGTCTGATCTGTTGTTGAAGAATCGACAATTTTGTAAAGTCCGCCAAGACGACTGCTGTTGTGAACTAGAGAAGCTTTGGGGATTTCTCAAATGAAATGAAATGTTCTTTACGGGCAGTAATTGTTTTACTAAAAAAACAAAAACAAATCCCACTTCTCCCTCTGGTGGTGGGAGAGGGAGTTACAGGCAGAAAGCATTATTATCATACTTTTTCACCATCAATTTTCTTTTCACTTTCTAAAACATGAATGGAACAAGTAATAAGTACAATCTCTTTTGAATAAGCACAAGAAATAAATCAAAGCAAGAATATACTCGCTCGCTCCTTTGCCTTAATTTTACAAAAGAAATCATGAAGTGAACTCGAAGATGGATCCTCTTTCATGGAACTCTGGTCAAAGCCAAAGATAAACAAGAAGAAAACCATTTGGAGAGAAAGAGTCTGGCATCTCAGCTGAAGATCTGAAGCGAGTCAAACAGCTGCTCATTATCCTGCGTCTCTATCCTGTGTGATATTTTAAACTCTCCCCAGACTCCCGGGGGGGGGAGGGGGAGGGAAAGGGCAGAGCAGTAGCCCAGCCTTCTGTCCACATTTGCCACTTTAGGCTTCTTTTTTAGGAGTTGCAGGCTGCAGTATCAAGGACTTTCTCCTCAGAGGCAATTTCACATCAAAATACGGGTGATTATTTGTCTGTGTGTTTGGTGTTTTTTGTTATTAACAGAAGAATGACTTTTATACATATAGTTGGTAATGTTAGTGATTTGAATAATTACCCATGTCTTTTGATTCTGCCCCTGCTTTTGTGGGACTTTGGTTGCTTCTTGTTATAAGCCTGGTCACTACTTACTTATTTCTCTGAATATCTGGCAACCCTGGCCCCAGCTGGACACTATTCTGACCAGTGCATTAGTGAGGACTTGATAACAGAGCTTTGGCACAGGGAGTACCATATAGGAGACAAATGTTTATTTTGCTTATTGTCTATGTGTCGATGTGCTTCTTACGTATAGAACATATCTGGCAACCCAATACTCCATATCTTACTTTGTTGCCTTGTGTAGGTTTAGACATGTATTTCTTGATTTAAAGCTTTTATAGTTACACTTTTCTTTGTAAATACTTGTACATCAAGTATAGCACTGGTGTCCTTTGTGGCTGGTTATATTGACCAGAATAACTTAACCTACATATCTCATGCAGCTGTTCATAGTGACTAAATAAGACCTAGATTTGTGACTCTGCTTAGACATTAGTCATGGCTCATACTAAGAATTCCCTGGATGCCATTTTCTTCAAAGTCCATGTTCTATACAGAGAAGAATGTGATGTTATGTGATGTTTTTCCTTGTATACATATGAAGTCAAAGATTCTGTTGACCTGTGTGTGTATATAATGAAAGGCATGTTAGCTGGTGTTGGCCTCGCAGGGGGCCCAGCTGCCCTCCACACTCTGGGATCGAGCCAAAATGGTCCTTGTTCACATTCCAACCTACTGGCCCCTATAGTCAGCACTGGGCTCGCCACAATGGACCAGCTATTTTGATTACTATTAGGAATGCGCCAGGCCTCACATGATCGTCTTTTCAATGGATGATATGTTTTTGTAATATTCAAATGAAAACATGAAATTAACGATCTCTGAGTAGGAATCTGGGAGAGTGAGAGTCATGGGCTGATAATGCAGTTATTTAAGGCTCGCACTCAGGATAGTGGCCATACCGGCATGTGAAAGCCAGATCCCGTCAGACTTCTGAAGCTAAGCAGGGTAGGGCCTGGTTAGTACTGCGATGGGAGATCTCTGGGAACACCAGGTGCGACAGTGGGGCGGCTGTAAAAGGCTAAATTGTGGCTGTGTCCTCAAGCAAGACACTTCACCCACATTGTCTAGAATGAAAAAAAGTCTGGTGTGTGTGAAGGGTTGGTGCTGGTTGATTGGCACAGATTAGTTGCCTCGCTTCTGTCTGTGTGCTCCAGGGCAGCTGTGGCTACAATAGTAGTTTGTCATCATGTATGGAGTGAATGAATAATGACCTATGTGCGCTATACAAAACCAATGCATTATTATTTTTATAGTGAGTTTATAACCTTGACCTTTGTACTTGTTTCATGCAGAGGTCTTTAGTTGTGTCCTCTCCCCGCAGTCCTCCGTCTCTCTGACTGCCCCCATGGCGGCCCCTCTTCAGGCCCACTACTCCGCTCCTTTAGAGCCTCTGGGATATGACTTGAGACACTCCCTCATTGAGCAGCAGTCCTGCACCAGCCTCAGCTCGGACCCGGATTACCTCTTTCCTAACGGGACGTCTGCGTCTCAAAGCGAGTGCTCTATCTCCACTTTGGACTCCTCGTGTGCTCCGGATGAAGAGGAGTGTTTGGTGGACTCTGAGCCAATGTGCTTCAAAGAGAACCCCTTCTTGGTGGCCAACCGCAAAAGCAAAGGCCTGCCCCCGGGTCAGCGCATCCTGTCTGGACCTCCAGTGGGATATGGCAAAACAGGCCAACTGCAGCCATGGCTACACAGCAAGGCAAGAGGGCGCCTGTGTGGTGTGGGCGGCATGGTGTGACACTGCAGCACTTTTTACAGTAACAGGACATATGATATTGTTCTTATATTTGTCATGGTGCTATCCTGATGCCGTGACTGGTCTGGGAACGCGGCAGCTGGATTGGTGCATGTTTTTGCTGTGAGCACTGAGTAGGAGTCACTACAGGAGATATTTAAAACATGGTCAAGACTGAGTGAAATGTGTGTCTCAACAGCTGAAGCTGTGTCGTAAAGCAACCTGAGCTGCAGGAATGAGCGTAGCGGCTGGCACTTTGTTAGTCACCACTAACCCGGCAATTTCTCTTGTTTTAATGTTTTTGTTGTTCTGTTTTTGATTGGAAAGTTCGCTCATTTTTAAATATCAGGATTTAATATGATGTGTTTTTCTTCAGGCACCATCAGGTGATTACTCCAGGACCGAGAGTCCAGTTAGAGAATCCCCGTACTCGCCAACGCTCCAGCCTGTAAGTCACACCTCACCTTGTCACGTGTCATTTCTCCTTTGATTCCTTTGACATAAATCATGATTTATCTTGAGGATGTTAGAGTTGACCCATGACCCTCTCCCCACTCTTAGCTCAGCCATCACTCCTCCTCCAGCCCCCTGTACATGGGCAGGGAGACGCGCTTCGTAAGTGGCCCTCCCTGCTCCGGCCTGGTCTTTCACATGCTTTGCCTTTGCTCATACAGAGACGAGAGCTGCCATTGTGCTCCTCCAGCTCCAAACCGCATGTGGCAGCTCCTCATTTGTGCTTTTATTGCCAAACTAGATGCAGATTGTCATGTCTGTACTCACCAGTGACAGATAATCATTCTTACTGAACTAAAACAGTGAGCAGCAGTCTGTTACCATCACCAGACCTATTTCAATCTTGAATCTACCACAAAGCAAGTGCTCTGGGATCTGGTAACACTGTCCTTCTGAGTTGCATGGTCTCGAGTTGTTATTTGCCGATGCTGGAGGGTCTAATGACAGTGACGATACAGGTCATTTGTGGACATTAGTGATCCCGCTGCCTATGGACCAATGACTCCTATTTGTGTGTTATTATCCTGTGTTATAACTGTTTGATTTTCTGATCTGTGTTGGCAAATGGACAACTCGTAACGTCCCTTAAGGCGACTGCCGTTTAGGGCTATACAAAAATACATGTAATTGCATTGAAATTGAATTTGTTGACAGACTGTGAAACCCCAATTTGAGATCTGTGCCTGCATTTCCCTGTGTTTTTCTTTTTTCTTAACTTTGTGTTAACTTTACGGCCAACTGTGTTAATGTCCGTCCCCTACATCTGTATGTTTCAGGCAAACGTTCATTACACTTCCACCCCCACTGCCAAGGACAACTTTCTATCATCTGTGAGTGTCAACGTAAAACCACTCCTCTTCATTTTCTCTCCATGCATTTTCAATTTGTGTTTGTTATTCATTTTTATACCGTTTTTTTGCCACATCTTCTTTACGACTTTGCCTCCTCCTCTTCCTGCAGACACGGCCGGGCGCCATCCAGCCGGTCGGGCGCGTTCGTCAGACTACCTCCCCCGGCTCTCCGGAAGGCCACAGTCCAAACCCTTTCCAGCATGGCCCCTCCCCATTCAACACCCCAACCTCTGTAAGACCTGTGACCACCACCATCACTTAGGCCTGTGCTCATCTCAGCGTCCACCGTGCAAACTGTGCCTGATTTACTCAAAATACACAGGGATTTTACAAACGAGCCTCGAACCAAAGACTGAGCTATGCATCTGCTGTTTTTTTAGTTGATTTTTTTACTTTCTTTATATCCTTTTTAAGGCCTAAACAATATCTTTGGTTTTGAACTTATCATTTTTGAGAGTCGTTGTAGTTGGATACTTGAATAGATTTTATAATATCATCTTTCTATGTTTACTGTGATCCAGGTTCCAGAGATCTTTCTGTAATTCTGCAGTTAGCTTAGCGTGTTCAGAATTGTATAACTAGAACACATTATAGCCACACTTCCAGCTAGCTTTTTGAGTACGTTTACAAAGCGCTTGTGAAAACCAGATAACTTGCCGAGTCCATTTGCATTTAAGAGCACAGGGAAAAGCCATGCATATATTAAAACTGTATGTATTTGGGATGCATACAGGCAACTCGCACATTTTGATCATTTCTCTGAATACAGTCCTCTTTGACCATGTTTAAGGCTTTCTTTTGGTTCGTTGCACTCGGAAAAAGCAGAACACTTAGATGCGTTTAATTGCGCTGCGCTATTGGATTTTCACACAAGCTCAACTTCAGCAGCATCTAGCTAGCAAGGTGTTAAGTGACAAAAGCGTGTGTATTTGACAAAACCGTGTGTATACAGTATTATATGATAGTGGTATTATTTACAATTACTGTTTCAAAGTTTGAGAGCTGAGGCAAAGTTACGAGACTCCTTTGAAAGCATCACAAGGCTCCCAGCGGGCACGGAGAAAGACCCTGAGGTGGTCAAACTGGTTACAGTCATTGCAGAATAGTCTTTTTTACATATTTCATATTCTTCTGCTTTGTATACTTACTCAAAAGTTTTCTAGTTCATTATGTCAAGATTCAAGATTAATTTATTATCTCCCGGAGGAAATTTGTCCTGGACTCTCAAGCTGCTACCTTGTAAAGTACACATAGGACAGACGAAAACCGACTTGCTTAATGGCCTGTATTCTCTCTCTGGTCTCTCTGTCTGGTCTCTGCCTGGTCTCTCTGTTCTCTCTCTCTGTTCTCTCTCTGGTCTCTCTCTGTTCTCTCTCTCTGGTCTGTCTCTGGTCTCTCTCTGGTCTCTCTCTGGTCTCTCTCTGGTCTCTCTGTTCTCTCTCTCTGTTCTCTCTCTGTTCTCTCTCTCTGATCTCACACTCTGGTCTCTCTCTGGTCTCTCTCTGGTCTCTCTCTCTGGTCTCTCTCTCTGGTCTGTCTCTGTTCTCTCTCTCTGGTCTCTCTGATCTCTCTCACTCTGTTCTCTCTCTGTTCTCTCTCTCTGATCTCACACTCTGTTCTCTCTCTGTTCTCTCTCTCTGGTCTCTCTCTGGCCTCTCTCTGGTCTCTCTCTCTGGTCTCTCTCTGGTCTCTCTCTGGTCTCTCTCTGGCCTCTCTCTGGCCTCTCTCTGGCCTCTCGCTCTGGTCTCTCTCTGGTCTCTCTCTGGTCTCTCTCTGGCCTGCGTTCAGGTTTCAGACATCAGCAGGAACTAGTTCTTAAACCAGTCGAGGTATAATCTTTTTCTTATTCTTTGTGGAAACTCTGTGTGAGCTTCTACTTGTGCACAAACTAATACCAAAAGTGTGAGAAGGGTCCTGTCAAAGCTTTAGTCTTCAGCCTCTAGTGTTTTCTACAGGTGTTTTTTGCACAGACTCATTTCCACACCTCCCTCGTTCCTCATACGTGACATCGACACCACATCTAGACCCACTGTCGCCCCACTCCTCACTTAAAAACCAGCCGCCGTGTTGTGCGTCTGTCTGCTGCATCGCTGGTTTTTCTCATAGTCTCCCCTCTCCTCCGTGTCTTGTCCTTACCTCTCCCTTTCCCCCACTCGTCGCCCTCCCTCCCTCCCCTCCTACTACCCCAAACGCCTCCTCCCCCTCTCCCACAGCCTCGCGCCCCTTCCCCCTCATCACCTGCCGACCTCCCCATGACCGTCAAACAGGCATACAAGGCTTTTGCCGCCGTTCCGCGATCCCAGGCCGTTCTGGAGTCACCGCAGGTAGGGACCAGTTTGCAGAGAAGCACCCAGCATGCCGTGCCCGTTGGTCCGCCCCTGTCCCCACCGTGGCGTGGGCCATCTGTGCTGTGGCGTGTGGAATGACTTCATCGTCTTGTTGGTTTTTTTGTTCCGCCATCGACTGTGATTGGTCTCTCTCCGAACGTGTGGCTCATACTAATGGCGTCGTCCTCCTCCTGTGGTTAACCCGCCTGCCTACATGTGTGTGTCTCTGTGTCCGCCTCTGGACCCGGGCAGTGACGTTTGTGTTTGTGTTACAGGACCTATACGGAGTCAGGAATAACTTTCATCCTCAGCAGTCATCTCCGGAGGTGAGTTAACACAGCGGAAAGACACAAGCAACAACTTGTATATTATTATACCGGGTGCTTTTGTTTAGAATACAGTACAAAACACAAAATGGTAAACAATCGTTGCTAATGGGACTAAAGCAGTTTAGTCCCAGGAAGAATGTTCATGTCTCTTTTAAAACAAGACATTTTTTTCTTGTCCCAGTCAAAAGTATTGCAGCTTACAACGTGAAATATCGGACAGACCTGATGGAAAATAAATATCAAGCCTCTAATTTGTTATATTGTTGATATTTATGGCTTTTCCCTTGATATAGCCAACCAAACAGACAAATGAACAGATATAAGGTTGAGCCTTAAAACTTTGAGATTGAAGACTACTTGAAATCAATAACATTAATAAAATAAAATAAAATGTGTGAAAAATGTGTGAGGCCAGGTAACTATCCTCAGCTGCTACTGGTTCATAAAGAGTTAAATTGTTTATAATGCAGTCAATTAACACTTGTATAGTATTTTGCACATGTATTAACATTGATTGACATCCAGCTCCCTGTAGACCAATGGCTTCTATGTCTTTGCATTTGTTGTGTTTGATCCGAGCCGACCGGAGGACTTTGCTATTGATTTAGGGCTACACAAAAATGAATTGAATTGAGAACCACTGTTTTTTGGTGCTATAATCAAAGTTCAGATGGCAGCTCCCCAACTCTACTGCATATGCCCAGTTTTACGTCCCCTTTGGGGGCAACACAAACATGTTTCTTGCACCAAGCCCCTGAAGTGGCTCTAACAGTTGTTGCTGGTCTATACATTATGACCTTTGCAGCCTGAGTTCTGTGAAGTGTTTGAGGCGGTGGACGGTCAGAGGGAGCGGGTGCAGGGCCCTGAGGTGCCCCCCCGCACGCCCCTCTCCCCTGAGCGGAGCGATTACATGAACCTGGCCGCCGTGCCCCGTCTGTCCAGGCCTCCTCTGGAAGTGAAGGTACCGGCCCCGCTCGCTGCTCCAGCCCTGTCTGCGCTCTGGGTGGTGGCCTTTCCTCTCTGGGGGCGACAACAGCGACGCTTCTGCTCTCTATGAATCCATTTTGAATCAATGTGTAACGGTGATGGGTCTAGATAGAAATGAATTAGTTTTTCATCCTGTGCATTGCATCCTGTTCTTCTGTCTGTATTTTTAGGGAAAGCTCTTGAAAGCGGTTGTTCAGATTCTTTATGACTTTGAATCATAATGGAGTCTCTGCTGTAAAGAATGAAAGCTTGTAAATAATCATGGCCGTTCCTTTTTGCTTTGGGCTCCTCTGCAGAGTTTGTATTCCCTTCTGTTAAAGTACAGTGGTCCCTCGCCATAGAACAGTTCTCAATCCGCGGCCTCAATGTTTCGTGGATTTCGGTGCTTTTTTTACAACGGGCTTGTCATTCTCCAACAACTCAATTTAAGAGCTATTTTAACATGACAGTTTATTGATCTTTATTAAAGTCAGAAGAAAACTTTTGTGTCTCTTTCTGGTCTCTCTCTGGTCTCTCTCTGGTCTCTCTCTGGTCTCTCGCTCTGGTCTCCCTCTGGTCTCTCTCTGGTCTCTCGCTTTGGTCTCTCCCTCTGGTCTCCCTCTGGTCTCCCTCTGGTCTCCCTCTGGTCTCTCTCTGGTCTCCCTCTGGTCTCTCTCTGGTCTCCCTCTGGTCTCCCTCTGGTCTCCCTCTGGTCTTTCTCTGGTCTTTCTGTAGCCCTCAGTCTCGCTCCTACCCCCCAGTCTCCTCCGCAGCTGTATTTCACAGTGTATGCACAGCTTTTGACAGCTGCAGCAGCACTCAGACCTGCAACCAACAGGTTTGACATCTCCTCGTTCACACTTCAGCCGTCGTGAGTTCAGGTGTTTAGAAAAGTGTATCAAGTGTGAGCGGTTTTACATTCTTAAAACAAACAGCTGCTTCTTCAGATTTCACTTATTGCAGGTTATTTTTGAAACATAACCCCCGCAATCAACAAGGGACCACTGCAGTCTTTTTATGTTGTAATTATTTATTGTGATCTTAGAAATACTTTGGAGCAGTGTAGTATTGTAATTATGAAGTCCACTTTTAAACTGGTTTAGTCCCAGTCCTAATTAATGGGATACTTGAAGCCATCCATACGTCAAAGCACCAATAATCTACGACGCTGCTGCTGCAAAAACAGAGACTTTTAGACGGTTGCTTTCCTCCATTAATTTTGTTTGTTGTTTTGGCAGACTCCTTCTCCTGGGGGTAAGGACAGCCCTGAGCAGCGATCCTTCCGAGACCGACAGAAGTATTTTGAAATAGATATGAAGTCTCAGACGGCAGAGAAGCCCAAACCGCGGGTCTCACTGGTGGGAGAGGACGACCTGAAGAAGATGAGAGAGGAAGAAGGTTCGTCCTAATGAGGGAAAATATTCTTTACACAGACTGGATGAAGCAAAAAGAGAAAACCGTTTAGAGTGATTTGTTCAGGATTACAATCAGTCGTCTTAATCCCCTACTCCCACAGAAACGTATGCACTGCACTGTATTCGCCCCTAAATTAACTTTGAAATGACCAAATTATAAGATGGGTTTCTTACGTCCAGTGTAGCGCTATAAACTTTTGGTCATAAGCGGTTTTGAAGCTTTTATAGCCATAAAAAACAAGCCATATAGTTCCTCACTTTCAGAATGGTTTGGTTAAAGAAGGGAAGGAAAAATATCTAATTTTATCATGTTTTTTATTGCATTAGATTGAAAGCTTATCCTTTGCATTCATGGTTTTTTACATATTATGGAGGTATTTTTTGAACAAGTATGGACATTGTTTGGTAGTTTTTTTTAACAAAATTAGTAGTTATGTCTAGATTGAAACAACTGGACCAAAAGACGTTTCTACTGATTTAAATCCACCATTATAATTAAAATTGAATGTGTGGCTGTCTTTCGGAGAAAATTCCAGAAATGTCCAGAAATATCGGTCAATCTCTAGTTTTGGTCCCTGTGTCATAACATTGTATCTGTTCTAAAATCTTCCTCAATCCAGCAGTTTTCACATTTTAGGCCTCTGTCACATCTATAGATCATCTTTCGGGAAACATAGAGAACCAGTCCTCACTCAGCTCTGTTTGGTAAAGAGCAGATGTTTTCTAATGAGACAGAGACAGCATTTTGAGGTCTGACCGTATCTAAACAAGCCTCATTCTTTTGGGACAAACTAAATACACCAATGAAACCAAAACATAATCATCTACTCCAGCTCTAACCGCACACGTTTGTCCCTTCAGAGCGAAAGTTTGAGCAGCGAGCGCGAGAGTACCTGATGGACGAGGAGGACGAAGACGAGGAGGAGGAGGACATGGCCAAGCAGGTGGCTCAGATGAAGGTGACTGGGAAGGTGCTGCTGGACGGAGTGGAGTACAGCGTGGAGCCGGCGTCCTCCCCGTCTCCACACTGCGTCACGCCCACCAACTACTACGGCAGCTCAGGGTAAGAGCGCCGCTGTTTGGCTTCATGTTCCGGTTCCAGATCCAGGGATGTGGTTTTTCTGAGGCCGATATGTTTGGCTGTGTATTGGCACTAGTTTTTTGAAGGCGGCTTATATAGTACATAGGGTAGAGGCTAATGCTAATGCGCTATTTGGCAAGTGGGACATTTTTTAAGCTTATTTCATAATAATGGTATTTGTTTTTTCAATACCAGACACCGTTGAAACATGATATTGCTAACTTGCTATTGTCTGGTATAGAAGAAGCAATTACTTTTATGTCTACTAAGAAGACGCAATGAACCTTCCTAAATGTAAAGATGTACTGTCGACTGATTTACATTCACTATAATTAAATCCATAGTTTGCTTGTTTTCTTGAGAATATTACCTTTTTATAATTAAATGTAACCTGCTATGGTATAATATCGGCCGAATGGGAAGAAGTTTAGGTCAATATTAAAAAATCTTTCAGATATATTGGTCAATCTCTGGTTTCGTTCCCTGTGTCATAACATTGTATCTGTTCTAAACCCCAGTCCGTCCTCCATCGACGGAAAAGGAGACTCTCAAAGGAACTCCCTGGATGACAGCTTCAGACTGGAGCAGAGACCGACCTCTATGACTGGGTAAAGTGGGCTCCAGCTTCACTGCTCTGTCCATAATTCACAGTTGTATTCATTGCCTCTTGTCTCGCAGCCTGATCCCAGTCTACCCAGGGGACTCGGCCGCTCCCATCCGCACGGCCAAAGCAGAGCGCCGTCACCAGGACCGGCTCCGCATGCAGAGTCCAGAGCTGGCTGTGGCCCTGGACAAAGACCTGTCTCCTGCTGAGAAACGAGCTCTGGAGGCGGAGAAGAGAGCCATGTGGAGAGCAGCCAGGTACAAGCAAGAAAGCAACACTGTAAAATGTCTACTTCTTACAATATATATTTATGTAGTTACACTGTTGGAAAGCGTTGTGTGTGGCATGTCTGTCCTCTCTACTGTCCCATGTGCTAAAGATGTTCTTGTTTACTTGGTTCTTCTCTTCTCCTGGTGCCTCTCTCCTCCTCCTCCTCCCTGTCTGGACGCGCTGTCCTCTGTAGGCCGTATGAACTAGAGGAGGATGTTAGGCAGTATGAGCAGGACTTGGCTAAACGACTGTACCAGGCGCGTGTGAGGGCCTCTCGGGGCTCTGCTGCTCCTCCTCAGCCTCCTGCCTCCTGCTCCTCTGCAGCCTCACAGCTCAGGTCTGCCTCAGGCCCGGAGCCCTGCATCGTGACCGTGTGCTCGGGTGCTTTGGCGTTTGGGGATTTTGCTTTTGTTGACTTTGAAAGGCCCAAAGCATTGGTTTCTCTTGTGACAGTGCTTCAAGTGCCTTTCTCGCATCGGCCTGCTGCTGCTGCTGCTGCTGCTGCTGCACGTCTCCACTCTCATTCCTCCCTCTCAGTCCTGCTGTGTTCCCATGATTCTGTGGTCAACTTCAAACGTTCATTTGTGCCATTATTAAAGCCATCAGTTACTAACAGCCTGCAGTCTGTTTGCAAGCTGCAAGTCGAGACTTCAGTGAGCGTGCTTACAGTAGGCCGTCCTTCTCCTGAGCTGCCTCAAGCAAACCAGGACAAGGACCATCCATGACAGTCACGTCCAGTGCCACGCCCATCTCGGGGCTGTGTCCATGTCAGCTTTATGCAAGCTTTATCCCTGACCTTTAGACATTTCTCTGATTCTTGACTCTTTCTTCTGTAGAATGAAGTCTTTGGAGCAGGATGCATTAAAAGCTCAAATGGTTATTGCCAAGTCTCGCGATGGAAAGAAACGTGGCACATTGGATCAGCTGACGGAGTCGCCTTCTCCTGCCCCAACACCGTCTCCCACTCCTCTGGAAGGTAACCCACCTCTTCATGTTCAGAAAGCGCAAACTGAGAGTGTTGCATGTTCTGACCTGTCCTTTCTCTGACAGACACGAGTCCACGAGGTGTGACATCACCAGGCAGATTGGTAAGTTCCTGTTTCTGTCTCTGTCCTGATGATACAGTAAACACATTAGCAGCATGTTCTGTTTCTGTCCACACACTTCACATTCACAACATTCAGAGTCACAGAAGAGGCTGTTCTCCAGAGAACCACAGCTTCAGCGTCACTACCGCTGAGCCCACCATACGCCACAGTTTGCATCCATCAGATCCTGCTGTCCCTCCTCCTCCATCACCTTTGACAGTTTTGATGTTTCCTCCTCCCTCTCCTCCTCCCTCACCTCCTCCCTCTCCTCCATCACCGCTCACCCCTGTTTGCTATCCCTCTAGTCCCTGTCGTCAAAGAAGTTTGACTACCGACAGTTTGCTGCCATTCCTTCTTCCAAACCCGTTTACGACATTCAGGTATTGGTTGCATGTTGAGCTCCAGGATCCGGCCTCCTTCCCTCCCTCCCTCCCACCCAGAGTTTGTCCTCTGACCGGGAGGCCTCCACGTGACTGCAGTGTACCCTCGCAAATGATTAATACCCTACTGCGGTGGTGGGAGCACTAACTTTACTCATGATGCAAATTACCCCCAGTTTGTCCTCTACTTACAGACAAAAGCTTACGTGAAAATGATTATACTGTCACTAATAACTAGTCATGATTTTATGCCACTAACACGACATGGGATTACAATGCAGTGCTTAGAGCTACAGCAACAGCATTGGAACTGCGAAATGTGGAGATTTAGCAGTGTCTACAAGATCAGGAGTAGACAGATAAGATAGTCCCACATTGGGGAAGTTTCAATGTCATAGCTGTGCACATTATAGCAGAATAAATGTAGGAAATAAAAGCCCTCAGATCGGACACGTCAAACGGGATCTATATTTAAGATAATAGATAATAAAATAAAAAGTGATAAGATTAAAAAACTTGGTTCGGAGGTATTTACAGAGGTGTATATTGTATTTTAGCAGCAGAGAATATAGCCAGAATAAGCTATAGTATAAATAGCAGCAGGTAAAGTCGGTGAGTGGCACTTGTACAGACTCTGCAGTTCTCGTCGTACAGTCTGGCAGCAGCAGGGAGCAAGGACCTGCGACTAGATCAGTGATTTTAGCTTGTTTCACCGTCCTTCAGTCTGTGTCATCGATGGACCACTCACTAAACACAGCCAAGACCATAGCCACCAATCAAAAGGCGGTGCAGAAACCCTGTAGAATCCCGTGGCCTGCTGTGGGGCGTCCACACTAATCAGAGTGTCTGCATGTGTGTGTAGACGCCCGGGGGGAGCTGTCCGTGGTGCCGTTGTGGCTCTGGTTGTGCTGCTTGGCTGTGTCTCTGTGGATGGATACCTCCTCTGTTTTTAAACCACATTTCTGGAACGGATGCTCTTGACTATAACCCCCCTCTCCCCTTTCTCTTTTCTTTAACATGCCATTCTTCTGCCATTCGGGGCCTGGTCCAGTAGTTGTGCAGCTGACCTTTCGGGAGCTTTGGCAGTGAAGGGCTGGCATGGTGGAGGCACGTGGAGCTATTTTTAAGCAATCCACTTATCGTCACCACTTGTTTGTTACAGACACCAGAAGCGGCCGACGACGCGCACCTGAACGACACCTTGCACAACACTGGTGAGAGAAATCACAAGTCATTCATCGGAGTTTAGACGTAGTCACCACGAAGGCTTTCAACTGTTACTTGCAACATTTTAAGAATCCTTGCGATTGTCCCACGGTGGGGAAATTTCAGTGTTGCATCACCGGTTATAGTGCAGTAGGAATGAGGAGCACAGAACACAAGATAAATGAACAACAACTCTATACGAAAATACAATCAAATCCCTAGCTTTAGCCTAATAAAGAAGCAAGTATAAAATCTCTAGCTTTAGCCTAATAAAGAAGCAAGTATAAAATCTCTAGCTTTAGCCTAATAAAGAAGCAAGTATAAAATCTCTAGCTTTAGCCTAATAAGGGAGAACGGCTAATATCTCCAACTTTAGCATTAGCACAAGCATCATTTCTCCAGTGAAATAGCATTGTTTACAATTGTGTTTTCAGCCAGTAATTTTAAAATTCAGCTCCTCCCTCTGGTGGTAGCATAAGGAATTACAGGCAGAACACTTTTTTTTTTTTTTACCCTTCACACTAGTTAGGCCCGAGCCCCGAACGGGGTAAGGGCCTATTGCTTTCACAATGGTGAAAACAAATGGTGGCGGTGTGTGACGGATGTGTCAGCGCCCGTCACACACCCCGACGTGACGGTTGCGTGCGTAAACTCAAACGCTTTAAAATGATGTATCACGTGCCATTGAAACCTATATTGTTTTTGCTCGAGACACGTTCACCCCCTGAACATGCATGAAATGTTGTAAAATTTTGCCCAAACATCAGACCTGGTGAAAAATTTGATATTTTGGTGTTTATTTTTATGGGACTCAAAAAATGCCAGAACAGCGCCACCTACAAGAGCCAATGGGAGTTTCAGAGGTCAAGTTTGTCGTAGAGCCATGAAATTCGGTACACATGTTCCTCAAGTCAAGATACGACCGAAATGTTACCATGGCTCCGCCCTCTGACAAACAGGAGGCCCATAAATTTCACTGCAAAATGGAAAATCCGCAATCATTTTCATCCATGTTGGTTGGAAGGCCTCAAAATTGTTCCAAATCATCTCAACACATTTACCTTCAAAATGACCTCAGGGAGTTTTGATCAGTGAAACGTTGTTTGAGCAGCGGAGTGGCAAAATGTGAGGATTTTTTTGGCCGTTTTTGACAACATTCATTTTTTTCCCGTTTGCACGAACAAAGTCTGATTTGCATTAAACATGAATCCATTGTTCAACTTTAGCCAATTAGCGCCCCCTACAGACTGAATCAAAGTTTACATGGGGAGCCAAACCAGTTCTACTTATTATATTCATGACAATTTGACTAACTTCTTCTATGGCTACGAGAACAGCGGTTACGGCGTAGTGCGGGGCGTTGTGGAGCGGCGTGATGCGGGACAGCATGGTGCAGGATGGCGTGGTGCGGGGAGTCGCGCATTGCGGCGAGGGCCGTTCGACGCCACTTGCGGCTTTAATTTCTTTCTTTCTTTCTTTTTTCTTCTGCACTTTGAGCCTTAATTTGACCCCCTGAACATGCATGGAAAGTTGTTCAATTTTGCCCAAAAATCAGATCTGGCAAAAAAATTTATATTTTGGTGTTTATTTTTATTGGACTCAAAAAATGCCAGAACAGCGCCACCTACAACAGCCAAAATAATACCCTTATGGGACTTTTGGAGATCAAGTTTGTCGTATAGTCATGAAATTCGGTAAACATGTTCCTCAAGTCAAGACAAGAAAAAAATAATATTATGGCTCCGCCCCCTGACAAACAGGAAGCCCATGAATTTCACTGCAAAATGGAAAAATGAACAGCAAAAGTTTTCATACATGTCGGTTGGAAAGCGACTCCTCCTCGGCCGTTTCACCGATTCGCCTCAAAATTGCTCCACATCATCTCATTCAACTCTAGGGTCTAGGTCATTTGAAAGTGAATTGATTCAAATTGACACATTAGCGCCCCCTACAGACTATTTCAAATTTTTTGATGGGCATTTTCAAATTTAGTTTTTTCAAACCAGCCTCGGCCGTTTCACCGATTCGCCTCAAAATCGCTCCACATCATCTCAACACATGTACCATCAAAATGACTTCAGGGAATTTTGATCAGTGAAACGTTGTTTGAGCAGCGGAGCGACAAAAAGTGGCGTATTTTTTTTCAGTTTTTGACCATAGAAAAATTGCTTCCGTTTGCACAAACAAAGTCTGATTTGCACAAAACTTGAATCCATGGTTTAACTCTTGCGTCTAGGTCATTTGAAAGTTAAAATTTTGAAATTGGCTCTATAGCGCCACCTACAACAGCCAATTTAAAAATGCCTATGGGAGGGGTTTGAGGTCAAAATTGTCGTAGAACCATGTAATTTGGAACACATGTTCGTCAAGTCAAGACATGGAAACCTTTTTATTATGGATAAGCCCCCTGACAAACAGGAAGCCCATAAATTTCATTGCAAAATGGAAAAATGAAAACCAATCATTTTCATACACGTCGGTTGGAAAGCGACTCCTCCTCGGCCGTTTCACCAGTTGGCCTCAAAATTGTTCCAAATCATCTCAACACATTTACCTTCAAAATGACTTCAGGGAATTTTGATCAGTGAAACGTTGTTTGAGCAGCGGAGCGGCAAAATGTGAGGGTTTTTTTGGCCGTTTTTGACAACATTAATTTTTTCCCCGTTTGCACAAACAAAGACTGATTTGCATTAAACTTGAATCCATTGTTCAACTCCAGGGTTTAGGTCAGGTGAAAGTGAAATGTTTGAAATTGGCCCATTAGCGCCCCCTAAAGACTGAGTCAAAGTTTACATGGGGAGCCAAACCAGCTCTACTTATCATATTCATTACAATTTGACTAACATTCTTCTATGGCTACGGGAACAAATCATCACACGGCGGTGCCACCTCCTTTGAGCGGTGCTGCGTGGTACGGTGTGGTGAGGCGTAGTGCGGGGCGTTGTGAAGCGGCGTGTTGCGGCTTGACGCGGGGCGGCGTGGTGCGGGGCAGCTTGGCACGGGGTGGTGCGCGCGGTGCGGCAAGGGCCGTTCGACGCCGCTTGCGGCTTTAATTTCATCCTACATTTTCTACTGAAGATATTTGACATTCTAAAACATGAAATGGCCCAATAAACCATCTCAATATTGTTTTTATAGGGCACAAATAATGCATAATAGTTCATCTTTAAATTAGCTGTGATGAGAGAGAGTTTTTGTGTCATGGTAAACTCAATATTAAGCAACATTTCGGCTCAATGTAATTCTTTGTTTCCCTTGGATTCAGGAGACTACCTGGAATAAGCAGCAGCGTTGGTAGGCCTCTGTCTGCATCTGTGTGCCGGCTTTAACCTGCTTTCACTTTAACCTTAATCTAGTTCTGCAGGGTGTGTGTCGTAGCTGTGTCTCTAATCTACACTGCATGGGTCATTAATGAGTAGCAACATGTGTATTAGAATCGTATAAAATGTGGTGATTTCTCGAGGGTTAACCAGCGGGATGTACTTTAATGTTCTCTGTGTGGTTTTAAGATCTTTCTGAGTGTCGAGTGCTACTAACAGGTGCAGCTCTGTCAAATAGAAAGTAATGGGAAATGGAATGATTTTGGAAGTTCAATTCAGAAAGTCAAGTGTGTATATGAACGGCGACTGTACAATTTCAAACTCATTCATGTGTCTCTTTGAATTGAACGATAAAATCTAAAGTATTATATTTTCTAAAGATTCATATGTATTGATTTGTGTCTGTGTGGAGCTCAACAGTGACTGCCCTCCTGCTGTTTCCCGAGCTTTCCCATTAGTTTTTTTCCGATAATAGGAGTTTAGAATGACTGGAATGGCTCTCTAAAAGTACTAATACACCTCACGTTTACAACCACAAACATAAAGATTTTAGATTATTTTTGTTTTACTGAAAGTTCACACACAAGAAACAAACAACTGGGAAGTGAAAACAAAATGATGCATGATTTTTTGTTCTTTACAAACTAAATTGTTTGTCCCATTGGCAAATTTAGTTTTTGATCCTGATCTTTTGTATGAATCTGCTCAAATGAGGATAAAAAACATTCCATTCAAGCAATTGTTACCCCATATTTTATATTTTTATGCAGTGTAGGTATTAACTCGTGCTGTATTTTGTATAAGATGTATAAAATCTTGTGTATTAGTATTTGGAGAAGCCCAGGCAGTCGGTATTTCACGATTTGGTCTGAGAGCTGATTGGCTGAGGGGTGTGGTCCACTTTATATCTGAGGAATCTGAAGATGTGACGCTAATGCTAATAAACATGCATTGAACCAACATTTTCTGAGAGATTGGACCAGGTCAGATGTAATTATTCTAAATGATTCTCTATTGTTCTGTTGGGGATTTGAAAGTTGGTTACCTCGGCTTTAATCAGAGTGACCTGTTGAGCTCCTTCTCTCTGCTTGGTGCAGCTGCCGCGCTCCATCCAGTGTTGCCAACTTAGCGACTTTGTCGCTAGATTTAGCGACTTTTCAGACCCTATAGCAACTTTTTTTCAAAAAAGCGACTAGCGACAGATCTAGACAAAGCATTAAAATCATTAAATGTTGTTAATGTTGAAATTATTTTTGTACATTTGTAGTTCTTAACATATTTAGGGTGTTTTTTACTCACTTTTGTCTCTCCCACGACGTTATTCCTCTCTCCTACAGCGTCCGTTACAGTTATTTGCAAATTGCCAATTATGCAAATTAGGCGATGACGTCATTTAGCGACTTTTGGGACAGCCAATAGCTACTTTCTTTACTGAGGAGTTGGCAACACTGGCTCCATCTCTCTCGTCCCATTTACCATATTATATTCTCCTGATCCTGTCCCACTAACGCTAACGCTCTCCTCCCCAGCGCCCGTGGCCAGTCCGGAGGCCGACATCCTCCCGCTGCCCACCACCTCAGCCCTGGAGGAGATGGCTCTGTACAGCAACAAGCGCAAGCTGAGGCAGGGCCGCCGCAGCCTGGAGACCGCCGTGCCCACATAACTCCCCCATCAGCACCAAACCCACCGGGGGACTGAGGCGAGAATCCCCCGCCCCCTCCCCCAACACAAGACCCCGGGTCAGAGGAGCCTCCATCACCGCACAAACTCGCTGACACCCGGCATGCCAGCCTTGCCTTTTCAGTCTACGGACAATGGACAAGAAAAGGGGCAAGCACGGTTAGCCTAGCGAAGTTAGCCCAGTGATATTAACCTAGCACGGTTAGCCTAGCAAGGTTAGCCTAGCACGGTTAGTCCACTGTAGTTAGCCTAGCATGGTTATCCCAGTAAGGTTAGCCTAGCACGGTTAGCCCTGTGTGGTTAGCCTACTACGGTTAGCCCTGTGCGGTTAGCCTAGCACAGTTAGCCTTGCATGGTTAGCGTAGCACGCATTAGCTGTGAGGTTGCCTATCCGGGTTTAGCTCTGTGAGGTTTTGCCTTAGCGTTTATAGCGTGGCGTTTAGAAGTATTCCGACATGGCGATTGTCTTTTTAGTTTTATCCATTGTGTTTTAGAGTTTATTTTTTTTCACAATTTGCACTTGAAAAAAAAAAAAAAAAAAAAAAAAGATTTTACTGGAAACAAAAAAGAAATGGGTCCTCTAGCTGTACTAACATGCTGAAATATATTTTTAGACTTTGAATAGATGTAAATGTAACGGTTTGAGTTGATAGGAGTGTACATATGATTGGGAACAGCCTGCTACCTTCGCGGCCACATACGTAGAGTGATTTTTCTTATATATATTTTTTAAAGAATGGGACATACCATGTTTGCACTGCCACTGTTCTGCTTTTTAACATGCATATCTCTGAATAATTTATTGTTTTAAACGAGAAATGTTTGCGACACATTTATCCATATCTAATTACTCTCTATATGAGAACTATTACATGTGATTATCAGAAACCCTTTTCATTTCGACTGTGCTACATTCCCTGCCGCAGAGACACAGCAGCCAAATATCAGCCTCTTATTCATGAATGGTACTTTTGGTTTTGTCTTTTCATGTGAATCTTAATTAACTCTCTTGTGCCCCCTGGTTGAAGTGACGTGAAGGTAGCAGAGTCTATTTTTTTTGTCTTCTGTCTAATTTAAATGATGCCACTGAAATCATTTATTATTGTGTGAATAATGTACAAATATTGAAAGTATAGTTGAACTTTGGGTGTGCATCTGAGCCAGTCTTGACCGCGGCGACAGTCCGGACTGTTGGGGACGGCGCTCTCTGCTCGGGCGATGGTTGCAGATGGAGCCGACAGAGTTACAAACCCCATCAAGACACGTTATCATTTAGAATCCAAGCTTGTGTTTCTCAGATAACATTTGTGATGGCTTTTTAACTTGGCTACTTTTTTCAGACAGGGGTTCACTTCCTTTATAATGCAGTGTTTTAAAAAAAAAAGGTTTTACTTTTGTCTTGAGAAATCTCTGGGGGCTGTAACCTGTGATTGAGTGGACGGTAACGTGGGGAGAGCTCACACAGGGCTGTAACTAGTGAATTTGTACAACCAAAGAGAAGTCTATTTTGTGGTTCAGGAATAATAAATTTTACTTTTCATTTAAGAAATCTGTTGTCGTTTCATTTTTCCTCTTAAGTAAGTACTAAGCTAAGTAATCTTTATTTATATACCGCCTTTCACAGACCAGTCACAAAGCTCATGAAGCACACAGCTCATTCTATTCAATGTATTCTTGTGTAGCCCTGAATCATAACAGTAGGACGACAGTGGCTCAGGTGGAAGAGCCTTTGGGCTTGAAGGTTGTGGGTTCGATCCCCTCATGAGACCTACTCCAACTTCTCCCACTGATGCCTGCTGTTGTTGTGTCGTACTTGTGCAAGACACTTAAGGGTGCAGTTAGCCGTAGCACCAACTGGAAAGCACTCCCCCCTCCCCTCGCCTCTACACCAAACCAAACATCCAGCATTTTCTGTTTTTTTTTTCTGTTTTATTTTTTTTGTCACAACAGGGTGAGTGGGTGGAAAACGCAAAATTGGTATTTTCTGTTCAGTTATTTTAGGTTTTGGAAAATCCGATAACTCAGAGGCGCACTTAGGAGAAACAGGAAGTGGCTGAAGGGGGTAAACGCATCCCATTGGTTAGTTGGGGAAGAACGAATCCCATTGGTTAATTTTATCGGTCCGCTCCAAAATATTTTTTATTCATTTTTGGAGACTACAGTCAATTCCATTACTATTTGAAAACACTTGATAACTTGACTACTTCTAGGGTTTAGGGACGTTTTCCCACAATATTTAAAAGAAAAAAAAGGATCAGGATGGAAATGGATTGATAAAGGGTTAGCAAAATGAATGAATGACTTTACGAAACCGCTGAATTTGCCAACACAGATAAAAGAATCGAAACACAAGATCAGAGTTCAAACACACATCCTCTATGGCTGAAAAGTAAGTAAGTAAGTAAGTAAGTTTTTATTTATATACCGCCTTTTCACTGCAGATCTGAGTCTCAAAGCGGTTTACAATTGTTAATTTTGGGCATTAGTCTCTCACTCCACACAGAGATGGGAGCGGGGCCAGTACAGGAGGCACATGCTAGAACTATTGAACATATTTTTAGTGGTAGGGGAAACCGGAGTACCCGGAGGAAACCTACGCAGACACGGGGAGAACATGCAAACTCCACTCAGAAAGGCCCTGGTCTGACCGGGATTCGAACCCAGGACCTTCTTGCTGAGAGGCGAGAGTGCTATCCACTCAGCCACCGTGCCGCCCAAAAGAAGTCATGTGACCACTAGACTCTAAACTTTTCCCTGTGATGTCTGAATTTTATTGTGTTATTTTGTATTTTGTCATTTCCTATGTATTTTCCTGCCTAGGGACTACGGATGAAAACTAGCTTGGTAGCTATAATCTATGGGGTGCCGTTTGTAAAAATTCTGTTAAAATTTTTTAGCTGAACATTTTTCTACATTTAGCTCACTTTCCTCACATTTAGCACATTTTCCTCACATTTAAGACATATCTATATCTAAATATTATATCTATATCTAAATGTTAAATGTTATATCTAAATATTATATCTATATCTAAATGTTATATCTATATCTAAATGTTAAATCTAAATGTTAAATCTAAATGTTAAATCTAAATGTTAAATCTAAATGTTAAATCTATATCTAAATAGACCCTACAGGATTACACAGGAATCTCACGGGACTCCACGTGGCTTAGTTTACAGTGAATACACTCTGGCTCCAGCAAATAAGCAAGAATCTTCACAAAAATGCTAATTTTGTGCCGTGGCCAAGGACGATGGCGCCGGAGACCCAACATGCCTTGAGCCGTGACGTCGGTCCACGTGTATTCCTATGTTCAAAACACGCTGCCGCCCCCACTCACCACACGGCACGGAAGGCGGGCCCACTGGATTTGAAGCCACTGCAGTGGGCGTGGTTTCTATATATTTAGCTTTACACTTGGCGACACATTTAGATTTAACATTTAGATTTAACATTTAGATTTAACATTTAGATTTAACATTTAGATTTAACATTTAGATTTAACATTTAGATTTAACATTTAGATTTAACATTTAGATATAACATTTAGATATAACATTTAGATATAGATATAATATTTAGATATAGATATAACATTTAGATTTAACATTTAGATTTAACATTTAGATTTAACATTTAGATTTAACATTTAGATTTAACATTTAGATTTAACATTTAGATTTAACATTTAGATTTAACATTTAGATATAGATATAACATTTAGATATAGATATAATATTTAGATATAACATTTAACATTTAGATATAGATATAATATTTAGATATAGATATAACATTTAGATATAGATATAACATTTAGATATAGATATAACATTTAGATATAGATATAACATTTAGATTTAACATTTAGATTTAACATTTAGATTTAACATTTAGATTTAACATTTAGATTTAACATTTAGATTTAACATTTAGATTTAACATTTAGATATAGATATAATATTTAGATATAACATTTAACATTTAGATATAGATATAATATTTAGATATATATTTAGATATAGATATGTCTTAAATGTGAGGAAAATGTGCTAAATGTGAGGAAAGTGAGCTAAATGTAGAAAAATGTTCAGCTAAAAAATTTTAACAGAATTTTTACAAACGGCACCCCATAATAATCTGGCATATTTATATTTTAATACTGGTGTTCATTAATGTGCATTGTCCCTATCAAATAAATAAATAATAAAAACATAGAGCCATTGGTAGAAGGTAAAAGGGGAAAATGACCGATGTCCATAAATGTTGAAAGCTCATGGCAGATCTTCCTTCTATCGTCACCATCTCTCTGACTGAGTATGTGTACAACTTCATCCATTAGTCTAATTTTAAAACATGAAACCAGAAAGAAACATTCTATCTCTGAATGACCACCTTAACTCCAGTTTCTAGTTTAACGACATGATGTAAAATGGACCTTGTTATGAAACAGTTGGCGAAGACTCAGCAAACAAATGCAGCCTCAGTCCACTGGGATCTCACATAAACTCAACATGAAGGGACCTCTGGCTGTTTATCTGCTCACATTGTTTTTCCTGCTGTCGCCTGCAGATCTGCTGGTAATGATCTTTATTATATTTCCATTCACCTGTTGCATCATGAACTAACTGCTGTAAAAACCTGCTCCTTCAGAACCTTTGCCTGAACAACGATGTGAAAATGGTATTTCTAATGTTTGTTTACTAAAGTCATTCTGTGAACATGTTTATGCTTAACTGCTTTTTTTTGGTAATTGTTTTTGCCTTTTAGGGTAGAATGGCATGTATGACTGCCATGTCAAATGAAGCAGGATTTGGACCAGATCCAGAAAACAACTCCACAGATGTGCCACTTGAGAGAAGCTATGTAAGATCACAACATTTGTAACCGATATGTTTTCATGACTGTGCCTTGTATGGTCCTGCTGTAGATCCAGATCCATGTGGGAGACCAGGGGTGTCAAACTGGTTCCAAAGTCTTTAGGATGACACTGGACTCACTTGAGGAAATGGGTGGAGTCTGGTGTGCTCCTGCTTGGTTGGAATTAAAACCAGTTTGACGCCTCTGTAGTAGGTTACTGAGGCTTAGGGCGCCCCCTAGAGGCAGTCAGTGGACTTTTCATATTGACGTTTGTTTTGCAGCCAGAAGTATTCTTGAATGAAACAATGTATACGTTTAACTTGAATGAAGCAATGGACGAATCAAAGTCCAATGAAACCCTGGACGTGTCAAAGTTGAATGAATCTATGGTAACTATAGTCCACAAACCAACATTACAACTTCTTTCTATGTTTTTGCTTTTAACTTTGTACTTTTATAACTTAAGGCGACCTTGAGGGCCCAGGTATGAGGTCCAGATGAAGCCCAGGTGGGTTTTTTCTGGCCAAGTTGAAAATTACATTAAATTAAAGTATTAAACCCTGTAATGTTTTGTTTTTTTCAGTGAAGATGGAGTTCCTCTCTGGGAGAAAAGAATGAGATTTCTATAAATAAATAGTTTTGTTTGATGTCGTTGTATATTTGTGTATTTTTCCTACAGACTTTGTGTGTTCTGATCTTGGAGCTCCGTGACTCAGTGAGCTGAATATTATATTGTTCGTAATAAAACAAATCCATTATCTATTATTCATGAATGGTACTTTTGGTTTTGTCTTTTTAAGTGAATCTTCAATATGCGGTCCATCAGGACTAGAACCTCCCGCCACAAGAACAGTTTCTTCCCCTCTGCTGTTGGACTCTTGAACACTTCTTAACCTGTCCCCCCGCCCTTTATAAAGTCACTTTACTGCCCATCATACGTCACTTTACTTCACTGTACTGCTGTCACCTTACATTGTGTGCACCATGTGCACTTGTATATTGTAAATAGTAACTGTATCTCTATTTTAAATTTAAATGTATTCTTTAGAAGTGTTTTTTATTCTTATTTTTATTATCTCTTTTTGACTGTTGCACTGAGCCAAAGCAATTTCCTAGTCTGTGACCTCCTGTTACTTACGTGGCAATAAAAATGATTCTGATTCTGATTCTGATATGTTTGGGTCAGTGCCGTGAAGGAAGTAGCGTCCTTAGATAGAATTCATTGATTTTTTTGCAGGACATTATTCCATTGTCAACACTCAGTACTTGGTGATGTTAGGATTTAAGCAGACAGAGACGGATCGTGGTGTGCCAAACTCTGGAAGTTTATTTAAGTTTCTCTCAAGTTCCACTGGTTTCCTCTGTTTCTTTCTCTCAGACAGAATAAAGGCAGTACACAGTTTATATAGTCATTGTCACGTCACACATCGAAAGACATACGTGTCACAAAGAGACAGTCACATCATAGTCATAACATGGAGTCCTTGTAGAGTCCTTGTACAGTCCTGCACGTAGGCCATATTGCTATCTAATACTAATACCCTCCCCTTTGATCACATAATCACATGTGATCACTCAAATTGATCAATCAATAAAGTGAAAAAAGAAAGAAAAAAAAAAAATTCTAAAAAAAAACTTTTAAAAATTATTAAAAACAAAGAAAATGTATGCATTAAACTCATAATCATCAAATCAATATCAGTGGATTTTATCCTCTATCCTGGGAAAAAACAAACAAATACAAATAAAAAATAAAAACAAACAAAAACTATTGGACACACAAGAACTCAGCAGATTCAGTCAAAACACAGACAAAAACGAGCTGAGTCTCAAATTTGAAGCTAATTTCACTTTTATTACTCTATACTTTTATTCTAATGCTGATTGTTTACACTTCACTTATTTCACTGTATTATTTTCACTATTTAATCTTAGACTGTGTACTTTACTTTTACTATTCACTATAGTTTAAAACTATTCTAATCTATTCACAAATATGTTTGCATATTTGCTTCTATTGAGCCATATTCTTAAACATACATTTTAATCTAATAAATCTCTCTGTGGTTTTATACTCTCATTATCAGTGGCTTATTGTTAGTGGGATTTTGCTCTATGTCTATTCTCATTCTCAGGAATAAAACTGAACACAGTAAGGCAAATGGTCAACATTTACACTTCTATAGTGGTCAGTGATTTATTACTTTTTATTATCTAAAGATATTATTGTCAGGCAGTTTGGGATGAATGAACATCATTAATCAAATTAGTATTATCCTTACAAGAGCTAATCTATTTTAGCAGGTTTGGGGTTGGGGTCAGTTATTCTACAATGGTGTTTGAATTATAATCTGTGCTGGCAAATCAGCTTTTTAAACTTCTCAAAGATATCCAAATATCTACTATTGTGTTTTTGGGCTACACCCAAATGCATCAAAATGCTTTTAAATCTCTGTTGGTTGTAATCTATCTCATTGATCTAGGCATTAATCTAGACTACACTCATATGGACTTTTTGTATTGTCAACATTCACTCATGTTTGAACACAAGTGAATTTGGCAGTATCTAATAAAACTGTACATAAAACTGTAAGTAACTTTATCTACTTTTGAAGTAAATGCTTGTGAAATGGTCCCTTTACCATTTGATATTAGCACTGGCTAAGAATATTCTCTATTTTTGAAAGCATCTATGGTTGATACTTTTATCTATCTCTATTTTTACACTATTGTGACTCCAAAGTTTGGCTGCAGTTTGAGCAAAGGCATATTCCTAATTTGTGACTTCTGTCACTTTTAATATCTCTAAAATACTCTGATTCTAATATTATAGCTGATCTATCAAAAGGATAACATTGTAGGGTACTATTTTAACTCTTATGTGGAAATGTGTTTATGAAAAACAAAGGAAGTCAAATTCTACTTTTTTACTACTATTTAACATCTACTAAAACGCTACAATACTCATACTTTATCATTTTCAAAGTTTTTGTCTGTCAGATGTCTGAATGCTTAACATGTATATTGCATTTGTCACAGGTTCTGATTGTAGCAATAGCATCGGCAATAGACGTTTTCATTGGCTGGTTCTTGTTCTGCAAATGGCTGTGTCCAATAGATCATCAGATGTCCAGAAGCTAGGGACAAACAAAAACAAAAGAAAGAATCATGAGTATCTCTCTCATTTAGCACTCATCAATGGTATGATTTCAATAATATAAACATCACTCCCCAGTTTTTCTCTCTCAGGTCCTAAGATCCTCAGGTCCTCAGGGTCCCCTGAGGGTAAGTCTCAGTCGTCATCAGGTCAGGTCATAGAGAGATGTCATCTTGGTCATCAGTAGGGTCCAAGCCATGGTTCTGGTTCTGGTCTCCAGATGCACATCAGGATCTCCAGATACAGTCTTTTCACTTGAAGCACATCAGGTCATTTGCGATGCACTTCTGGTCAATGGTGCAGTGTCACAGTTCCTGTACACAGCTTGTTATGCAATAGTTACTCTCTATGGTTAAGTCACTTTGATTCTAATCCTAATCAATTTCTATTCATGCTGTTGCTAATGTCCCTCAGACAAAAGCAAGCGCAATGATTCAGTTTACTTCTCTAATTTGTGTTTTTATCAGATGTAATCCTAATCAATGTAATTACTTCACACAGTACAAAATCAACAAATCAAAAGTGTCAGGACAGAGGTCAATTATGTCCATGACAATATAGAATTCAAATGAACATTTCTGGTCTCAAAAAATACTGATTCAAGTGATAGACAAATATTGGTTTACATTGGAGTAAACTTTTAAAATGCTTTTTTCTCATGTTCTGCTTTTTCATGTATCTATATGTAAATGTGAATGTGTGAGTGTATGAATGTGTGTGTGTGTGTGTGTGTGTGTGTGTGTGTGTGTGTGTGTGTGTGTGTGTGTGTGTATGTAAGGTGTAAATTTTGGGGTTGTGTCTCCAGACTCCTCGAACCACCTGTAGGTGTCAAAGGTCACACTGTGGTGATGCAAACCAACTGGACACACTTTCAACTCTCCTCCAGGTCTCTCCCTGACGCTCCACCCATCACTGCCTCCAGAAACCTCCACTTTGTGGCCCCGGTCTCACTCCCACTTACTTCTGTAGTGGGGGGAGGGGCGTAGAGGTGGCATTGTTGCCCTTTGCTCTTAGCTCTGTGGCCTGTGGCTGGGTGGGCGTTGCGCTGTCCAGTGTCCAGCAGTGACCTCTCGTACAGTGTGGCAGAGTCTGAAAAACAATCCTTGAGACGGCCAATTTAAAAAAACAATAGATATCAGTATGCGAATGAGATTGTTTTTCTCCCTAAAGTCAAAACAATTTTGAAGCGCTCTGGGTTTTCCCACATGCGCTATGTAAATAAAGATTACTTATTATCTTACTAATGATGACATTTTAAGACCAGAAACTCTCTCTTAATAAAAAACAAGACTCAAATCTCAAACAAAAACTCCCTTTTTCTGTATGTAATTTAAACCGTGATCACTGAAATATAACAGATGTTATTGCTTCAACTTTTGTCATTTATCAAGCCTGGAATTGGTTAATTACAAAACTTTTTGTGACAAAAGGCCTCCTTAACACGTTTCCCTTTTTATAATTACTTTTAATTTTACACCATGGTTTCACTAACTATTCTGGCCGTAACTGCTATTTTGTCGAGGTAGCAACCTGTTTTGATCATTTAAACTGCCATTTTATCGAGGTGGCGGACCTGATGATCAATTACACTGCCATTTTATCGAGGTGGCGGACCTGATGATCAATTACACTGCCATTTTATCGAGGTGGCGGACCTGATGATCAATTACACTGCCATTTTATCGAGGTGGCTTACCTGATGATCATTTAAACTGCCATTTTATCGAGGTGGCGGACCTGATGATCAATTACACTGCCATTTTATCGAGGTGGCTTACCTGAATCTTACCTAATCCGATCTATATAGATATACGACATTTGGTGGACCTCAAAACAGACCATAATTTAGTTCACTCAATTAGCAGACTTTGAATAAACAGGTGTCCGCTCTTACCTTTTGTCGAACAGGGCCCAGGCACCGTCAGAAGTCCACCAAATATCAGCTTTTCCACGTCCAACCGGGTCTCTAGATCATGAACCAGCGCTCACTAGTACCGGGAACTAGTTTCCATCGGCAGAGGCCAATCGCACGTCAAAAATCCCCGGAATGTGGACATGGGAAAACAATTTTGAACGCTCAGTCCAAAAAACAGGACACAAAAAAATATAGTGAGAGAGCGAAAAAGACTCCCGGAGCCGGTCGCCTCTCCAGCCTGCTGGACCGCTCCCAGGCCCCAGACACTCAGCTCTCCCATGCCGAGAAAAAGAAAACAAAGCAAACTCCCTCAAAACAATCCAGAGAATGGCACACACTGAGCCGCGCATTCTCCACCAAATCTGTTAGGATTTAGCAGACAGAGACGGATCGTGGTGTGCCAAACTCTGGAAGTTTATTTAAGTTTCTCTCAAGTACCACTGGTTTCCTCTGTTTCTTTCTCTCAGACAGAATAAAGGCAGTACACAGTTTATATAGTCATTGTCACGTCACACATCGAAAGACATACGTGTCACAAAGAGACAGTCACATCATAGTCATAACATGGAGTCCTTGTAGAGTCCTTGTACAGTCCTACACGTAGGCCATATTGCTATCTAATACTAATAGTGATTCTACACTCTGTGATGGTCTGTGCTCCCTAAAAACACTGGAAGATCTACCAGTCTAATGGTTGTCCCGGCATTGTTTGGATTGACTAATAAAACGGTCAGAATGAAAAAACTATATTACCTCTGTTCATAAATCGACAAATTGCAAAATACATCTACTCTGGCGCCACCTGCTGGTGAGAGCCTGATTTGCTAAGACCTCAGAAGCTAAGCAAGGAAGGACCTGGTTAGTACTGTTTCAATATGGAGAGACTGGAACAGACAAAACTTGGGTATTATTAGAATTATATATTGGTGATAAGTAAATCTGGCACTACATGAATTATCACTGAGGACAATATTTTCAAGATTACATTTATTGTGCTGACAGAATGTGGTCAGGATTTGGCGCTTAGACCCTGTCAGAGCATGGCCCGATTGCAGAAGGGGAAAGGGATTATGAGATGAAATCCCTCGGGGCCTAAACCCTGGTGGTGGTAGTTAAGAGATGAATGAAGGAGCTGGCCTAGAACAAGGCGGAGATGGGGAGGAGGAGGGTTGCGGCGTGAATGAAGCTACTGCTTGGATGGAGATGTGAAGCTGATGCGGGCAGTGCCTGATAGCTGCCAGGAGAGGGCAGTGTGGCGCTGCAGCTGAGTGTGAGTGACTGATTACTGATAAAGTGTAGATAAATGTCCATAAACGACTCTTCTTCGGCTGCAGGACCCAGCAAGAGGTGTTTGTGGTTCAGGAATTTTACTTTTAATTTAAAACTGTTGTCTTCTCATTTCTCTCATGAACATGTTTGTGTGGCTTGGACAAACATCACAGCTCTTCCTTCTATCGTCACCATCTCTCTGACTGAGTAATGTACAACTTCATCCATTATTCTCATCTTAAAACATGAAACCAGAAAGAAACACACTATCTCTGAGTGACCTCCTTAACTCCAGCTTCTAGTTTAACGACATGATGTAAAATGGACCTTGTTATCAAACAGTAGGCAAAGACTCTGCAAACAGATGTAATATTTACAGTCTATGAAGCAGCCTCAGTCCACAGGGATCTCACATAAACTCAACATGAAGGGACCTCTGGCTGTTTATCTGCTCACATTGTTTTTCCTGCTGTCATCTGCAGATCTGCTGGTAATAATCTTTATTATATTTCCATTCACCTGTTGCATCATGAACTAACTGCTGTAAAAACCTGCTCCTTTAGAACCTTTGCCTGAACAACGATGTGAAAATGGTATTTCTAATGTTTGTTTACTAAAGTCATTTTGTGAACATGTTTGCACTTTACATAATAATGGCTTTTGTTGGGAATTGTTTGCCTTTTAGGGTGCACCGAGTTGTTTAACTCCCACGGAAAATGATAAAGGATTTCAACCAAAAGACAATGAAGTAAGATCACACAATTTATAACAAATGTTTTCATGAATGTAAACTGACTTCATCCTTTATCGGGTGTAGACCGAGATCCAGTCCATGTAATCTAACATGTTTTTTTATTATTGATTTTTCAAATGTAAACCACTTCCCCATGACTCTTCCCTGTACTGTAGACTGCACCCTTCGACAGTCCAAGGGCTGCACATTGAAATTATTTCTGTACAAATAATAAAAGACCAGGGGCCGTATTCCTAAAGATTCTTAGTGCTAAAAGTTGCTCCTAGTGGCCAAATTCTAAGAATTTCCTTAGAATCTTGACCAACTCTTAGAATTTCCCCTAAAAGTGAGGAGTAGCTTCTAGTTAAGAAAAAAGCTATTCCTAAAGAATCCTAGCTCCTAAGGTGAGATCCCTTAAGAGTTGAGAGGAGGACTTTTAGCAACTTAAAAGTTCCCTAAGAGGACAAAATGGTGGACGGTAGAGGCAGGAGAAATATTCTATACACTGGATGACAGTGAATCAGTAAAACACTGCAGATTGGATCCTGCAGGAATCATGTTTAAAAGTCAATCATGTAAAAGTCATCATGTACAAATAAACAGTTTTGTTTTATTAACAGCAATCCAGTTCAAAAAGGAGTGTGAAGAAGTTAATACTTTTAAACTCCCACCCTCTATTTATCATTCTAAATTAACTTAAATAGTGTGGTTGCTACAGCTTAGTTTATTCCAAGGTGTATTTACAGTTATGCAACAGTGACATTCACAATAACATGCACTTGATTTGTGTATGTATAAAATGCTTATATTAATATTTTTTCCTTAATTCCTTTTACGTCTTTCAGTATCACAGCCTTTACTAATCCTAATGTTATAATCATCTAATATATATATATATAAAGTGCTCATGTTATATTTCATTTCATTTTCAACGCTCATAGCACCAGTACCTCGCTGATCTTCTGCAGGGGGTGAGTCCACAGGAAGATGGCTGCTCCATCAGTTGAGAAACAGCCTTGATCTTTCAGCGGGGGGCTTCAGGCAACGTGGGGTTAAGTGTCTTGCCCAAGGACACAACGACAGCAGTCATCAGTGGGAGCAGTTGGAGTAGGTCCCATGGTGGGAATCGAACTCACGACCTCCAGGCCCAAAGGCCAATGCTCCACCAACTGAGCTACTGTCGCCCCCTCATGTTATATACGTTTGTTAAATATGTGTTAAATATGTGTGATAAAATGGTGCTGAGCAAGCTCCAATTTAAATACATCTGACTTTCTACCTTTTCTAATTATTTACAATGACACAGTATTCCTAAGATTAGATTCTATGATTGAGTTTGTCCATTAGAGGATCCTTATTTTGCCCATTATCAAAAATATGGTTTCTCTAACTTTTAGGATCAACCAATCACAGCGTCTGAAATGATGACTCTTACCTAGCAACGGGGTCGGCCACGCCCCCTCACTAAGATAAGAGTTGTTGTCAATTCCTTGCTCAGAGTTCTCTAAGAGTGTTCTGGAATAACTTTTAAGCTAAGACTCCTAGCTAGGAGTTTTTAGGTTAAGATAGGAGCTCTCTGAGAGGACTCTCAGAATCTTTGTGCTTAGGGCGCCCCCTAGAGTCAGTCACTGATCCCAGAGGAGTTCTCACTTAGACATGTTTTGCAGACAGAAGCGAGTAACTCGACTGGAACACTGGACGTATTCGAGACCAATACAACCAAGGTAAGCTTGTGACAAACATCAGAGCTCCTTTCTATGTGGAGGAGCAGCGGCTCTACTCTGAGTCCATACTCTGATCCTGTGTGTGGTTGTGGAGAAGTCATTCTGGAGGTTTCTGCTGCCCCACTCATCCAGCTATGGATTAAGTGGAAGAGCGTGGATGTTTTCTGTATCTAGTATCTCGTGTTGGTCCTGAGGCTCAGAGAACTCACTTTTGTCCAAACACATCTGAAGCTCACATTTGATAAAGAAAACTAAACAAGAGAAGCCAGAATGTGCATCACAGGAGCAGCTACAGCCGCTATTTCACTGAAGATTTATGGATGTTTTTTTACAGACGAGTTTCTCCAACTTCACTGAAGCCGACAACAGCTGAGTCACAGGTACGAGAGGTCACAGGTACGAGAGAAGATTGGAGCCAGTGGATTTAATGAACATCTTATGTTTCTTTTCTCAGAGAAGGACAGAACATGGAGTTCAAGAATGAATGGTTTACTCCCAGTTTTTCTGGAAATAAATTGTTTTCCAAATGGTTGTGGAGCCGTTTGTGTTGATCTTATGGAGTCAGTGGCTAAGTAAGTTCTGTGGGTTCTTAAGATACTTTGAAGTGTCATGATTGAAATCCAGTCACTAAAGCATTCTATTCACAAGGTTCACTTTATTATTTATGTTAGGGTCATCTTTTATTACAAATGTTCCTATTTCCACTCATCACGTTCAAACACTCCTGACTGACATTGACAAACAGAAGTCCAGTTTCCTGTGGGTGACACTTCCATGTGAAATGGTTTTGGCATGGAGTAAATGCATTGCATAAACTGTTCTCTGTTCACAACTGCATATAAAAATGGTGGATTGGAACCAGGGGAAAACAGGGTAAACACAGATGTAAGTGATGAAGCAGCAGCTGAAAAAACAGGCCTCTCTCCAGAATCCAGCTGCTGCCTTCGGAACGATTCCTTTAAAGTCAATCATTTGATGGTTGTAGTTGAGAGAATCAGAAAGGAACAGTGTCAAAGGGTTACATGTAATCAGGAGCTACGATGCTAAATTAGTGATCTTTCCAGAAGACAAAGCAGTTTCTCATTAAGGCCACGTTTATATAGAAACTTATTGTCTATTTGGTGGCGTCGTGTTGAGAGAAAACAAGTTTCTGTATTTAAAACCAGCGAGCACAGGGGCCTGTGCGCGCCCCTTCACCACAGCAAATGAAAATGGTAACAAAAGCTCAGTCCACATGGCTTCCACACGCCCACTCCCAGAGCCCCGACCAGAACCTGGACACCCCCATTATAATGTGCGAGATCACGTTAGAACCTTCTTGGAAAAATAGACATTTTTACAGAAGTTTGTAAAATCATCTCCTAAAGTCATTTCAGTCGTCTGTTGCTTCAGCAAAACCAGTTTGAGTCCAGAGAGGAGTTTGGTCGCACACAGAGCTCTGAGCCCGAGCCTCAGGACCACAGTGTGTCAGAGTCTCCCCTGCGCTCAGCCCCAGCAGATGCAGTTCCTCTGTAGCCAAACCGTCAGAGGTGAAGCTGTAGGAGTCATTGGAGAGATGGTTGGGTGTGACTTGGATGTAACCGTGAATGTATCCAAACTGTAGTAGAAAGTAATGGTGAAGGTGGCATGAGCGTTGCTGTGGCTGCAGTCCTCGTCCTTCCAGGGGCTGGGCAGAACTGTGCTGAGGGGCAAGGGCTGGGAGGGACCTACTTATCCCCCAGGATGGCGTACTGGTTGTCCAGCTGCAAGTGCTGTATAGAAGCCCCACCAGCATCATCTCTCCCACGGGTTCTGTGTTTGACCACCTCAAAGGTCTTCTCCATCTCACGGTCCCTGGAAAAGCAAGAGACATTGAGTCACATCACAACTTGATGAAAGACGTAACTTTATATGTGGAAAAACCTTCACTTCAGTAAACAGTACTATGGATGATCAGGCTCATCCTTCAGTCAGGAGAGACATCTGGGTCTTACACATTCCCGTCGTATAGATTTATAAATATCTAGTAGAGATTTGTTTCATGTGCATGCCAATTTCTTGTTGCATTTTCATATTTATTTCCCTGTTATAGCATCCCTGAACAGACCTTACACTTCTACATCTGAATCCACTCCATGTTCTCCATCACAGTCTTTTGATGTGACATCCTCATGAGGACACTTTCATATTCTCAATCACACAGTTGGTTTAGTGTTAAATACTAAAAAGACAAATGAGGTGACTTGAACTTACTTGCGTGTTTCCGTGTGCTTGGCAGTGGCCAGGAGGGAGGGGAACTGTGTATCACTGAAGATCTCAGGGGGGCCCTGGGCGGGGGTTCTTTTGGCAGTGCCCAATCTGGCTCCTGGGGGCCGATATACTCCAGAAGGTTTGGATTCAGGCACCTCTTCATCATCGTCTTCATCCTCTACAAACATATTACCCACGTTAGACACGTTTGAGAAGGATTCACTGCTCCAAGTCATATCAATTGGACAAAACCGCTTGTTGCAGACCCCTCCCCTTCCCAGACTCACCCACTGGGGCTGCAGAAGGCGGGGCACCACCCGACTTGTTCCATGGTCCTGATACTTTATCACCACTGACCAGAATAATCTCTCCATCCTCTCCCACCTCCTCCTTCTCATACTCCTCTTCCTCCTTCTCGTCACTGTTGGAATGAAAGCCAACGTGAACGACAAACACACACTATTTTCCACTTATCTCAGCCAGACACATAACATATTTCAGTAAAGTTCACCCAATATTGCCAAAATCTTGTAAATAGATAAAAAGGAAATAAATCGTGACACTTACGTGATCTGTAAGGCCTGCAGCCGGAGCCCACTGTAATCCACCTCCCTCTGCTCGAACTCTTTCCACTCCTCATCCTCCTGGATCATAAAAACATGAGTTAAAAGTAATCAACACCATTCCCACACAAACAAACCGCCAGTGAATACTCAAACAGAGCCTGTATGTGGCCTGCTTTACTGCCTGCCTTTTGTAAATATCGTTGAGTGAACTGCACTGTCAAGACTTTTCAGACACATGACAAATGGCGACGCGGCCTTACAGTGTATGGTGAACAGGCCACACACTCCCCCAGCCTCGGCTCACTCATCCAGGGTGTAGTCGGGCTCATACGTGATTACAACTGCGTGAATTTACTTTTAAACGTATGTGAACTTAGGCTAAAGTAAATATATTCTGCTTTACGTGGTGCTCCCGGCTAAAGCTAATGCTACATAGTTCAGGCTGCACCATAAGCGAGGTAGCAGAGCCGGCATATCGGCTTTATAACAAACGTGGGAGTCGCCGCTCGCTGACAGCCTCCTGGGACCCTCCATGGATCCAGTACGAGTCCATGGTCTAGTCCCATAAGTCTGGTCTACCCTCACCGTGGGCGAGTGGAGCCATCGGGGGGCTCGGGGCGCGATTTAGGCCGACTGAAGTTTGTCCCACGTCGGCCTCACTCACCTTCTCTATCTGCGTGTCCGGGTTGTCATTCTTGGCAGATTTCTCCTTGTCTTTCTTGGTTTTCTTCAGCAGCATCGTGGTGGGGGGCGCGGGGGCCTCTTTGCCTTTCCCCTTTTCTTTCTTTTTCTTTTTATCTCGTTTGGCAAAGAAATCATCCAGACTTTTCTCCGGGGGCATGTCCGCCATTTTCCAAGACGGACGCAGGCTGTTCCCTAATGCGCGGCGAGGGGGCGAGGAGGCTCTGTCACGGCCTGGAGCTCAGCACACGGGCTCCCGGGGGTCAGAGGGACACGGTACGGAATGAGTGATTCCCTGATCGGTGGTCAGGATAAGCACCAGCCCCTGTGACTGTGAGCAGCACCCCAGCACCATGCACGCGCTCTGCTGCACCGGAAACGCTACGGGGAGTGACCCGGAACTAGTTAACTCACACAATAAAAGCGCCCTATCTGCCTTCTATTTAAATAAGTGCCTATATTTATCATTATTAAGCGCTAATGGTTGTGTAATTTATGTTTTGGTAGCTCTTAATGAATGGGCATTTAATAAGCACTTATTCTTGTTATGGTCTTATTCAACATCTAACTAACTACTAACTGACACTTGTGGGATAGGGTTAATATTTACAGTCTATGGTTAGTGCTAGGGGTTAATTAATGGGGGCTAATATAACATTTTACCATTAATATTTACAGCCTATGCTTATATCATATTTTTCTATTCATTCAAACTCAAAACATATTTTCATGTGGTGTCTGTAAAAAGTGTGTGTACCCCATAGACCACTGTCCCAGGACGAGTTTCACCTGCGTGGGACAACAAAGGAGTATTCTTATCTTGACACATTGACTCCTACAGTCTGTAATGAGACAAGGAAACTCCAGCTTAGTCAAGTCAACAAGGAAGAGGCAATTTTTATGAGTTCAGAAGCCTCTCATGTGTGATTTCAATGTTTCTTCACTTGTTTTGATAAGCACTTTGAGTGGCCTGGTGTCTGAACTGTGCTATACAGATAAACTTGCCTTTCCTTGGCTTTAAGTAGATCTATGCTGCCTTGTTTCTTCGTCTTGTTTGTGTTTTATTGTGAGTTGTTTAACTTTTCTGCTTATTGTAGGACTTCCTTGGAAAATAAATGTTTGATTCCAAGGGGATTCTCCTGGTTAGACTGAGGTAAGTTAAGGAAATATATAAAGTTATCCTGTTAGTGCACAGCTATATCTGATATGTATTGCATGAATAAAGAATCATCAAACGGAGGCTGTGACGTGTGACTGACGTCCGTCCGTCTCCCAGGGATACGGGTCAGCACTGACACAAAGAGAAAATGCCAGCTCAACCAATCAATGGATGTGCTGGAGTTGGCAAGTTGTGACGCCTGAGTCCGATGATGCGAACCATTCAAAACAAAAGTAAGAATAGGTTTTCATAAGGTTTATTGCTCTGTAAAAAGAACAGTGTATACTACAGTAGAAAAATACATGTACACTCTCCACGTGCCGACACACACCTGTGACTATGTATTTGAGCGTGCAGTAGTAGCTCACTGTGTTCCTGCAGGAGGTTTACAGTCATACTTTTGTAGAGCAACATCTTTGAGCAAGCATCAGCAGAGAGTGTGAGAGAGTTGACAGGACCACTGGCTAGGGTTGCAAAACTCAGGGTATTTTCAAAGATAGAAACTTTTCATGGGAATAAGCTGTGAATTTTCCACATTGAAGGTTGCCTCCTCAAAGAAAACCTTGACCTTCAGCAAGAAGGTCCTGGGTTCGAATCCCGGTCGGACCAGGGCCTTTCTGAGTGGAGTTTGCATGTTCTCCCCGTGTCTGCGTAGGTTTCCTCCGGGTACTCCGGTTTCCCCTACCACTAAAAATATGTCCAATAGTTCTGGCATGCGCCTCCTGTACTGGCGACCCCGCTCCCATCTCTGTGTGGAGTGAGAGACAAATGCCCAAAATTAACAATTGTAAACCGCTTTGAGACTCAGATCTGCAGTGAAAAGGCGGTATATAAATAAAAACTTACTTACTTACTTACTTACTAAATATGGTCGAGGATATTTCAGCATAAACAAACAGATGCCATTCAAAGACTCCATCACATACAGAAGATGGTCCACACTTTTGAGCCCAAAGCACAAAACTATTTAAACATTGAGCCTGTGGACTGAACAGGGAAATATTATATTATATTAATTATTAGATTAATATTATAGGGAAATATATTGATTTTCGCAGGTAATAAAACTGTAGTCTATGTAATAACTCCAGAAAATCATGAACAAAGTGTAAAATGTGTCATATAACCCTTCCAACATAATGAAAACATAGACTCAAAATGTAATCATTTAGGTTAATCCTGATTTCCTGAATCCTTTGGGGAGCCTCCATGAAAGTGTTTGGGAAGCTATTGGTAGCTCCTGAACTACAGGGTGAAGACCACTGATAGGAGATAGCAGGCTGATAAGTTAGATGGTAAATAAGCTAGCATGTTTAAAGTGGGATGTTTTGGAGGAGAAGGGCCTTTTTTTTCAATATTGAATTAGTCCCAAATTCCCCAGTTTAACTTCCCATGAAAATGTATTGAAAACTTTACATAAACTTGCTGTAAATTGCCCACCCCTTTGCAGCCCTACCACTGCCACAACAGAAAGGTGAAGCCAGCACACAGCGGCTGCATGTGCTCACAGTCAATGTCATGTTTTCTCTTTTTTTCCTGCACTTTGTAAAATCCTTGTTAATGACTTCAATACTGCAAAGAGAATCCACACAGGTGACACTGAACAGCAGTAACATTATTCTGTAAATGCATCTGTGGATAATGCCATACACGACACAGACAGAGGAGCAGACAGACAAGCAGCAGCACAGGTACACGTCATGGCCGAACATAACACTGGTATTTGGTACAAACACATCGTCAAAGAAACAACCGGAGGAGAGGAGGGAATGGCAGATGGTCCTCCTGCAGAGCGCTGCTGCACAAAGCTCCTTTACACAATGGTACTAACAGTGTCAAATATCGGTAGTTTAGGATGTAGTCTCAGAAAAATAGCATGAATTAGGATCTAAAAGAGAGTATTTTTTGTCTACTTTTAGTGACAATGTTGCTCATTTTGACCCAAAAAGAGCACAAAGGTTTTAAGAATCATGTCATTAACTTATGGACCAGTTTTTGTTTTGAGTTCTATGTTTTCTGAGTTTTATTTTGGTTTCTGTTCTGGGAATGTGTGTTTTTATGTTCTTGTTTAACCAGCCTCAGTCCTGGATCTCCAGCCTGAGACCTGGGTCTACAGCCTCAGTCCTGGATCTACAGCTTCAGTCCTGGATCTACAGCCTCAGTCCTGGATCCACAGCCTCAGTCCTGGATCTACAGCCTCAGTCCTGGATCTACAGCTTCAGTCCTGGATCTACAGCCTCAGTCCTGGATCCACAGCCTCAGTCCTGGATCTGCAGCCTCAGTCCTGGATCTACAGCCTCAGTCCTGGATCTACAGCCTCAGTCCTGGATCTACAGCCTCAGTCCTGGATCTACAGCCTCAGTCCTGGATCTGCAGCCTCAGTCCTGGATCTACGGCTTCAGTCCTGGATCTACGGCCTCAGTCCTGGATCTACAGCCTCAGTCCTGGATCTACAGCCTCAGTCCTGGATCTACGGCCTCAGTCCTGGATCTACAGCCTCAGTCCTGGATCTACAGCCTCAGTCCTGGATTTATAACTTTTAAAATTATGTATTTATCAATCTGTGTCTACATGTGCCCTGTGTTCGTTCGTGTTTGTTTTTGTATCCAAACCATCATTAAATCATATTATTTTGTATTTAACAATAGTTTTTCACCTCACTGCAGAAACCAGAAATGCAATAATATATGTTTCATGGTTTTATACTTTCCAAACCAGAATGAACCACAAAGTAAAGCATAAAGTAAAGTAGCTTGGCACAACAGCACTCCGGTGATTCGAGGTAAGTCATTTTCGCAGACCGACCTTCACCTCAAACTGACCACAATCGGCACAACCCCACGACTTATGGGTGCTAAATATTCAAGTTCAACAGGCTATATAATACGTATTTTGGGATTACTTTTAAAGGACAAGCTATCGTGTTCTCATCGCAACCATTCGCAGCCACTCAAACCACTTACAGCAGTTTATTAAAGACATAGAAATCTTTATCACAATTAAGCCTCTTGTAGAAATCGTCAGAAATCAGAAAAATAATCCTCCAGGTGAATACATACGACGGCTCCTGTTCTCCTCTGCTCTTTTTACATACGGCATATAAAGTGGAGTCTCTGTGGTTACATACAGGAGGGAATATAAAACAGCCGCAGTGTGTCTCTAGATGCCAGAAGTCTTTTCTCTGTTGATGAAGAGCGTCTCTCGACAGAAGGGGTTGACCAGGACCATGCTGCTGCTGCTGTAGTCGCCGTTTGGGGGAAGGTACGCGTCCTGGTCCTGGGAAAAGACACAGCAATGAAAGAGATGAAGAGACGGGACACTCTGCTCAAAGTTGGACTACTGATTGGGTATGAAAAGAGAAAAATCCTTTAATGAACAGGGATTTAGCAAAGCGTTTCAGCCACGTATGGCCTTCTCCATGGCTTGTTTGCGTATATTATTATGGATGTTTTGAAGCAAATGTGGTCAAAGCTGAATTTGTCAAAAAAATCATTCATTTATTGGGAATATTGTCAAATTAGAAGATTCTAGCTCAACAGAAAGAGCACTGCTTTGATCTGACTCCTGACCTTCACTCTTTTACATTTGACTTCAGTGGAAATACAAACATGTTAAAGCAGCAATACGTAAGATTTTCATGTCAAGTCATCATTAAAGGGCCTTAATCTGTCATCATTAAAGGGCCTTAATCTGTCATCATTAACGGGCCCTAATCTGTCATCATTAACGGGCCCTAATCTGTCATCATTAAAGGGCCTTAATCTGTCATCATTAAAGGGCCCTAATCTGTAAGAAGGCGTTAATGAACAATTCTCTTTTACAATACTTCTTTAACTGATAAAAGTAGTTCAGCCGAGATAATCAAAATTCGAAATTAGTTTTACTGCCCCTAAATCTTGTTATTGTTTTCATTTCGTTTCAGAAAGTCCGTGATCCGGGTTGCTAGAATTCACCTTGTCAAGCTAATTTCATGTGGCCGCTGTACTAAAAAGGTCTTGTGATCCTCAAATCATGAATAACAAAACAGCTGGATTCATCTGCATATCTGGCAACCTGAGTCAGGGAGAGTGGGAGAGGTATCAGTACCACATACTGCTCCTTGAAAAAGTGTTAAAAAGTCCACTTGTTTTTAGAGTGTAGAACCCTCTCAAGCCACACGGGGGCAGTAATATCTTTGACATGAGATCTCCCATACATTTATCATCAGTTTTGTTGATTTTCTGCCCCAGGGAGTTTGCACAATGGCAACAACACAGAAATCTACAGTGTTGAGTCTGATCCAGGTCATTTTTTACTATTGTGTTTTTATCTGAATCTGCTGCAGTCTCCGTCCGGCTATAAGTAACAGTATTCTTCTTTCTCTTTACTGCAGTCTGGAGGCAGTGACTGTGCAGAGAGAGGGGACTGGATGGGGACTGGATGGGGACTGGATGGGGACTGGATGGGGACTGGATGGGGACTGGATGGGGACTGGATGGGGACTGCTGCACCTTGGGGCTTTTGAATAGAGAGCCGACCATTTGCGACAAAGTTAGGTGTGGAGGAAAAAAAACTAAAAGCATAGAAGTTAAAGGAGGGATGAGTCAGGACTGGAGTGAATAGAATCAGGACAAAACAGACGATCGGTGAGTCAGCGGAAAGAGGGTGTGAATACTGAAGAGCTGAGGAAAGGGTGGATTTTGCACTAGGTCCCCCAGAGCAGTCAATTTGGCGGCTCTAAGTTTTGGAATTGTAATGACTCAGCGTATGGGTGTCTTTGGTCTTCATAACTTTGTATTTCTAACTTTCTATATAATGTTCTATGTGTGGTTTAAATCTGTGTAATTTACTTTTTTATATATATATATATATATATATATATATATATATATATATATATATATATAATTTTTTTTTATGTGAGGAATTTTATAACTTCCAGAGCCTACATTTTGAAATAACTGGTAGAACACTTTTTGAGATTTTCAGAATTCCAATGATTTGAATGGGAACCGTCAAAACGACTGCTCGGGGAGTCCTATAGTAGTTGGATAACTCTGGGGCTCCTAGTGTTTAATCTAACTAAAGTTTAGAGCTAGAGGAGACACAGCAGACGACACCTGGACATCACCAACATCCTACACATGCTCCGACCTCAGCATCCGCCTCCTGACCGCAGTCAAAGGCAAGAAATATGAAAAGGAGAAAAAAAAAACATAAAACATGCAGTTGACAGAAGAGAGAAGGATGTGCAGTAGTTTTTATGTCCAGTGTTTCTCCTGTAGATGGCGCTACAGTGTGGTGACTGTGTACTGTATATCCAGATCTGTAATTATATGGACTTTTAAGCCACTACATAAACCACCATTTGAAGAGAAAGTAGATTTTGGCCACATATAAGCCGCAATTGGATACAGTATAAGACACATGTTGATCCAATCACTTTGGTAAATCCAATTCTATTTGAAAATAAACGTGCGTCCTCATGTTACTAATACTTGATGGAGTCCATTTTTTCCATCAATTTTCTATCCTTTAATCCATTTCTGGGTCAGGGGGGTGTCAGTCAGAGATGCCACCCAAGTCTCATAGCACCAGCCCCTCACTGACCCTCTGCAGGTGGTGAGTCCACAGGAGGACGGCTGCTCTCCGAGTGCGAGCATAGCCTTGATCTTTCAGCGGGGGCTTTGGGCAGAGTGGGGTTAAGTGTCTTGCCCAAGGACACAACGACAGCAGTCATCAGTGGGAGTCGGTGGAGAAGGTGTAGAGGTGGGAATTGAACCCACGACCTTGAAGGCCAATGCTCTACTAACTGAGCTACTGTCGCCCCCTACTTGATGGAGTGAAAATAATAATTCCATTTTTCACCCCATTTTTTTTTACTTGATGGAGTGAAAATAATAATTCCAAAACAAATAAAATCACATTAAAACAAGTTTTGTGTATTTCCCTGCACTTCCCAGTGTCTCTCTGCTGTTCACATAAACACACCACAAGCAGGAATGTGAGATGGAGTTCAACAGCTGATAAAAGCAAATCTTTTTAAAAACAATTAAACAACACATTGGGCACATTGCTAAACAAAGTAGCTGCTTAGCAGAGGATGTAGGGGGGGAGCAGAGGGTGTAGTGTGTGGAGCAGAGGGTGTAGCGTGGGGAGCAGAGGGTGTAGCGTGGGGAGCAGAGGGTGTAGCGTGGGGAGCAGAGGGTGTAGCGTGGGGAGCAGAGGGTGTAGTGTGTGGAGCAGAGGGTGTAGCGCGGGGAGCAGAGGGTGTAGGGGGGGAGCAGAGGGTGTAGTGTGTGGAGCAGAGGGTGTAGTGTGTGGAGCAGAGGGTGTAGCGCGGGGAGCAGAGGGTGTAGCGGGGGGAGCAAAGGGTGTAGCGGGGAGAGCAGAGGGTGTAGTGTGTGGAGCAGAGGGTGTAGTGTGGGGAGCAGAGGGTGTAGTGTGGGGAGCAGAGGGTGTAGCGTGGGGAGCAGAGGGTGTAGTGTGTGGAGCAGAGGGTGTAGCGCGGGGAGCAGAGGGTGTAGCGGGGGGGAGCAAAGGGTGTAGCGGGGAGAGCAGAGGGTGTAGCGGGGGGAGCAAAGGGTGTAGTGTGTGGAGCAAAGGGTGTATTGCGGGGAGCAGAGGGTGTAGCGCAGGGAGCAGAGGGTGTAGCGCGGGGAGCAGAGGGTGTAGCGGGGGGAGCAGAGGGTGTAGCGCGGGGAAGAGAGGGTGTAGCGGGGGGAGCAGAGGGTGTAGCGGGGGGAGCAAAGGGTGTAGCGCGGGGAGCATAGGGTGTAACATAGGGTGTAGCAGAGGGTGTAGCATGGGGAGCAGAGGGTGTAGCAGCAGGGGGAACAGAGGGTGTAGGAGCAGAGGGTGTAGCAGAGAGTGTGGCGTGGGGAGCAGAGGGTGTAGCAGCGGGTGGAACAGAGGGTGTAGCAGAGGGTGTAGGAGACAGTGTAGTAGAGAGTGTAGCAGAGGGTGGTAGGAGCAGAGGGTGTAGCAGAGGGTGTAGGAGCAGAGGGTGTAGCAGAGGGTGTAGCAGAGGGTGTAGGAGCAGAGGGTGTAGCAGAGGGTGTAGGAGCAGAGGGTGTAGGATCAGAGGGTGTAGCAGAGGGTGTAGGAGCAGAGGGCGTAGCAGCGGGTGGAAGAGAGGGTGTAGCAGAGGGTGTAGGAGACAGTGTAGTAGAGAGTGTAGCAGAGGGTGTAGGAGCAGAGGGTGTAGCAGAGGGTGTAGGAGCAGAGGGTGTAGCAGAGGGTGTAGCAGAGGGTGTAGGAGCAGAGGGTGTAGCAGAGGGTGTAGGAGCAGAGGGTGTAGGGATCAGAGGGTGTAGCAGGGGGTGTAGGAGCAGAGGGTGTAGCAGAGAGTGTAGGAGCAGAGGGTGTAGCAGAGGGTGTAGGAGCAGAGAGTGTAGGAGCAGAGGGTGTAGCAGAGGGTGTAGGAGCAGAGAGTGTAGGAGCAGAGGGTGTAGCAGAGGGTGTAGCAGAGAGTGTAGGAGCAGAGGGTGTAGCAGAGGGTGTAGGAGCAGAGAGTGTAGGAGCAGAGGGTGTAGCAGAGGGTGTAGGAGCAGAGGGTGTAGCAGAGGGTGTAGGAGCAGAGAGTGTAGGAGCAGAGGGTGTAGCAGAGGGTGTAGCAGAGAGTGTAGGAGCAGAGGGTGTAGCAGAGGGTGTAGGAGCAGAGAGTGTAGGAGCAGAGGGTGTAGCAGAGGGTGTAGGAGCAGAGAGTGTAGGAGCAGAGGGTGTAGCAGAGGGTGTAGGAGCAGAGAGTGTAGGAGCAGAGGGTGTAGCAGAGGGTGTAGCAGAGAGTGCAGGAGCAGAGAGTGTAGGAGCAGAGGGTGTAGCAGAGGGTGTAGCAGAGGGTGTAGGAGCAGAGGGTGTAGCAGAGGGTGTAGGAGCAGAGAGTGTAGGAGCAGAGGGTGTAGCAGAGGGTGTAGCAGAGAGTGTAGGAGCAGAGGGTGTAGCAGAGGGTGTAGGAGCAGAGAGTGTAGGAGCAGAGGGTGTAGCAGAGGGTGTAGCAGAGAGTGTAGGAGCAGAGGGTGTAGCAGAGGGTGTAGCAGAGAGTGTAGGAGCAGAGGGTGTAGCAGAGGGTGTAGGAGCAGAGAGTGTAGGAGCAGAGGGTGTAGCAGAGGGTGTAGGAGCAGAGGGTGTAGCAGAGGGTGTAGCAGAGGGTGTAGGAGCAGAGAGTGTAGGAGCAGAGGGTGTAGCAGAGGGTGTAGGAGCAGAGAGTGTAGGAGCAGAGGGTGTAGCAGAGGGTGTAGGAGCAGAGAGTGTAGGAGCAGAGGGTGTAGCAGAGGGTGTAGCAGAGAGTGCAGGAGCAGAGGGTGTAGCAGAGGGTGTAGGAGCAGAGAGTGTAGGAGCAGAGGGTGTAGCAGAGGGTGTAGCAGAGGGTGTAGGAGCAGAGGGTGTAGCAGAGGGTGTAGGAGCAGAGAGTGTAGGAGCAGAGGGTGTAGCAGAGGGTGTAGCAGAGAGTGTAGGAGCAGAGGGTGTAGCAGAGGGTGTAGGAGCAGAGAGTGTAGGAGCAGAGGGTGTAGCAGAGGGTGTAGCAGAGAGTGTAGGAGCAGAGGGTGTAGCAGAGGGTGTAGCAGAGAGTGTAGGAGCAGAGGGTGTAGCAGAGGGTGTAGGAGCAGAGAGTGTAGGGAGCAGAGGGTGTAGCAGAGGGTGTAGGAGCAGAGGGTGTAGCAGAGGGTGTAGCAGAGGGTGTAGGAGCAGAGAGTGTAGGAGCAGAGGGTGTAGCAGAGGGTGTAGGAGCAGAGGGTGTAGCAGAGTGTGTAGCAGAGGGTGTAGCGTGTCACCTCGCTCTCCAGCGTGTGGATCTCTCGGGGCAGCTCCACGGCGTGGCGGCTGAAGTAGTCCATGGTGATGGCGTTGTTCCAGTAGCTCAGGTTGTTCTCGTGACTCGTCGACTTCTTCTTCCTCCTCATGCAGCACAC